GTTCAAGCCTCTGTGGCAGCGCTTCCCAAACCTTTCATGGTAGGCACCTAGGACTCTCTCTGTCTACCAGATAGATCCAACAGCTTTAGGAAGGCGAGGTGGGGGGGGGCGCTCGGTTCAAGCCCACCCCTTAGCCTCTATGGCAGCGCTTCCCAAACCTTTCCCTGTTGGCGACACAGTAAGTTTAGTATACCGGGGTGGGGAGAGAGGGGGGGGCGTAATTTTAAATGTAGATGAAATGTGCAAAAACCGTCTAATGGTATGTAAAAGTCTCATGCAAACAACTTTTGCATAAAGTGTCATAAGTGATGATGAAAAAAAGAAGTTAAAACAATGAACACCCCACAGTTGAAAAAAGGTGAAAGAAAAGGGGTAAAGAAAAGGGGGAAAGAAAAAAAAAAGGGGGGGGGGTGATTTTGAAGAGCTCTTAGATCTAACGTATCAACACTATAGATACACCCAGCATCCATGCAATGCAGATTATAAACATTGTGGTGACGTTGGAAATCTACTAACGCAGCATCTACTGCGCATGTCACCAAAACTTACCAACGCAAACAAAAGTAAGAGACCTCAGTCTGTAAGTTCCATGAATTGTAGAATTTTGTTTTTAAAAAATTACTTATATTACATTGTAACAAAAGCATAAAGCGTGTAGATCTTTTCCAGGTTTGTGAAAAAAAATAAAAACAAATTTAAAAAAAAAAAATGTTCACTATTTATTAGAAGTAATTTTAAAGAAAACTTATTTTAAAAAATGTAGAAGTATATAAATAAGATCTGTTTAAAATATAAATAAGATCTGTTTAAGGCACATCACTAAAATGTCATGTCCATCAGTAACATTGTCAGCAACATTTATAAATATAAATAAAGTTCAAATTACTATTTGCAACAACTCGTATAATATATTACATTAAAAAATTGTTGTAACAGCCATGAAAATGACATTTGTAACAGCCATAAAAATGACATTTGTAACAGCCATAAAAATGACATTTGTAACAGCCATAAAATGACATTTGTGACAGCCATGAAAATGACATTTGTAACAGCCATGAAAATGACATTTGTAACAGCCATGAAAATGACATTTGTAACAGCCATGAAAATGACATTTGTAACAGCCATGAAAATGACATTTGTAACAGCCATAAAAATGACATTTGTGACAGCCATGAAAGTGACATTTGTAACAGCCATAAAAAATGACATTTGTGACAGCCATGAAAATGACATTTGTAACAGCCATAAAAATGACATTTGTGACAGCCATGAAAATGACATTTGTAACAGCCATAAAAAATGACATTTGTGACAGCCATGAAAATGACATTTGTAACAGCCATGAAAAATGACATTTGTAACAGCCATAAAAAATGACATTTGTAACAGCCATGAAAATGACATTTGTAACAGCCATGAAAATGACATTTGTAACAGCCATGAAAATGACATTTGTAACAGCCATGAAAATGACATTTGTAACAGCCATGAAAATGACATTTGTAACATCTATGATGAAACAACTTTTTTCTGACAGCACTATAAAAACCAACATTTGCTATAAAATAACATGATTCGTGACAGCTGTTTTAAAAAAAAGCCTCTTTAACATCTATATTTTAAAATATGTGACGGTCAACTACAAGATAATGACAAATGGCTCCACCTGAGATCTCAACTGGTCAGTTCATGACAAAAATGACCATAGTCAAACTGCTTTACAATTATAACAATTTTAAAACTGTTATACATAAAAAGAACGATTGTAAAATGCTGTCATCTATTAATATGAGCAATCAAAAATTTAATTTCAAAATGATCAATTAACCAATATCACATTACTTTGACTCACTCTAACGGACTCTTAGATTATTAGCTCAACATCTGGGCAGAGGTTCGGATGGTCCTAACCAGGTGACCATGTTATATAACATTCTCCCCCCTCTCCCCCATTTTATATAACATTTCTAACCGCCTCCCCCCTCCCCGAATAACATAAAAAAACAAGACAAAATAAGCAAATTTCAAGCAAATAGCCAGAAATATTTATGTTCAAGAAATGTACTGATTATTGTTATAAAAAATACATTAAAAAAAATCTATGCCAAACTCCATAAATTAGAAAAGCAGAAATTTTACAAAAATAAAAATAAATTATTGATTTTTATATTCAACCTTTATAACACAATATAACAAAATGATAAACCAGCCCCTTTACCCTCTTCACGTTATATACTATGTGCACTGTCCATTAAACAACAGTAGCATCATAACGTCTTGTTGGATACATTTACCCCATACGCCACTCAACAAAGCTGTTGAAAGTTTTTCAATTATGTTCACTCCACAACTCACACAACACCTTCTATATGTTTTTTTGAATCATACAAACAATTTTTTGAGTCTTTCCTAGTTAAACCAATGCACACTTTCCTTGTTAAACCAATGCACACTTTCCTAGTTAAACCAATGCACACTTTCCTAGTTAAACCAATGCACACTTTCCTTGTTAAACCAATGCACACTTTCCTAGTTAAACCAATGCACACTTTCCTTGTTAAACCAATGCACACTTTCCTAGTTAAACCAATGCACACTTTCCTTGTTAAACCAATGCACACTTTCCTAGTTAAACCAATGCACACTTTCCTTGTTAAACCAATGCACACTTTCCTAGTTAAACCAATGCACACTTTCCTAGTTAAACCAATGCACACTTTCCTAGTTAAACCAATGCACACCTTCCTTGTTAAACCAATGCACACTTTCCTAGTTAAACCAATGCACACTTTCCTTGTTAAACCAATGCACACTTTCCTAGTTAAACCAATGCACACTTTCCTAGTTAAACCAATGCACACTTTCCTTGTTAAACCAATGCACACTTTCCTAGTTAAACCAATGCACACTTTCCTTGTTAAACCAATGCACACTTTCCTAGTTAAACCAATGCACACTTTCCTTGTTAAACCAATGCACACTTTCCTAGTTAAACCAATGCACACTTTCCTAGTTAAACCAATGCACACTTTCCTAGTTAAACCAATGCACACCTTCCTTGTTAAACCAATGCACACTTTCCTAGTTAAACCAATGCACACCTTCCTTGTTAAACCAATGCACACTTTCCTTGTTAAACCAATGCACACTTTCCTAGTTAAACCAATGCACACTTTCCTAGTTAAACCAATGCACACCTTCCTTGTTAAACCAATGCACACTTTCCTAGTTAAACCAATGCACACTTTCCTAGTTAAACCAATGCACACCTTCCTTGTTAAACCAATGCACACTTTCCTAGTTAAACCAATGCACACCTTCCTTGTTAAACCAGTGCACACCTTCCTAGTTTTCTAATCACATCAACAACAACAAAGCCATACAAAGTTTGGCCTGCAAACACATAAGCAAGTAGAACAGGTTCAACATTACCATGCTGTCTGGTCATCTCGACATGACAATGTTTAAATTCAACTAACACTAAGGTAACATTCTAAAATTACATTGACATAAAATTAACATACCAAGCAATCTAACAGTACACGCTCCCAAGCTATTTCTTTCAACAATTTTTTTTTTAGTGTTTTTGTTTTGTTTTTGTTTTGTAGAAGGTGGAGGTAGAAAAAAAACTGCTTAGTTTTTTATTTTTTTAAAATTTTTAGTACCGGTACAATTTTAGTGTAAATGATTTTTGTAAAAATTTAACATGTCTCACTCGGCGCAAAAAAAAAAAATTTAAAATTTAAAAAATAACATACTCGTACTGATACCATGTGAGTCCTGGCTATTTGATAAAACTGATATAAAGATCTGAACTTTTATCAGCATTACTTTGTTATCTGTGGGCTTTCATTACTCCAAGTCACACTTCTGGTTGTCATTAGTGCATAATTTACTGACCCATGACCTGGCATAAAAATAGTTAGCCATCTTAACAGATTAGATGTTAGTCATGTAAGGGACTAATGACATTTTCTGAGCTTCAACTATCACATGTCAACAATGTTTTGTTTTAAAATGTCTTACAAGTCAACAGGAGCTTGTCTTGCCTGTGAGTTGTAGAGTCTTCTCAGGGTCTGTGTTTACGTCATGGCATGGGACTGGCGAATTTGGAATTGAGCTGTTACAAAAAAAAAAAAATACCAAATTTTAAAATTAGTTGGGTTTTTTTTTTTTTTATTTATTAAAAAAATAGAAATAGGAATTTTTAAACTTTCAAACTTTTGGCCTCAAAAGTTAATAGAAATCACCGTGTTTGAACAAAAAAAAAATACAATGTCATTTTGATTACAATTGGTGAAGATCTTATTCCTTCCACCATTTTATCCACATGAACTCATTCCCTCCCATTGCTACCAAATGTGTCGTACGAGGGGTCACGACGTGTCCTGTCAGAACTCTCATTATTATTTTTTAAAAAGCAACAAAAACACCTTTTCGAGACATCCGGTGATGGAATGATTGATAGATTTCTATTCTAAAGGGTTCTTAGTATGGTCCGTCTTATATCTCAAACCTGTTGTTGGGTCATGGTGCTAAGATCTTTTTTTTGGTTATGGTTTGTTATTTTTTTGCTCTTAAATATCATATTTTTCTTAAACCGGAATTCATTTCTTCATGCATTTGTCCTTATTCCTGAAAGAAGAGAAGTAACTCTGTTTTTCCATTGATTTATATTTGTAAAAAAAAAACAATTTTTAGCTGTTAAATATTAATTAATTTTTACAAATGAAGTGCAGGCAGCATAGCCAGAGGGAATGAGTCGACATCTCAACCTGATCAACTATTTGGAAGGTCTGACGGCATAATTTGGAAAGCCTGGTGGCACTCATTCCTTTCCCTTTAACAAAGACAAAAACCTACCTTGTAAAATGTTTGGCATCGTCCAAAGTCTCTGGCAACTTCCTGTTCAATGTTTCTGGAAGGAAAGATGACAGGACTCCAGCACTTAGGATCAAGCAGCCACACACTAGCAAGGGGAATCCTCTGCCAAGACTTGTATCTGTTTTAGCTCCCTAGAAATTATCAATTGTTATTTATGTATTTTTTTGTTACAGAAACAAAGCGTACGTACGCGAACAGCTCTCGACCTAAGCAAAGTCAAATAAGCCATATCACAAAGTTTTCATGAACAACGTGCGTAATAATCAAACAAAATTCCTTGGAAATATTTTACATTTGGGAGTTTTTTCCAAAGATATGAATTTTTAAAATTTATATAATAAAACCTACACTAAGTGATTAGAGTCCAAACTAAAGGCCTGAACTTAAGTATTGGGTTGCATCATGTTAAAAAATATGAACATTTCAAATCTTGTCATTTTTACTTACTTGAGCTGCCACATAAGGTGCCAACATGGCTCCGACTCTGGCCCAACTTGAGCTGGCTCCTAATGCTGAATTACGTATAACAGTTGGGAATATCTCAGATGAGTACATGTAAATTGTCCCAAAAGCTCCAGCGGCCCCAAATTTTCCTAGCATGGCCAACGTTACAGTCAACCACTGGAGGTCTGTATGAAATCAAAGGATCAATATTTTCCCATTTTGGCCTCGGTACAAGATGCAACAACAGAGAAACTTTAAAATAGTGGAGAGACCACAGCATCCAATAAAGAGGATATTATTGTGGGACTACTAAAAAAGTGACTGGAGAAATAGCATCTCAGGATTAAATAATCCAGTTTAATTTAAGTTACTTTTCAGGAGTTGAATCAAAAATCAAATTGATTAATTACATTACAAAGGAATAAAATGAACAGCATATAAATTTCCCAGCCTTACCCTGAGCAGCATAAATGATGGAGATCACACAGCTGAGACATGCTACACCACTGGTCATCATCATACCAAAATGGACCTTCTTTCGGCCTAATCTGTTTTGAAAATGTTCAACTTTTTTTTTTTAAGGCGTTTCAAAAAGATACTTTTTTTTTTCATTTACTAAAATTACCAATGAAAGGAGAGACACGCTAACATGTTTGATGAGCATCCCGTGTAAGTAGGAGAGAATATATATTTTAACAATCAAAATATCTCAACATTTGGGCTGTGTTTTGATGAGCATCCCGTGTAAGTAGGAGAGAATATATATTTTAACAATCAAAATAACTCAAAATTTGGGCTGTGTAAGGCGAGACAAAAAAAAAAAAAAAAGAAAAAAAAGAAAAAAGCTTGCTAATGAAATTGTAGAAAGAAAGGAAAACAAATCTGTATTGCAGAGCCAAGGTTAACAATGCTTTCATAGAATGTCTTTGACTTAATGGGCCAGTTTTTCTTGATGTTATTTCACTACTGTCCAAAATAAATTTTGGTTCATATTTTAAGTATGAATAATATGTCTTCAAAATAAATTTGGTTCATATTTGAAGTAATGGATAATATTAATATGTGTCCAAAAATAAATTTGGTTCATGTTTTAAGTATGGATAATAAGTGTCCAAAAGTAAATTTGGTTCCTATTTTAAGTATGGATAATTTGTGTCCAAAAGTAAATTTGGTTCCTATTTTAAGTATGGATAATGTTTTTAACAAATTCTGTTTCAATTACTTTTTAACGTTTTTTTTGTTTTACTTTTAACTATTCAATCTGTAACACCCTTCACAGGGAACTGTAAACACAGTTTATGTGTCCCGTAAACAAATGGAACAACTGCCATTAAAATTAAAGTCTTCTAGGTGAATGACTAACCAATGCCAAAAATTTTATCAATGGCTAAACGTTTTATCCAGTTAATAAATGAAGGACTGCGTTCAAGCTGAGTGAAGAAAATAGTAGAACAAGTTATGTGGAAGCTTGAAATAGAAAGACAGGACAATAAAAGAAGAACATTTCAGCTAAGAGCCTTCCTCAGCAGACAGGACAAATGAAGAAAAAAAACAAGAAATAGAGAGTGGTCAACTTAAATAAGTGATAATGCTGATTGTGTGTTTGTTACGCACTGCTATCCGTAGGGAGAAATTAATCTCCTATTTACATGTATGGCTCGTTCCAAAACAGTGCATTAAAAAAAAGACGATACCAAAAGATAAACACAATAACAGAGAAATATGATACTCAGAACAGGGCTAATCACTATTAATAAGTTTTATTACGTTAATAATAAGGTAAAAAAGTAAAAAAAGAAATATAATTGAAAACTATTAACTTACGGTATATGGTGTGGCTGGTACCAGTACAGTGTCGAAATAAAAACACAGTGTGCAAAAAGGTACAGATAATGAAAGGTATAGCTACTGTAAACAAAGCAATCACACGTTCCAAAATAACTCTCTCACACTATCTGCACCTCTCGCATTGCAGTATGCTGTGTCATTCAACCATTCGCCGTATTTATAGTCTATTCCCCATAGAAAACTCCAGCCGTATTACACATTCTATTAGTGACTCAAATATTCTCCAGTTTTCTACCAAATTAGAGTCAAGAAAAACAGGCGATAGCTTGGTTTGTTGTAAAGAAGATCAAAGGGAATAAGCCACGCCCAAGACTAACGCGGGCGAAATTTGGGTCAGCTTAAGGTCGTTCAACAGGAAAGAATTAAATGAGAGTAAAATATATAAAAAATATAACAGTATTGTCACTTTTTTTTTTTTCAAATCAGAATTTGTCATTTTAAACATTAGAAGAAGCAAAACTTTAGAAAATGATATTTATATTTTCTGAGGGAATTTATGCCGTAAGTTCAACCTTTTACCTTACAGTCTTGGATTGAAAAGGTTATTTTTTTCTTCTATTCAAACAAAGATTTACCTGTCCACAGTAAACAATGTGAGCAAGTGAGCAGGAAATTCCACCAGGCCGGCCAGGAAGAAGTTGAGAAAAATGGAGCCAGCAACAAGGTTCCCCGTGTTAAAATTCAGTCCATAGAAAGTCATGCTAATTATAAGCCTGGGGATACACAAGTGTCAGATGATTTATACAAAAAAGAAATATATTTTATAATATATATATATATATATGAAATGCATTCTCCTTCTGTAGGAATGTCCGCTATATTTAGACAAATAACTCTATTCAAAGAGTGGCAAGATAAAAAAAATTTTTTTTTTAAATCTTCAGTGGATGGTAAAAATGAAATTTTTCATGTGGTGTATCATCATCATTCAGATCCAGTAGCCATATGGGCAAATGTTATTTCTTTGTTTTTATATATATATTTATATAGGGTGTTGATGTCTGGTGTTGTTGTTTTTTTTACATCGTAAGTGTTAGTCCTGAAGTGCAGGGCTGTGGAAAAAGTGATGTGTTAATTTCTCATGAGGAGTATAATTTTAAAGGGAAGTTACTGGAATCATGGGCACCCGCAGGGGGGGCAAGGGGCCCCCCCCCTGGATTGATTGGATACAAATTTTTTTGTCCGTTCGTTCACCATACAAATACACTACAGTAAATTAAAACTACATTAAAACATTTTTTTACATTTTTTGCCCCCCCCCCCCCTAGAAAGTTAATCTATTTTTTTTGCCCACCCCTAGAAAGTTTTCTGCGGGCGCCCATCACTGGAATATTAATTGAATAAGTAGATTTTTATCTCTTTAAATTTTTACATACAAAAAATTTTTAATTTTGAGATCATTTATAGAGACCTTACAGCATTTGTAGAATGTAGTTATCATTTTTATAAGCATAAATATGCTTATGTACAAAAAAAATTATATCATAATTTATCAGACATAGCCATGAAATTAGTATATATATTACAATTCAGGCACTTTAAACCAAATGGCAATTTCCTTAAAATTAATGTGCAGGCTTTTATTAACAAACTAATTAAATTAATTTGCAGACTTCTGCAAGATATTTGATTTAATTATCAATTTTTAAAATTAAATATGCATAAACAATTGACTGCAATTTTTTATTATTTATTAAGTGACTGACCAGTTGAAAAATATTATTGCTGTCCTTATAAACAGCACACGACTCTTGAACAGATCAATGAGACTGCCTTTCTGGTTTAATCCATCTTTCTTTGCCTCTTGATCTGATTTATCCTCCCCATTCATCAATGTCTTTTCTTCTTTCATCTTCTTGCTAGGCATCAGCTCATCTAGAACCCAGGCCGGAATCTCTTTTTTGTTAACTTTTGCAGCATGAACGACAGTCTGACGTGCCTTGGAAAAGTGACCTCTTTGCATCTGCCATCTTGGCGACTCAGGAATAAAACTGGGGCAATAAAAAAAAGGGGGGATACAGAATTGAAGTCATATAACATGTGAATATTGCATGGAAAGATCAGCGGAAAAAAAAAAAAAACTTTTAAGGTATTTTAGCATATGAATGTGATCATGTAAAGCTTTTTAAACTCTATTAGATCAGGGTTTCTCAAATGGACTGGTGCCAGCCCCCGAGCCGTCCGCACAACATGAATATGTTCTAAAAAAAAGAAAATGTAACTAAGAAATCTGGCACCCGTCCCTGATGCAATGTCATGTGACCACCGGTCCGCCAAATTTAAAAATTTTAGGAAAGAACTTTATTAGATTATTTAACATTTCTAGCTCTATTTTATAATTTCATATGACAAGGATTTGATATTTTAAATAGTAGCTACAATCAACTGAGTGGCATAAACTGAAGCTAATAGTGTGGCATACACTCAAGGCAGTGGTGTGGCTTACACTCATGGCAGTGGTGTGGTACTCAAACATACGTATGATGATGTTGGCTTGTTAAATTAGAAGCTTAAAAAACTTACCACCAAAAAAGGTAAAAGATGGCCAGTGGGGCTGTGATGGCTATCAATAAATACTGCCAATCCCTGATGAGGTAACCCAGTCCAGCTAAGCTGACCACACCAGTTGAGAAGAACAGCTGTATGATCATGCCAGTGTAGGTTCTTTTAGAAGGACCAACTATTTCAATTCCTGTTTTTTTTTGGGGGGGGGGGTTTTTTTTTTTTTGTTTTTTTTTTTGTTTGTGGGGGGTTTTTTTTTTTTTTTTTTTTTTTTTTTTTTTTTTTTTTTAATACAATTATTCTGATTTTTTAAAAATATATTTAGGACAGTCTTAATATTTTAACATAAGATTAGCAAAGAGTTTTTATATTATAAAGGAAATATATATAAAGAGTATAAAGGAAATAATATTTGTAAAAAGGATAATTCCCAGAAATGTAGATGCCTTCCTGTTAAATATACCAGATTTTAAATATTGATAAATTACACTGCACCTACATAATCAAAGATGTATTTTTATTTGAAATGGTTGAAGTTTTAATTAATTTCATTATGTTCTCAATGAAGCCATCAGTTGTTTAATGCGAACATTATAACTTTAAACATTGAACATACGCAATTATTTCTTTGAATATTTAAATTTTCATTATCATTGTGCAAAAAATCTGAAACAATTTACCACAAACATTAAACTTGGCCCTCACCAATGACAAATGCTGAAGGAAAGATACCAGGTGTTGCTGCCCCAACAAGGAAGTTGAGAATGGTGAAAGCAATGAAGCTGTTGGTCAAGGCTTGGCCAATACCGAGGACAGTCACTAGAGTCAAGGAGAGGTAGAGACACATCTTACGTCCGATGCTGAAATCATAATGATAACAGTCACTCTGAAATTTGACAAAATAATGACTAAAATAAAACACCTAGGGCTAGTTTGTAGTTTCAAAATGATAAATGTAGACATTGTGAAATAAGTCATTTCAATTCAAAAAGTTCAGAAAACAGTCAATACAAATAATTCTCTAGTTGTGAAAGATAGTATGGTGTTATGGTGAGTTCAATGGCATGCAAAAGAAAAAAAACACTTGATTCTTAAATATAATGCAAGTGCATTTGGAGAGTAAAATTTTCTTTTTTTTTTATGGAAATAGTCTCAATTTAAATATGGTGAAATTAATCTGAGGTGAAAAAAAAGCGAGTCAGACATCAGATTATTAATATAGTTCAGGGATGTGAAAAAGTGTGCTGTAAAATACAGTTAGGGGAGAGGTCAGAACTACTTGGGATTCTTATAAAGTGTGTCCCTTGAATACATGTTTTGTCACCCATTGCCAACACCAGTTGCCATTGCATCAATAAAAGTTGGTGAATCAGAGATCCCGTTGTCCTCGACTGTCAGAGACCTTGGCTTTTATATTGATTCTCCATATCAGTGCTGTGGTCAAGGCATGCTTCTGTCATCTGCATGCCCTGGGTCAGCGGCGTCCTCAACTCAATAGGAGAACAGCCAAAGCTGTAGCGGAAACTCTAATCCAGTCAAGATTAGATTACTGTAACAGTTGTGTGTGGGGTTAACCTCAGAACCAAATTCAGAGACTCAAAAAGATACAAAATACTGCAGCACGCATTGTATCGCGGATGAAGAAATCTGACCACATCACCCCAGTTCTACGAGATCTCCATTGGGTTCCTGTGAGTGAGCGCATTAACTACAAAATTCTGTCCCTGGCATACAGCTGCATAGATGGCTCAGGACCGGAATATCTCAAAGAACTGATTTATAAACGTGTATCATTGAAGAGCCTGCGGTCTTCTACACAGTACTTCCTGAGTGTTCCTAGTGTGGATGAACCCAGAAAAAAGTCTTATGGAGTGCGCTCTTTTGAAGCGATGCGCCAAAATTATCGAACAGTTTGCCTCAATCTTTGAGGGGAATTGTAAATGATAAAAAATCATTTAAAAAACATTTTAAAACTTTTTTGTTTAAATAGATTTCGGAAAACTAGAGCGCAGTGAGCATGCTAAAGTGGCATGGATACCAGCTCAATATAAATATTAAAATCAATCAATCAAACCAGTGTTTGCTGGTGTTATGTAAAACTTGTTTACAACACTTTCTCATGCCGTGAATTCTGGTTGACCCCACATTAGACAGCGTTCGCATTGAGCGTGGCCTATTTTTCCTTTCATCTAGCCGTTGTTTTCCAAAACTATCAACTAAAAATAACTAATATATTCTAATAGAATTTTGGGGAAACTTCGATAATTGATTAGAAAGATAAACAATATAGAGGACATTTCTAGAAGCGTTGGTCCTACCGACGCATTAGTATAAAAAGGGGATTCAGAGATTCATCGAGAGAGATTCAGATAGATATATTTTAACTTTACGAGACAAGTGTTATTATTCTTTGTGTACTCATATGTGTTTATTCGCTTCGTCATTGAACATTATTAATTGGTACATTGTACTAATCTGTGTACCGGTACAAGGTCTACCATACTCTGTAAGTTGAGGATTTGTAATTATATATCTTTTGTTTTGTAATAGTATTATTACTAAATTAATTAAATCTTATTAATTGTAATTGTTACTGTTTTGGGTGTCGTATTTTTGTTATTGTATTTCTCTATGGTATAGTGCTTTGTTAGGCACTGTTTAGAACGAGCCAATAAAAAGAGATTAATTTCTCACGAGAGAAGAGCGGTGTGTAACACTGGGCTATCACTAGTACATGAAATATATTCTCTCTGGATAAATTAACTACATACACATAAATAAATTGTATTAAACATACATGTCAGACAGCGCACCAAGAGCAAATGTACCAATAAGAATTCCACCATAGAAAACCATTGTCGTATGGGCCCTTTTTGGAGCATCCTCACAGACCAGAGAAAACTGAAAGGATAATAAAAATAATTCATTAAGTCTTTAATATGGTACTTAGAATTAATGAACAATGAGGCCTAGAAAGATACCTGGACCTGTCCAATGTTTTATCATTCACCTTTATAATAAACTTTCCTAAAATAGAGCATCTAGATTTGTAAGTGTTCTAAACACAATTTCAATTTTATTAAAAAATGTTAGAGCGTATGTTTTATCATTTGCTTTTTAAAAAAAAAATTTACCATGCTTAATACTTTTTTTAAATTGAAAAGTGTTTGAAATTTTTTAGAAGCAAGCACAATACTATTTTTGCCTTCAAATTAGTGAGTACCATTTTTTACTTCAAAAGCACTCACTGTCTCCATTCCACTTGATCTTCTTGTACATCAATAGCCTTGAAAAGACCTTTTTTATTTATAAGAAATTTTGATAAAAACTATTCCTTACTATTTATCCCTCATTCAATGTTAGAAAATGCTGCTCTATTTGTATGATATACCAGACTAAAACAATCAAAGCCAAGGTTGATAGAGGATTTTATCAACTCCCACCCTTTATTCTATGTCCCCCTTACTATTTTTTAAATAAAATCATACATTTTAAATTTTAACAGCTCATTATAAGATTCAGTTTCAGAAATATATATGCCCCTACTGCTGCTACAATCTCATAAAATAAAGAGAATAATTGAAAGCTTTGCTACCTGACTCGCCACTGTACTAGAAAACAAAGATCGGTCAAAAACCCAGCTGCTACACTTCTGTAGACTTGCATTGATGGGCAGATTGTTGTCATCATAGGAATAATTTCCAGGGTGGAAAATGTGACAAGAGTCATTAAGTGGCACAGACATATTGAGTGCCTGTTGATGGGCGAGGGAAGTCACATCATATGAATCATTCAAGTAGCCTGGTATTGAGCATCTGACAAAATAAGGAAATACATTATCTTAGTTATCCCAAGTATTTTTAGTATCTTCTTCTTATTTTTTTTTTTTAAATTTGTTGTTCCCATTAAGAAAGAAAGTTATGTTAGTTATCCCACTTATAACAACAAATATTTTACATTGTTTCATTCTGATTCCTTCCTCACAAAATTTCAAGATGTAGATAGTTTCAAAAATATTTCCTTCACAAATATTTTACCTGTGCTTTGAGACACTCAGTATAAACACCAGTACAACCATCCTCATGCCATGAAATATGCAAAACAAACAAAGCAGAAAGTAGACTCTTTTCTGGAATGGTCCAAAATCACCAACATACTTAAGAATGTCATCAAACTTCATCCTGTCTAACAGCTGAAATAAAGAAAATGTCAAGATATTAGTAAAAATGATATAACCCATTCTTGATTAAATTTCAATAATCTTCTTTTTTAATATGTCTAAGACTTTTATAGAAGGCCTATTAATGTTAACTTTTTAAATAAGCAAACCATTAACAGAAAGAAGTATCAACAAAAGTTCTAATGTAACAATATCACTTAACTCAATTGACCTGATTCCCCCCCCCCCCCTTTTTTTTTTCTCCTTTTAAGAACTTCTGACAAGATGGGAAGTAGGCTACAAAAGGGAAGTGGAATAAAGTGTGCAGCACTGGCCTAAGAAGGGGAGCAGCTGAGGTTGGTGTGCCCCAGGTGGCACTTGTTTTTGAGAATGTATTTTTAATCCACTTTGTTAACTACACTTACTTAATATGACTATTTTATGTGTATTCTGTATGCATTGTGGTGTTCAAAAATTAGACATAGCAAAGTCAAAGACAGCCCCGGGCATCACAAACTCTAGCAACTCCACTGGTGTGCAGATATAATTTAAGTTTAGCTGTTCAGCAAAGCTTACTGAGAATAAACGTGAGCATCCCCCTTGCACCCTTGGCCCTGAGACTGTAATTTGGTAAAATCTGCATTCAAGTATCAAAGCTGGCCTATGTCTCTCTATTTGTAATAATGCATTTCATTTGGAATTATTTTTTAACTTGTAACAATCCCTAAAATTTTATAAAATACTGGCACCTCACTTTAATAATAATATATAGCAGGCCATATATCTTAAAATGATATAGCACATGTGAATCTTTGGCCCATACTAATAGGCTATTACTTTAATAGAGATGACAGGTTTCCACTTTTAAAATTTATAACAGGGAATAAAAAATTAGACCTAGGCCTATAAAAATACCACTGACCACTGGAGCCTGCTTTGAGTGAGTTTTGGAGAGGGGCAGGATAGGAAGATGTTCCAGTATTTTTATAAGTTATTTCATTGAGACATTTATGAGATAATGAAATAAATCCCTATACTATTTATAAGCCAAGAGATACTTGTATTAATATTTAGCCTACTACTAATAATAATCATACTGCCAACCTTATTAAGTAGTGGTGGTAATAGTTGTTAAAAAAAAGTTTGTAGGTAAGAGTAACATCAATTTAATTAACTAATTAATAACTATAATGTCATGATCATCATCTCATAAATAAATAATAATTAATAATGAAATAAATAATTAATTATAATAAACAGATCATTTTAAAATTTAAAGGTAGTTATTTTTGAGGAGTCATAGTCATACGTTCAAGTTTCATAATTTAATAATTAATTGTATTATTTTATCATATTATATAGATATAATTTTTTACTTTGACTTTTGACGTGGGTGAGTCCTGTGACTAGCACACTAGTCCCTTGATTCTTGATAAAAGTTTATGGATTATAATTAATATAACCAAGGCCTGGCCTAGCCTGTTCTCTGCATTTAATTAAAATCTTATATTCATGAGTACAAATTAATTAAGTCAACAAAAAAAACTACGTAAAATTTTTTTTAAAAAATAAGTCCAGTGATATGATGATTAAATTTAATGAATTAATGTACTAATTCAGCTAGATCTAATTGTTTTAATTTTCATTATTTATTTTATAAAAATGTAATTTACACTGTATCTGGATTATTTTTTTTTATATTTTTTTTTTTTATTAACCTGACCCTAGCCATTTGTCATTTGACATTTATCCACAAAAAGTGATTGGTTTGAAATACTGGGAGGTCACATATCAAGGGTCGAAGGGTTAAACATATAGAAGTGGCTCCGTTTTTTTGAAACTGCATAAACCAATTACAATTGAATTTTTCAAAACTCTTATTTTATTATAGTTCACCATTGACTGCATTGAATAATAATTGTGTCATAAAATCATAAAGACACGAATAAATATAGTGGCGTAGGAAGAGGGGTTTGAAGGGGTCGTCCGCCCAGGGCGTCACTTTTTATAGGGAGGGTGACATTTTTGGCCAACTACAGAGTATTTTCATGGACGGGTTGGCAAAAATCTTGGCCCGACTCGGGCGTCACTAACCCTGACTGAAATATATTTTTTAAACATAAGTGAAAGTGCTGCATAGAACCTCGATTATACTATTATTACAAGCTATTTTAAATATTGCTTAATTATTTATCTTAGTCTCTCGATGATTTAGGAAAAATCTTGCAGGTAAAATATAAAAAAAATACAAGGTGTAAAACGTGTATATATTTTTACCTGATGATGAATTTTTGAAAGCTTGACCGACTTTAGGAAATCAAGTGCTTTAACAAGACTTTTTTAGCCACCCCCCCCCCTCCCCATTCACCTACGCCTACACATGGCCACATCAATCATTACATGTAATAAAATACTAACAAATATAATTAAAAGAGGACAGTTACTTATGTAAAGTAAAAGACAATACAAACAATAACACACATTAGTTAGTAAACTGATAACTGATAAGGTACGTTGGGGCATCCAATGATCTGGTATGTGTGCAACGGTTGGGGAAACGATGCGGCTATCCTAACGGCTCCCAGCGGATGCAGCCTTGAAACTCTCGATGGATGTCGAGTCCACTGATTTCGTGGTGCCTTAACATAGATCCTCTCCAACATATCATTAAATGATTCTTGTACTTTTATCTGACATTCTGTATCTTCGGTGGGAGAATGAACATTTATAAATGGGATTTTATATTTAATTAGTAGCTCTACTACCATTAGGTTGGCTAAGGCTCCTGCTCTTGACAACAAAGTACGTTCCACCAAGTCGTAATGAAAAATCACGTTGGTATCCAGCCATATGTCTGGGACCCTCCAGCCACCCCCTTTTTTTTAAAAAAATCCCATTTACGGTTTACTCGCAAAATTTGTCTTTTTGCTCAGATTCTGTGCTGTTTTGCTACACAAATTTAACAGATTGGTAACATGGTAACAAACTAATTTCTGCTCTAGTTCTATTTTTTTTAAATTAAAATTTCCAGCACATCAAAACTCTGCGGATTACCTCCTCTTGGAGTCCTGGGGGCGCAGCACACCGGTTGCGGAGCTCTGCACTTAAACTAATCGAAGCTTTTGTGAACCTTTAAAAAAAAAAAAGGTCTAGGTTCTTCTTTGAGTGCCGGTATACAAAAACTTGAAATGGTTAACTTTTATTTATTTTCACCTTTAAGTAACTATTAACTACAAAAGCAAACTTTGACCCGTAACCATAAGATTGTGATGGTTGAACATACAGCCGCACCATGTATTCTTACACTGAATGAGATATCAGTGTGTACTTGAGTATAACACCAACCCGTTATTGTTATAGCGTTCTGGTTATAAGCTAGACATATTGCAGTGCCCTTCTGTCTTAAAGAGACACAGAGATTGACACAACAGTATCAAAGTAATCAAATTAACGGTTAATATATTTGATAACACCCCTGTATGTTGGTCCTGACATCTCACACCTGTATGTTGGCCCTGACACCTCACACCTGTATGTTGGCCCTCATATCTCACACCTGTATATTGGCCCTCACATCTCACACCTGTATGTTGGCCCTCACATCTCACACCTGTATGTTGGCCCTCACATCTCACACCTGTGTGTCTGCCCTCACATCTCACACCTGTATGCAGTGGCGTAGCAAGGGTGTTTGGCGCCCAGGGACAAGATCTATTTTTAGCGCCCTTTTTTCTTTTTTTCAACTCTCAAACCCATTATTTTCATCAATAAAATAATATCAAAGCACATTTTGGCGCCCCTAACTAGCTGGCGCCCGGGGACATCTGGCGCCCGGGGACATCTGTCCCCCCTGCCCCCAACACGCTATGCCTCTGCCTGTATGTTGACCCTCACACCTGTATGTTGGCTCTTCAAACCTGTATGTTGGCCCTCACATCTCACACCTATATGTTGGCCCTAACATCTCACACCTGTATGTTGGCCGTCACATCTCACAAAGATTATTTACGTGCTACAAGTTAAACGCTGCTACATGCTTTCTTTTATAATTAAACATTAAAATAATTTCAATTCCATTTATATAACGACTGGTACTATCTGGCAGACCTGTAAAAAATACTGCCCACAGGCCTCATAGCTTTCCCCCCTGTCCTATTTCTTTCAGCCCGCACAAGTTTTTCATTAAGTATTACGGTCCGGCTTACATTTTTAAAAGAACACAATTCTAACAAATAAAAAATAGAAAAATAAAAACATGTTATAATTTGGATACTGAGAAATTTATTTACATAACCATTAGGATATTTAGGCTGGTATTGCTTTTCTGAGGTTTTTAAAAAAATTTTATGTCAACCAAACAAGAATAATCATTTCTTTAAATAAAAATAATTCTTTATTTTTGTCCCTCTTGTATTTAAATGATTAAAATGTTTAAAAAAATACACCCACAGTTTGCAGGTCAGGGGATATTTCCATTGTTTCCCTAAGCCTAACCTTTGGAATGTACTCATTAATATTTTTTATCTTGTAAGAAAAATCAATCTATGTTTTTTAAATGCCTTGTGAGACAAAAGGTGTACCACCCCAGCGCATACAAAATTATCATAATGTGGCTTGGGTTATGAAAAGAAAAGACAAAACTTTATAACTGGTCAACCCAAGAGTCCAGGCAGGATGACTCATTACTTAAATTATTTTTAAAAAGAAATGTAAACTATTCATCAAGTTCAACAGTTTCGACAACATGCTTTGTGAACTTTTTGGCATCACTCAGTGTTTCAGGCAGCTTCCGGTTTAATGTCTCTGGCAGCAGGCATGCCAGTAGTCCAGCCATGAGACTCAGGCAGCCACTTATCAACAAGGGTACACTTCTGCCAAGGGTTGGATTTAAGCTGGCACCCTAGACACAGTTAATAACTCATTATTCTTTTAGTTTTATTATCAAAATGTGTGCCCTAAATTACTTTATTTTTTAAAAAAATTAGCAGCAATTAAAAAGTTTACTGGCAGCCTACATATTCATGACTATAGAATAATGAAAAAAATTTAGATGAATGGATCGGGTCTAATTAAAGTATTATTGCTTTTGTAGAATCGACTTTTAACTAGTCCTGAATAAATGACCAGTGAAAGATTGGCTCACAATCATTTTCTTGCATACATAACATACCGGTACATCCGTTTGACTAAGGCCATCCGTTTGACTAAGGCATTACCAAGTTTTATTTTATTTTTTTTAAAGTAAATGTTTGTGGTATACCTGGGCAGCAACAAATGGTGCTAACATAGCTCCCAGCCTGGCCCAGCTTGAGCTGGCTCCTAGAGCAGAGTGTCGTATAACAGTGGGGAATAGCTCAGATGAATACAGATAAATTGTGCTAAAGGCACCGGTCACTCCAAACTTGCTCATCATGGCTAATACAATAGCTAACCACTGGTAACCTGGGGCAAAAATACAATAGTTAATCACTAGTAACAGGGGGGAGGAGAAGAGAATACAATAGCTAACCATTGATAACGGGGGGGAGGGGATACAATAGCTAACCAATGATAACCTGGGGGGGGGGGGAAAGACAATAGATAACCACTGGTAACCTGGAGAAAAAAAAGTTATTTTTATTTGATTTGAAAAACTATTAGAAGAGAATACAATAGCTAACCATTGATAACGGGGGGGAGGGGATACAATAGCTAACCAATGATAACCTGGGGGGGGGGGAAATACAATAGATAACCACTGGTAACCTGGAGAAAAAAAAGTTATTTTTATTTGATTTGAAAAACTATTATTTGAAGAGTGCATATGCATTACAAACAGAAAAACAATTTATTTGACATTAAGTGACCAGAAAAAAATAAAATCTTTAAAGAAACATTGTCTGCATTTTCTATAAACACCACTCAGCATATATGAAATTATTTAGATTTTGTTAACGACAAAAGCTCATTCTTTCGTAATTTTTGAAGAAGGTAAAATTTTATATTACTTTTCCATTCCTCACCTTCTGGTGCCAATATTATTTCCAAAACACAGAGAAGACAAGCCATGCCACAGAAGATCAGCATACATGAATGGATAATCTTTCGACCTAATCTGTTAAAGAACAAAACCATACAAGCATTTTTTAGGGTCATCTGGATGGGACATTTTAATGACAAAATTGGATGATGAGGTCAGGTCATGTGGAACTGTATGTTTATGGCACGTGAAATCTTACCACAAACTTTTGAGAAGAACCTTCTATTTTTTTTTCAAATGTAGTAATCCATTAATTAGTTCATACTATTTGGGCCAATTTTTGCCCCTTCCCCTCTCCCATCATCATAAATGTGTCACATAATATTATAGACACCATTGTAACACAAAAGCCACAAATTTTTGTGACATCCCCCCTCCCCAACCTTGGATGCATGACATCATTTATGGGTGCCTCCCTCCCCAACCTTGGATGCATGACATCATTTATGGATGCCTCCCTCCCCAACCTTGGATGCATGACATCATTTATGGGTGCCTCCCTCCCCAACCTTGGATGCATGACATCATTTATGGGTGCCTCCCTCCCCATCCTTGGATGCATGACATCATTTATGGTTACATTTTGTCAATTACTTATAAGTTTGATAACTAACACATTTAATGGAACATATAGAAAAACAGATAAGAGAGTTTAAAGTTTTGCTAAACCTTACAAAGGTCCGCACAGAACTGAAGATGAGCAAATACCTGTCTATAGTAAAAATGATAAGTATGTGGGCAGGAAGCTCTACAAGTCCTGATAGGAAGAAGTTGAGATAGATGGAGCCAGCACCAAGGTTTCCAGCATTAAAATTCAATGTATAGTAAGTCATGCTTATAATAAACCTGCAGAGTTTTTGAAAGCATGTACAGTATCTAATTGTAAGAATTTCTGTTTCGTTTTAAAAAATTTAATAATTTGGTGGCAAATTGAGTTGGCTACTGGCAAAGCACAATAATCCCCCGAGCCACAAAAGGTTTCCACATTTTTTAAAGTATTATTTTCAATGCATAATGAATAAACTTACCATATTCAGTTTACCCTTCAATTTAACCTGATTACTGTAATAATTATTCTCAATTTTTTTCCCCACTTTATTATTCAGTTACGTCTGATAACTGTCTAAAAATAATAACTTTAAAAAAATATTCTTGACTTTTTTTTTTTTTGCATGATCTAAATTTCCATACTTGTAAACATGATGAATAGTCTAAATGTATTTGCAAGCAGTAAATAATGGAAATATAAGTATTGCAAGAAGAGGAAGTTTTAACTCTGATAACTGTCTAAAAATAATAACTTTAAAAAAATATTCTTGACTTTTTTTTTTTTTTGCATGATCTAAATTTCCATACTTGTAAACATGATGAATAGTCTAAATGTATTTGCAAGCAGTAAATAATGGAAATATCAGTATTGCAAGCAGAGGAAGTTTTAACCTTTCAAAATGAGATGTCTGGTGTGCAAAAAATCAACATTTTCAAAGATGACAGGGATGAATGTTGCGTGGTAGAACAGCAAACTTTGACAATTATAGCGTCGTTAAGGGTTAACAAGTAGGGTGTTTAACTAACCAGTTTAAAAATATTATACTTGTCCTTATTAAAAGCACACGACTTTTGAAAAGATCAACAAATTTGCCTTTTTCTTTTAACACCTCTTCCACAATCTGGACTTCCTCCTTTTCTGAACTGAGAAGTTCAGCAGTCTTCTCTTTAATTTTTAAAGGCACCACTTTATCAAGAATACAATCTGGTACTTCCTTTCTATTGACTTTGGCAGCTTGCAGGATAGTGTAACGGGCATCAGAATATAGACCCTTCTGAATCTGCCATCTTGGTGACTCTGGAATAAAACTGCAGACAGAAAAAAAGAGATATTTGAAAACAAAACAATTAGATAACATGCTGAGAGCAATTATTTCCTGATGAGAAGCAACTGCCCCTCTCTTTAAAAAAAAATTTCATCACAAGTATCCCACTAAATTTTTATTTCCGTTAAAACTTATCAGTATCCTTGTAGATAGACATGTTAGACATCTGATCAATTCCCAGGGAGGGTTTCAACATTACATGATGTTACATGATGCAATCTAAACTGTGGAAAGCTTTTGCTATGTGTATTATATGAGGTCTACTGAACAATGGTGAGAGTAACCACAATTTGAAACCCACTTGAACTAAGATGTTAGTGAAAATAAATTAACTCAAGTGTTTTGGAGACTTTTTTGTCAAGCTTAATTATTTAAATACAGATTTGTATGACATCATAACTTCACAATATTTATGGAAATCCAGATAAAAAAGCACAAAAAAATCAACAGAATACTACTTACCACCACATAAGATAAAATACACTCAGTGGACACGTGATAGACATCAGAAGATAATGCCAGTCCCTGATGAAATATGCCATGACTCCCAGCAGGCAAACACCAAGTGAGAAAAACACCTGTACAATCATTGCAGCTATTGTTCTCTTGGACGGGCCAACCAACTCAACTCCTGGGGTTTACAGTAAAGAGTTTTAAAAATTATTGACTAAGGCTCCCTCTCTTACAGTTAAGTAAACTTTCGACAGTGAAAAATCTGAGATTCACTTTTAAAGAGTCCTTTCACATTTCAGAATTGAAAGTTACTCAGTAATTAGTTAAAGCTACCATTAGTATTTAATATTATCAAGGCATTAGGGGTGTGTGCCTTTAGTTGTAATTTATCACTTCAAACAGTGTTTTTTGATGGATCTATTTATTATTCATATCAATTTCTGCTTAATTAATTGAGGTTTCCCTTTAAAATCCTGTTCTAACCTCTATCTATATTAGTTCTTGACCTCTATTTCAATACTTTTTAGTAGATCTCTATCTGCATTTGTTCTATATCACTATCTGTATATTTTGTTCTAGACCTCTATCTGTATATTTTGTTCTAGACCTCTATCTGTATATTTTGTTCTAGACCTCTATCTGTATATTTTGTTCTAGACCTCTATCTGTATATTTTGTTCTAGACCTCTATCTGTATATTTTGTTCTAGACCTCTATCTGTATTAGTTCTTGACCTCTATCTGTATATTTTGTTCCAGACCTCTGTATATTTTGTTCTAGACCTATATCTGTATATTTTGTTCTAGACCTCTATTTGTATTAGTTCTAGACCTCTATCTGTATATTTTGTTCTAGACCTCTATCTGTATATTTTGTTCTAGACCTCTATCTGTATTAGTTCTTGACCTCTATCTGTATATTTTGTTCCAGACCTCTGTATATTTTGTTCTAGACCTATATCTGTATATTTTGTTTTAGACCTCTATCTGTATTAGTTCTAGACCTCTATCTGTATATTTTGTTCTAGACCTCTATCTGTATTAGTTCTTGACCTCTATCTGTATATTTTGTTCCAGACCTCTGTATATTTTGTTCTAGACCTATATCTGTATTTGTTCTATATCTCTATCCATATATTTTTTTCTATACCTCTATGTGTATATTTTGTTCTAGAACGCTATATGGAATTGTTCTTTAATTGTTCTAGACCTCTTCTTTTTATTTGCTCAATTAGGAAAACAATCACTGCTTAATCAAACCGTACTTTTTTCATTGCCTCATAACTAATTGTAATGAGTGATGAGAGGAATCTTAATGTCCCAGAAATAATGCAAGATATTTTTACTTTGATTTTTTTTTTTTAAACTTTGAAGTTGCAGATCAGCTCTAATGTCCTGTTCAAAACTGACACATCAGCATCTAGAACTAACCCTTGCCTCACCAATAACAAATGCTGAAGGGAAGATACCAGGCGTAGCAGTTCCAACAAAGAAGTTGAGAATGGTGAAAGCAATGAAGCTCTGGGTCCAGGCTTGGCTGATGCCCATAATCAGTAGGACAGTCAATGAGAGATAAAGGCACTTCTTGCGTCCTAACCTGCAAAGGATATGAAACATAAAATTTGTGAATTTTAAATAAACTAAGTAAAACTTTATTAAGCTCAATAAAAAACCATGTAAGAACAAATGAGGTAACCTGTAATGCTTTTTAAAATGCTTTAAAGATAAGGAAGTAAATAGGAAAAACTGAGAAGTCAAAAGTTTGGAATGGTCCAAGTTGATAGGACATTAGAGAGAGAGCTTTACACAATACTCTTATTGCAAAAGGAAAAATGATCACTCTATAAAAATAGAAATCTTGATAAGGTATTATTTCAAGTTCTTATCATAATTTTTTTTTTTTTTTCACATCTTTGCATGTAGAAAATAACAAAGAAAGTAAAGATCTGCTTATTCTTCAGGTGAGAACTTTTGCAATTTTCTGCAATGCTTAAATGTTTAATCTTGTAATGGTTATTAAGTAATCATCTTAAGTAATCATTCGATCATGTAATTCTTACTTGTCAGAAACAACACCAAGGGCAAAAGTGCTTGTCATGATCCCAAAGTAGAAAGTCATAGAAGATAAAGTGGTTTCTGAAGCATCATCACAAACTAGGTTAAACTTTAAAAAAAACAGAGAAGTACATTGTGTCTTTATTATGTAGACCTGATTTTTTTTCTGGGTATTAAATATTTTTTTTTACATACAAATACAACTAAGTTGTGAAACAATTTGTTGCCTATGCCTGTAAGTTTGCATAGAGCAATTTTTTTTTTATTAATATATAATGGTTTAAAAAATGAATGCTTGTTTTTTGTACAAATTGATTTAAAACAAAAAAATAAAAGAATGCGGGATACTGAATGTAGTAGTAGCAGAAAGGAGAATGTCATGATTTTTTTTTTTAGCAAAACAGACACCTGGTTTGAATTACATAATAACCCTATGTGTATAATAGACAATACAAATATTTGTTGTCTTTTTAACAATGAAATGAACTCTTTTAAGTTTTTACTTCACTAGCCACAGTGCTTGTAAACTCAGACTTGTCATAGACCCAATGGCTGCACTTTTGTTTGATGGGGTTAGTGGGATGTGTGCTGTTATTGTGATGGCTTGGGAGGTATATGTGGCATGAATCATTGGCAGGTATGGACTTTTTCAGTTCTAGCTGGTGTTCAGGGGAGGTAATGTCATATGAATCATTCACATAGCCAGGTATGGAACATCTACAGAAGAGAAAAAAAATGGAATGGTTTACATTTGCATTTCATAATTTTTAATATTATACGTTTTTAAAATTTTAATTTAATTCCTAAATGAGCTGAGACATTGAAATCCTTATTTAACCAATAAGACATACAATTGTTAATTTTTTAAATTTACGGTTTAATTTAATGGCATCAAAAATGCATCCAAATATTTTTTAAAATTTCAAAATTATTGCATGGATAACATACAGAAGTGTATTAACCCTTTCCCTCCTTCCACTATAATCACATTTAAGTAAAACAAAATTTGTTTAGAAGCTAACTTAAGTTTAAATGATTTTATACAGTGATTTACTACCTATTTGCTAAAGGACGCTGCTATAAGCTAGTGGGAATGAGATGAAAGACATCATTGAGAGTACACTTTATAACAGCACTGTAGGAATAACATGCATAAAATGTAATGTAGAGGTAACAATTAAATCAGTGTGTCATGAGCAAATAGGTAGCCAAACACCTGTCTATTGGAATCCATTATTTTTTACCTGTGGTTTGGTACACTAAGTATAAAAACCAACACAACTACCCTAGTACCATGAGAAATACAGAACAAGCAAAGTAGAAAGTATACTCTTTGTTGGAAAGGTCCGAATTCATCAACATATTTCAGAACATCATCAAAATCCATAATTTAATACGAAGAAGTTCTGTTTAAATTGAAACAAATGCATGCAGCTATAAAGATTGTAATATTGTATAATTAGCTTAAACCGAGTATTAATGAATTGAACACATTGACAGACACATTGTATATATACATTGTTAATGTTACATACAGTTAGAAGGTTTAACAAATTTAATCTGTAGTTTTAAGATTTGGCTCATTAGATCAACAGTACGTTACAAAAGACTGAAAACCAATATAGGGCCTAAAAAGAAAAATAATACCAAAGCTAGGATATTAACAATAATACTATTTAAACAATTATCTTTTAAGTTGATATAAATAAATAAAAAATCAAATATACAGAAATAAAACAATATTAACTTACAGCACAGCAAGTGGAAAAGTATAATACAGGAAAGGTACCGGTGCAAATATTAATCCACACACACAGTGAAAATCTGATAGGGCTAAGTCTTGTAAATGCTTCTGCCAGTCACAGTCAATGCTCGTATTTATAGTGAGGGAGTCAGAACCCTCCAGAACAGAAAGTCTAGATTTCTCCATCCATGTTGTATAGTTTTATGTAGACCCTTCTGGAAATGTTAACAAACTTTCCAAATCAAGGGTGGTGGGGGAAAAGGGATTTGAACATGTGTCACCAAGCTAAACAGTGATGTCAGTAAAAATAAATATATGGGGAGGTAGGGCTGCATGCCATGGCTGGAACTAAGTCAGCACAGGCTGTAAGAACATATAAAAATCTTTATATATTTATATTAAATATTTTAGCATCCCTTATCATAGGCACCCAGGGAGGCTGCCTTTTTTCACCCTCCCCCCACTGCCCATGACTGCATCAGTGTCTGAATTATTAATTGTCATTGATAAAAATAGTAGTCAATTTTCTTTTCTTTCTCAGTAATTATGCCTTTCCCTATAGTAGCCTTATTATGTAAAATTTAAAAAAACATATTTATGGTATCCTTAACACCACATTTACATAGTATTTTTAAACAGCTCTTGGCACCATCCTTATTTCCAAAAATATTAATACCAAATGCACATAAATACTCCCCATAGTCTATCTCTGAGATTATCAGCGTTTGTCAACCATTTGGTCACCGAAATGCCAGAGAAGCTAAGAACTTCAGAAATGGGCATTTCTATCTTATTTGTTTCACGTTTAAATTAAAAATTTAATTATTATTTACATTGTTCAGGCTAGTTTTTAAGTGTCACTAGACCATGAAGGCACTTACAGCTCCACAAAAAATTATGTCTCATTCTGTAGAGTAGGAATAGATGTCAGCATCTAATACTAATTTAATTTATATTTTATATTGTTGAGTCGTCCTGTAACTGATGACTTGCGCGGGTGACTTTTGTTTAAAGTGAGAAAGAGTTGCGCAGCGTTAACCTCACTCTCTCGTCCAGGCCCACCATATCCAGTGGCAAGACTCTACGTCAAGACGACCAGGGATGGGTACGGTTGCAGGCATTGTCATTGTATGCGCCTTACGGGACTCCAGCTCCGGGTTTGAATTCAGAGTTTCCATCTCTTAGAGAGTTGCCAACCAAGGTTAACGAGTCTCATCCACCCGGGGTAATGTTTTTTGGCTGGAATTGAGCACCAGACCACCAACTTGAGGTTTGCTCAGTTTAGACCATTCGGCCATCCAGTCACTAATTTAATTTACAAATTTTGACAATTACTATCCTTTCTAAAATAAATTTCCTTAATAAACGTATTATTTTATAGGCTCTATAATGTTTTTATGCTTAATTTATAGTGCTTTTCCCCCCAATGTTTTTTTTTTCAGAGTGTCTGTCTTTAATTTTTAAAAATCAGATTTTTTGGGTGTGGGTCGCCTCACCCCCCTCAAATCAAGCAAAGCAGCAATGTGTATATGTGATGTTACAATACATGTTGGTTATGCAAAACTATTCAATGGGTTACACTACGTCGTACTGACACAGTAGTGACACTCACGACTCACCCCACTCTCACTCACAGATGAGCGAGTAAAAAAAAAATTAACATTCATTAAGCCATTCATTAGTCATTAGGTATTTATTAAGTATTAAGGATTGCAGGATGGGGAGCGGTGGTTATATGAAAAAAAATAAATCAAAATTGAATTATGTAATCTCTTAATAAGATATTACCGTGCCATCACGCCTATATTTTTCAAAAAGTAAATATAAATACTGAGTGTTGATTATTAGTTTCGTAATTCGTAAGTTGTAGGCTTGTATTGACTTGTATTAGTTTGCCAAATGCATATTCAATCTAGTTGCTGTAAAAAGAAAATGAAGCTTTAATACCTTACTACATAAACGATTTCTGGTAGACCAAACTTAAAGGATATTTTCGCTTACTTATATTATTATTTTTTCGCCTAAAAGTCATTTTTCTCTTATTAGTTGGGTCTTTGGAAGTGACTGAAATCAAACACTCATATTATTGTATTTAAACAATTTAAATATTCCATCTCTTTGTATTACAAACAATATTGCATTAAATGGACAATCATCCATTAAAACGAACTCCAGGTCGTCGTCGACGGTTACACCAACCACGTTGTATTTATTATTTTTAAAGACAAACCACACAAAGCAGTGTTTCCAAGATCTTGTTTACCGTAGAGTTCAATAACAAGAAATGATCTAAGAACATCAACATTTCTTCCATAGCGTACTTTCCCTATATGGTCAATTACGTGATGACCTCGACTATTTATTCGTTTCTTCACCAAATACTGGTATTCGGAAGAAGGATTTGTCTCGGCACTGTTGATGGCTGCAAAGATAACTGCTTCAGAAACGATCATCATATCGGTTTTTAAAGAACATTTTTAAAGAACATCACAAAGACGAAGAAAGGGGCAGCTTGAATATGAATCTAGAGACGAAGCACATACGAGCCAGGAGAATTTCTACAGGATAGAATATTTCTTGTGGTTAGTAGACCAGGGGTTGGGATCCCCGATGACCCATTTCCAGCAATTGCAACTGCACTTTGACATGTTTGGCTTTTTATATGATGCTATTCAGCAACTCCGTTCGATGACTAAGGGCCATTTGAGTAAACAATGCGTGGATTTTAGCATGGCGTTAAGAAGTGGTGATTCCCCGAAAGTAGCTATAGTTTGGACTTACAAGACGAACTGAAAGTCCTGAGAGAAATTAAATGATTCCATAAGAATCACGAGCAACATTGCAGTGCATTGAATGCAATTAATGTTCCCCCAGGCAGATTCGTTTCTAAAGGCTGCGACCGCATACAAAATAATATTTACTCTACTGGTAACTGTAGCAAGTGAAGAAAATAATCTTTCAAAACTAAAGCTAATGCAAACCTAACTTAGATCATCAATGTCTCAGGTTCAGCTGAATGGATCACAAACATGTTTAATTGAACGAGGCATTTTTACCACCCTAGATTATAAAGAACTCAGTGAACATTTTGCAACAACAAAAAGTTGCTTGAGTTTTTTTTAATTTTTTTTTATTTTTTTTTTTTTTTTTTTTTGCTTGAGGATTACAGTCATGTAGCATCACATTAAAGTATTGTGTTTCTCCCAATCTCTCTCAAAAAGCATTATGTCATTCCATTACTGAGATTGTGGATCTTAGTGAAAAATTGGCAAATCCCAACATATGTTTATTTTTCTCTTTGTTCCAGAGTTACCTATACTAATATAATGACCCGAACTCCATTTTTTATCGCGCGAAAACCATCTCGTTTTTACTGTAACATTATGAATTCTCTTTGGCTCAAGGCACTTCAACGGTTACAGTAAAAACCTTTTGCACATTACGACCCAATATGACTATGAGGTGACTAAGTATCCTATCGGCCGAGGTATGTAACCAGTGTTTCTTTCAGACAATTTCCTCCGGGGGGGGGGGGGCTTTTTAGTTTTTTTCGGGGGGGTTGGGGCGCCGGTGGCCTACCCNGGCAAAATGGGCTCTGGTGGTATTTAATGGTTGAAAATAGCGGATTTCAGAGTTGGTTGGGGGGGGGGGCGGACATAAAAAATGAATCTTGTCCCCTGACGCCAAGCACTATAGCTACGTCCCTGCCAGTGGCGTAGAAAGGGGGTGGATGGGAGTGGTCCAAAAATGTGTCCCATTTCTTTATATGGTGGTGCAACTGATACATTTGTGGACAACTGCAGAGTTTGTATGGTGAAACTGAGAACGGAAAATATCTAAGCTGCCCAATGGGGACACTATCTACGTCACTAGGCAGTGTACCTAATGGCACAAAAATTTGCGATCAATTAGCTAGTGAAACTTTTGAAAGCCCTTGCACTACAGGAAACCTATTATTTCAAGATAAACTCTAAACTCTTAATTCAGAAATTATATACAGAAGAACATGAGTTAAGTTTAAAAGTAGACTATCTGAATTATGAGTTTCAGTCACACAAATAGTGTTTTTAATTTAGAGACGCAAACGTATCTTAGGGGTGCAACCAGCAAGTGACTTTTGAGGCCCCCCCTCTCCCTTTCCCTTGCTACTTTTCAATTAGATATCCTGTGAATTCAATCTCGATTTTTTTTTTTTACTACTTTGGGCCCATGAAAATATCCAAGCCTCCCCTCCCCCACCTCCCCACTCGCAGTCGAAGGGGTTGCCAGGACCATCCATTAATGACGTGGCGCTATTTTTGCCAACTTTAGTCTCCCTCACCCATCTTAAAAAAATGTGTTAGACAATTTTGACACATTCAGAAACTTCATAATAAATAGTCAAATTCGTGAAACGTTTCAGCCCTACCACAACCCCTGAAAATAAAATTGTCCTGTTTTTCAAGGGGAAGATGAAGGCAATATCAATCAACATGATTTCAAGAAATAAAATCCCAAATAACTGCGTTAAGACCTAATGCATAGGCTTTGAGATGGACCTGATGGTAAATCACAATTTTTTCTATAAAAATACTTCAAAAACATAAAGCCTATATAATATAATATATAAATATAACCTCCCCCCCCCCCATTTGTGGTGAATATTTTGTTCCTCTAAACTTTTTTATAAAAAAATACTTCAAAAACATAAAGCCTATATAATATAATATATAAATATAACCCCCCCCCCCCCCCATTTGTGGTGAATATTTTGTTCCTCTAAACTGAACATTAACTTTTTAAATAAACAAGATGGAGTTGTATATATCTAGAGACACTTCACTTTTTGGTAAACATATCAATGTCTGAAATAGCTAGGCCTAAGGGCTAAGAGTAAGACTAAGGACTAAGGATTACTTAGGAAAAGGTGAGAAGAAGTTTTTAGTATTTTAAAGTATTTAATCAATTAGTTATTATACTATATAGTATTATTTATTATATATTTCTGTAACTTATTATTATTATTAATTAAGTATTAATTAATTAACTAAAGTTAAGAGAGTTAAGACTTATTTTTAAGAGTGAAGAACTCTTACTTACTCTTACTGCTCTTATTTAACTTAAGTTTAAGTCTTAAACTTAAGTTAAGTAAGACTAGTACTAGTAAGAGTTAGTAAGAGTTAAGTCTTAAACTTAAGTAAGTAAGAGTGAGAATAAGTTAATGATTGAATTGATTGTAAATAAATAAGTTATAGTTCCAGTTATAGTAGTATTAATAATTAATATTAGTAGTAATTAGTATTATTAGTAAATAGCTTCAGCTAGATAGGCAGACCCCAAAATATATCAAAATTGTAGACAAAATGTTGCTTGAAATTACTAAGGAGTGACTAAAGTAAAGTTAAAAAGAACAAAGTGTCTACATGTCCGGCGACCGGACGAATAATTCTCGAGAAATTCGTCCGGCGACCAGGTCACATGACCGCCGTAACAAACTTAGGCCAGATATCTGTCCGTCAGCCTTGTCACGTGACCGCTAATAGTAATAGTCGATCATAAAACTGGCGTCGGAGATGCATAGGGGGCAACGAGTATACACTTCATTTCAAGAAATAAGGGGTGGGGGAGAATCAATGCATACTAGAAGGAAGAAATACTGAGAGTGAGAGAGAAAGGATAAAAATGATAGTTAGGGTGATAATAGGCGGGGAGGTTGAAAGTTCACGAAGAAATATACCCTACATGGTAAAATAGGGCCAATGTAGTGCGCTGTTGGGGTAGCCTACTTCTCACCCAATATTAATAGCCTAAAATAAAACATTTTTGACAGTAGATCTATTGTCAGTCAACTGGCAAATATTGGTCTTATTTTCTTTGGTTCATATTTTAAATTTAGGCTACTAGGTAGAGCTTTATAAAATATTTAGGCCTAAACCAAGATTTTTGATAACAGACTTTTTTAAAAATTTTATTTTGCCAAGGACCTCTTGTCACATGACATGTCTGCCGTAATAATAACACATACTAGTCATCCGGTGGTCATATGACATGTCCGCCGGAAGAATATCTCCAGCACTATTTGTCCGGTCGCCGGACATGTAGACACTGCCTAAAAAGAATGTACAATAAATTACATACATTCTCATGATTCTGAAAGAACTGAAAGGTTCATATTGGTAGTCATAGGCTCAGACATAAGACATGTCCAGTGAATAATAACTCAATGAATGATATTTGGTACAAATGTACAATATCATCCTATAAATGCTATATTTATATCAATGACAATGAAGATGAACTATGAACGTTCGACAATCATTATTGGATACATAATCATAAATTTTGATCTTGCCCTATTTTAATTTTAAGTTATTTATTGCCAAAAAAACAAAATAAAAGGACAGAGTGCAAAAATGAGCATAACAACTCTATATTGTCAATTGTGATTCTCAGATATGTGGGAAGACCCACTGATGACCTGCTATTGCCCCCTACCCTTGTGTAGTCTTAATGTACACATTTCGCACAGAAATTATAGACATTTATTAAATATTACTATATTATTTTTTAATTAATTTGTTATCTGTTGATAATGTCATGTCTCATGTTGTCTGCGAAAGGGTGTAAAAAAGACATATTGAATTCTTCTTCTATATCTTAAGGGCCCACGATCAATTTATTGATCATTTTGGCTCCTATGCATGTAGATGGGATTTGCAATGTTTCTGTTACTGGTGTTGATGAGGAAATCATGCACTAGGGGTTTGAAGGCTTGAGGCAATAGACACAAATGTGTCTAGTGTTGTCGCCTCAACCGTTCTTTTTTAAAAAGTTGTGAAAATTCCATAATTAATTTATTTATAAATGAATTTATTGTGCATGCACATTGCCACAATAACAATGTGAGCCCTCAGAATCCTCAATTATTCCTTGGGCTCAACTGGTCCTACTCGATCACTTCGAAATAAAAAAAAGTCTTTGCCTAAGGCTTACTATTAAATTACTAATTTATTTATTTATTTATTTAGACATTTTTATATAGCGCTTATCATAAAGCTCTAAGCGCTTTACAATTATTAAAACATGTAAACTAAGTAAATACAAATGAGACACTAGGATAGTAACTACTATTCTATAGAAACAATGAAAATGGCTATAAAACGAGGACACTTTGACACTTCAGGATCAACCCGAAACAGAAAATGAGGTAGGGCAAGGAGGGTGCATCACAGGTCATAGGCGGACCTAAACAGATGAGTTTTAAGGGACTTTTTGAAAATGGACGAGGTTTCACTATGACGTATATGGAAGGGGAGCTGGTTCCAGAACGTGGGCCCATGGAAGCAGAAGGAGCGTTCACCGATGGTCTTAGTTTTAGTTCTTGGGATTGAGAGGGTTCTACTGTCAATGGAAGAACGTAGTTGTCTTGTGGGGATGTAAGGAAGCAACAGTTCAGAGAGATAGACAGGAAAGTGAGGGTCAGTGAACGAGTTGAAGCAAAGATTGGAAGACTTGTATTTGATGCGAGAGGATATTGGAAGCCAGTGGAGTTGCCGCATGTGTGGTTGAATGTGGTCATGTTTCTTTGATTTAAAAATGAGTCTGCATGCTGAGTTCTGTGCCTTCTGAAGTTTTTCTATGTGGTGTTGAGGAATGCCTGAGAGAAGAATGTTACAGTAGTCAAATTTTGAAAGAATGAGTGAAGATTAATACTACCAACCTCTTTAATAATACTACCAACACTTGTTTAGTACTGTTCTGTGCATATTAAATATTTTACAGAAAAGATTATATGAACTTGATGAGTATTAGAAAACCTCACAACTTATACAGTTGTCTGTTGTGGTTTAGCCTAGGCAACACCCTACTGTCTTAAAGCAGGCCTAAATATTGCCCTTTAATTTACTTAAAACATATTAGATTGGGCCTAAGGCCTAAATACTTTTTCTTTCCAGAGATTACAAAAGCCCAAGAACCAATTTATTAAGTGAGCAAAGGCAATAGTTAGTGATTGAAGAATAAATATTTAGAAGGATCAGGTCAAACATTAGCGAAAGGCACAGTACAGTATGATATTATAATTGAAACACACTAAAATGAAGTCTAATGTCATGTTATAAGTTTTGATAATATTGTATTTAAACATATTATATCAAATACATTACATTGAAAAAAATCTAAATTCTCAAGGTCAGATTTCTCTCATTATATTTCCTATATGTTGTTAGACATCCATCAGTGAGAGCAGATCTATTACTGCTGTTGTGTCAAGCAAGCATTGTTGAGATGTATAACAATCAAAGCACCAAAGAGGAGCTCCAACATAGACATTATCTTTTACTCAGTGAGCTTCAGAAAATGGCCAGAGAGCTGCCAGGGTGAGTACTTTTCCATACAGGTTCAACAATGTCTGTACATGGATTTTTCCAATATCAGTATGTAAACCTTCACATTAATTATGTTGGATACATTTAGCTTAGAAAGACTTTTTTTTTCCTCTTCTCAAGGAAATGATAAATAGTACTTTTGCTTTCACATAATGCACATTGGCTTGTGTAACATTGTATTTTGCTGGCAATGTATGCAAAAATATTATATGCTGATAAACTTATTTCAAAGCATTTAAAGAAATACAACCAGTTAAAATTTATTAAAATGTTTACCAATCTAGTAAATTTCAGCAACGCCTACCTTATGACCTGTTATCAGCTCTTGCTAATGCTTTACTTGACGGTACAGCGTTTGAAATTGTTAAAGGGCTGGAGGAAGTCCAACACTTGGAAGAGAAAAGTCTCTTCACACAGAGACAAAAGCTGATTAATGACCATAAATGTAAGAAATCAAGCATATAATTATTCATTTTATTCTTAAACAGCATGGAGAACCAATTTCTGTGTTTATAAGTGTCGTACATTGCTAAAATTCTTTTTCTCTTGTGCTCAACATTCTGAAATATTTTAATTGAAATAAAGTTTGTTTCACAAATTTAATTAAAAAGATCATATTCATGAAATTTAATTAAAAAGATCATATTCATGAAATTTAAAAAAAAATTATTCATTCATTCATTTGATAATTTTCCTAGGCTATATAAACATAAGCCAGAGCAACTTATTTTTTGATTTAATTCAAAGTGACTACTGTAAAATTCTTTTATGTTCCTTATTTTAGATGCTTGTTAACATTTAATATAAAAATACATGTTTCTTGTTTAGCTCAGCGCCATGAAATGAGCAAAAAACATAAAGAATTATTGATGGAGAATCAGAATAAGCCCCACAATCTTCCTCTCATAGAAGCGCAAGTTGAAAGGGAATTGGAGGTAATCTATCAGATTTTTTTGTTAAGAGTGCAGTCAAAAAAATATCTGTCAGATTTTGATTATTTGGAATGACTGAAAACTCATTAAAAAGTAAATTTTTGAAGAAAAAAAGCTCTATTTAGCTTTAAAAAGTTGTGAAAATTCCATAATTAATTTATTTATAAATGATAAATTGTTAAATATGTATTGGATGTTCAATGTTATTTTTAAAAAGGAAATAATAAAACTAATATAAATGAGATTGTCTAAAAGAGAAAACATTTTGAAATATAATTAATATGCTTTTTCTTTTGTTTTTCTCATATATATGATAGGAAATGTATCTGATAAAAAATGTGACATAGTATCCACATAAGATATCATATTCTTTAACACATCCAGTAACATGATTGCAGTGTGCAGTTGTTAATTTGCTAACTATTTTCATTTGATCATGTAGACCATGGAAAGAAGATGTGAGGAAGAAATGAAAAGAAGAGATGCTAAAGTAATTTTGGAACTTGACCAAAAGCTCATGGACCAGCAGAGTATGTTGGAAAAAGCTGGAGTCCCTGGGTTTTATGTAACAAATAACAGACAAGATGTGAGGCTTCAGATGTATTTGTTGGAGTTTATCATGAGACTGGCAACAAAAGACAGAGAACTGAGAAGTAGCAGATAGCATAATTCTTCCTTGAACTTCATGCACGTCATTATTAATGGTTATCATTCCTAGTTACATTGTATAGATGTTAAAGCAAGGATGTCTCAACAGCAAGAAAGACCCACTGGGGCAAAGCAGTGCACCTTGGCCCCTAACTACACAAATTCAGGAACACAAATCTAAATGGTCCATAAAATTAATCATTTAACAAATATATTGGAACTCGAATTAATACTACAGCCTCTTGCGGTTCAATTCCTGTTTAATGTCAGCTGATAAAGAATCCAAACCCTCAAGCCCCCATTCAGAGCATGAATAGTGCCAAATATGATTACAAGTCAAATGTCACATGTGTTTTATATTAAAACACATATATATTTAAAATTTAATACAGTCTAGTACAGTATTTATTTATATTCACATCAAGTAACAACCATAGACTAGCTTTGGACCTCTATGGCTCACTGCTGAGAGTGCCCATTCATCAAGACAGATCTGCGTTCAAGTCTTTTCTACTTGCTTATGTAAAGGGTGTTTTTTTCTTCTCACCTTAGGATCTTCATTTAAGCTATTATTATACTTTAACTTTAAGCAACCACCTGATGTATCAGGGTATCTGGACAACAAGAAAGTAATACTCTGTACAATAATAGTAATTTTTAAACATGTGATCACATGCATTTTATTTTAAATATTCGAGTAAACTTTGGGATTATTTTCATTACTCACTTAAAATAGTTTTTCCTCTACCACTGAGAAAGAAAACTTTTCTGTGTGATGGTAACAAGTTGTTGGTGTCACTTAACTGTTAAAAAAATTTAGATGACAGTGCACAGCTGTGACTTATAAGTTTTAAGTATTAAATCTTATCTAAAGCAATTTGTATTATTTTACCAAACTGTAAATCACATTACCTTTAAACTCAAATTCTCAAAAAGTAAATCAAGAGTCAGGGTCTCAAGAGTCAATCTTATCTAAAGCAATTTGTATTATTGTACCAAACTGTAAATCATATTACCTTTATACTCAAATTCTCAAAAAGTAAATCAAGAGTCAGGGTCTCAAGAGTCAAGGTTTTCTAAACATTTACTACACCAAACGGGTAATATTTAAGAATAAATTAGCTTGTATTTGTTCGTACATATTCCTACACTGATATTCTGAATTTTAAAATGGTTTTAGAGTTTGGCTATGTCTAGTATTAATTCCAAGAATAAAAGCTTGGAAACATGCTAATTGCTGTCCTTGTCATTTTTTGTTTTGTGACTATATATTTGAAAAATGTAAATTGTTCACTGCTGTAAAAATATAAGTTGATTAAGTCAATAATAAAGTATCAATTTGACTATCTCCATTTTCAGTATTATTGCTTTCATCTATTCTTTATAAATAATTTTGGACATATGAGTCTATAAAGTAATAATGATAATTTGAGTTGTAATAATCAAGCAAGTTTTAGTTTCTTCTTCTCATGTAATGCAACATCACAGCAAATACTTGCATTAAAATTGTATAATAATTGTTTCATTGTGTGCTGGTGGTCATCTATTTTTTAAACCTTTGCAGCAAGGAGTTTTGGGGATGAAACAAACACCCTTAAAGGCACGCTGTTTTTTAGTCGATTTCCTCTAAAGTGCATGCTCTGCACTGGAATGAGTCTTAATACTGTGGACAACAAGCAATATCCAAAAATGTTGCCATAGTTAATCTTTAATTAAATGGTACTTAGTTTTATGGAACACTATCCTGTACAGGTATTTGTACAGAATATTTGCTTGAGCTTATGTTAAAAGCCTATGTTATTTCTGAAAACTTTGAAAAAACATTCCTTGTTTTTACCCATACATAGGGCTACAGGATAAACTGTACAAGTTCACTCAGTTGGGATTAGTTTTTGCTTGTGTTGTACACAGCAGGCACCTTCTGTGCCTTCCCCTTTCTGGAAGATGATCAGCCGAAGTTTTTATCACATATTGGGGTAAAACATAGGGTTTCTTTTTCTTGATCTGCACTTTAGAGATAGATGATGACTCTCGTTTGTTCTTGACTTAAATTAACATTTGTCGACTGCAAGATCAAATTCATCCTCTGAATCTACATTAAGTGGTACATGAATAATATCCTCTTCTACATCAAGAAAATTTAGGACTTCATCTTGAGATTGGGATCCGCACAGTGTGTCTTCAAATGAAAAATAGATGATGGTACATTTAATAGACCACCTGAAAATATAAAATATTACCAAATTTTGCTCAAGATTTCCCATTATTACATAACATATCAAATTTTTACCGTATTTTAACTAATTAAACCATAATTAGCTTTATATATGCAGATTTTCCATAGATTATCATTAAAAAAAAACACTGATCACTTAACACACATTCCTCTGCAAATAACTAAACAGGCCTCTAACAAAAGACTGCAATCCCAACAGAGGGAGACCCCATCCACCAGCGCCCACTGTTCACACTCGCAGAAGTATTGGAAGACTGAAATGGTGTAACGCTTTTTGCCCAGGACAACTTACAAAAGTGATACATTATAACACATCATGCAATTATATGCTACAATTTTGTAAACTACCATGCTTCAAAGAGTTAATACTAAAACTGCTTCAGAATGTTGGTGTCCATTCGATCACTGTTAGTCAAGAGTTTTACTTCTAATTGCATTCATCAGGCATTGTCAAAGCACAAACAATGCAGTGTGGGTATTTTCATTCATTTGGGCCATGACTGCCACATATCTTGAGGTAATTCTTTCTGAGAGTCCAATGGAGCTTTGCCTAGTACCTTACAGTCAGGAACCAATTAATTAAACGTAAGCCTTTTAATACTGGCTTTGCTATGGAGAGGGAGATAAATGTGGTCTGTTTTTTTTTTTTCAATGCGCTACTTGCCAGCAGTAGGGGCTTAGAGCACATAAAACCTCAAAGTAAACTATACTTTAAAAAAAAAAGAAGATAAATTTCAAAATTGAAGGCGATATGTGTTGTCTAATCAGTTTTTCTAAACTCAAATTTGTGTTGTTTTTCTGCAACTTAAAAATTACTAAATTATAAATTGTCAAACTAGATTTTTTAACTTAATACTTTTTAAAAAGCAGAAATACAAAGTTATATAGTAGGCCTTTGGGATAAAAATAATACATTGAGCTTTACTGATAACAAATTACCGTTTTAACATAAGTAGCCTAATCTTTAATCTATAATACTGACATAGCTTCGAATTTGAGTTCCTCAGCTACCCACTTTTGACGTGGCCATTTGGATTTATCTCGGTTTTTACTATCTTTAGTCTTGATCTCGGTGAGAATTTAACCATTCTTGTTAGTTAGTAAACATTGGATATAGCGTAGTTTTAAAGTCACCCTGCTACTACTTGATCTCGTGTTTTCAGTTTTAATCACAATAAATAAATACATTGTTTTATTTTTTAAAAACAACGACAAGAGACCAGGGATTGCATTCGTCGACGTCGTCGTCACTAGACTAAGTTTCAGACATCACGACATCACTGAAATCAGTATTCATAGTGTTATTAATAATGATGATTCAGTATCAGTCAGTCAGAAGTGACTTATTTTTATGATTTTAGGTGCACCGTCATTGCCGTCAGTTGTCGGTTCGGCCCAGGACAAAACTGCCCCATAAATAAGCCTAGATATATAGCCCCCCCCCCCCACACAAATATTAAAAAGGCCCAATCAACTGAGTGAGTAAAAAAAAGCCGCCCCCCCCCTCCCCCACCCCAAGTCAGTGAGGTCCCGTGTAATTATAAGTCCTTAGATGTGATGAATTGCCTACAACTTTTAATGTCACAGATTGTTCAAAGGCAACTTAACAACTAGATTTATACATATTATAAACTATTTAAAATATTGTGCTGACATTTTCAAATTTTGAAAATAAATAATTCTTTGCAGTCACTTTGCAACAACTATCCCTATATTACAAATAAAATGCTTTTGAATTATTAGGGTGCCATTTATACGACAGTTTATTAAATTAAATAAAATGGGACATGATAATTGATAAACAAAACAGATCTATAATTCATATAATAATTTTTATTTTAATCAGAAGCTATTACTTGAGACGATACTGACATGTCACATGTCAAAGGCTAGATTTCAATAAACTAATGTGCATCTCTGAATTTAAATTGTTTGTGAATTAGAAAGTAGTGGTAAGAACGTTTAGACAAGGATGTAGGGTAGCCAAAAGTGGGCAAGGGAAAAATTTTCATAGTGTCTGTAGCTGGAGGACGGTGTGATAAAGAAAACATACCAAGTTAAAATTTCTAGATAAATATTTTTTTGATATATATATATATTTATATATCTTTTTCAATAATTAAATTTTAATTAAAAATTTAAATGATTAAAATATTTAATTCATAATAAGATCTACTCAATTGAATGATCATCCATTTTTATTTTTAAAATACAACAAATAACTGAAAGAAGGCTTTTCTCAACAGAAATTTAAACATTACAACATAATTTTTAGTTCTTTATGTATGAAAAAGAAGAAAAAACATGACAGACATATTACACTCACACATGTTGATACCCCTCTCCACCTTTCACACTTCCTAAGACTCACCTACCCCATGGGCATTAGGTACTTTAAGGACACACTCATACCTTAACAGAAATGAGCAAGAAACATTTCAAGCACATCAAATCAAATACACTTCACATCATAATTTCTTCTAAATGTATTTTAAAGCCATAAAATTAAGTCAGTCAAATTATTAATTCACGCAACTTTTTAGGAAATAACTTTAGTACACAACAAAGAAATTTTACACTTTCCCTCAACCTGCCTCCCCTTAGTGGTTTAAGATCCAGGATGATGCAGTTTTTATAGCCCTTTTGTCAATGCTCATTGACAGGGGCCTTATTGTTGTGGGCCCTTTTGACATCATCATCATTAATATCCAGTGGCCAATAGGGTATGTGTCCTTTGTTGTTGTCCATGTTGAAGGATTCACACACTCTGTCTGTGTAGAGTTCCATCGCTATCTGTAGCTGCCCGGTAGTTCATTATTGAACATTAGGTATAGTGGACAACTCAGTGATGAACCTTTTGGGAGCCCTTTTTCCAGGACACATTTTGATGAAGTGGCATTATATTGATAGTCTAATTTTTTTTCTCATTATCACTCAATTCATTATTTAATTTGGATATTCGTTGAGTTTTTAATTAAGAAGATAAGCCAAGGGTAGAACAATATTATTTATTTTCTGTAAATAATAAATGATAACAATTATTTAGGCCAAGTGTTTCTATTGTAACAATTTTCAGTTCACAACTAGATTAGAAATAATTAATAAAATTCAGCTTTTTTTCTTTTCAGTTAACAAGCTGAAAAATAATAATGCCTCTCAACGCTAGTGGAAATAGTGTCCTTCCTGATAGTGGGGAGACTATTGAGAATTCAAGGGGGCCAGTGACAAGAGAATTTAGCATCAATAGTTTTGAAGAGTTTTTGGTAAAATATTTTTATTTTTTTTTTTTTTTTGGTGGTCTGTTGTAACTCTCAGTGATATGAAAGGGGAACACCTTCTTTGTCATTTAAAATTATTCAATGGCCTTATTAAACTCAAAGATTGGTTACTGCCAGGAAGTCTGTCTTCCTTTGCAATTTATTGACAGGTGCTCAGAACTTGAGTGTAAACCCATGTGTCATCCGGTCTGAAATGGCAGTTCATAGTGTCAATACCTTTATGTGGTTTTGAAAATTTGATCTGTTTTAAAAAAAAAAATGTAACAAAGGACTAAACACCAGTACACAAAGAAACAAGACCAAAGCCAGCGATGCTAAAAATATTAAATTTAATTATTCTTTAAAAATATAAATTGAAATTTTTAAGAAAAAAAAATAATATCAACCTACAGCACAGCAAGTGAAAAGGTAAAACCCTCGAAAAATTATTAATTTACACACATACATAAAGCGTAAAATCAGGCACTTATATAACATCTTGTATTGTTAGGAAATATAGCAAAAATCTTTTCCCCCAGCTAGATAAGCTGCCGGCCTATATAAAAAATATACATATCACCATGTAAAAAAGAAAGTCAAGAAACGTAATCACCTGATAGCATTCTTTAGAACAAATGGAACGCATTAGAACATAAACAACCTTTTCATATCAAGGCTTGGGTGGGTAAGGAGTGACACAGCACATTTACTCTGTTAAGTCAATATCATAGCAAAACAAAGGGAGACAAGTGGTGGTGGCTTAAAATAGCCATACACGTATGCCATAACAATAGCTGCCAGATAAGGAAACAGTTGCAGGAAGTGTTCAGGGCTCTGTTCCCTTGAACTGTAGTGCCAATGGGTGTTATCTTTCAAATCAGATCTCCTGCTCTGTTGTTGTGGTGTTGAACCACCAATTTATGATTAACACTTACTCCTATTTTTAACCATGGAAACTTGTGCAAGGCTAATTTTCCTTTTAAGATACTCAAAGGTTCTTTAAAATGGGTCCCTTTTATAATATAAGAGTTTTATTGTAAGACTCTTTTATAACTTTTAACATATTTCCAACAATTAGGCTATTCAATTTTGCTCTACTACTAAATGAAATGATGACAGTTTGATACTGCTAGTCATGTATAGACCTAATAACTTTTTTTTAGTAGGAATAAATCCTTAATGTTAATATTTCCAATTACAATTTCTTCTACCTTTGTTAATTATTTATTTTATTTTTAGAGAGACTTGAAAGAACACAGAGAGCATGGTAATCAAATTCTTGATAGTGTATCCAAAGATCGTGGAAAAGCTCAATTTGAGAATGTGAGTTGTTTTTGTTTTTAAAAAACAGAAAAGAAGACTTTAAATTAACAATAACCTAATTGAATGAAAAAGACAATTTTCTTAAGTCCTGGATGGCAAAACTTAAATCTTTAAAAAGTGTATAATTTACTTTATAAATTATTATAATACTAGTTATAGCCCGCCAAACATTGGCGATGGCAATGCGTGAACTTCCCATCTACTAAAGTTACTTGACAAAACATGAACTCAATTATCGCACATTTATGAATTCCAATTTTTGCTAGCCCCCCCATGATACTTCACTGCACACTTTTTTTTTCACGCCCATGAACTATATTAAAAATTCTGATGTCCCAAACACTTTTAAACTGAAAATTTTTTTTTTACACCATACTTAAACTGAGACGATTTCATTTATCAAAAAATATTACGCACCAAACGAAGTTGCGTTATTATTAGCGTAGTTATCGGGAATTATATTTTGCGCGCTAGTGAACTCATTATCTATATATAGCCTGCATGGTGGTGGTGGTGTTTGACCTTTGCTGGCGATTTATATATGTAGATATTTATTTAAAATTTGAATTGTTTGAGTTTTTAAAATTTAAGTCAGATTTATTTGCTTAACTGAAGTATACTTAATGAAAAAAAAACTACTAATCAGCACCATTTCTAATTTAAATTAAATTAGTTTCAGATTTATAAAGAAAAATATAGTGTACTGTGGAAAATCTATAATATTCAGTTATGTACTAACATAAACAATATGTCAATTATTAACACTTTTGAGATGGAGCCTTTTTTGGAGTGTCTGTGCCTAGTAGACTGAGCCCTTTTCACAAGCTCTGCACTCAAATCGCCAAAATAACTATAAAAAATAAACTAATTACTTTACAAGTATAAAACTATATATATTCTTGTATGGAATTGAATGAACTAATAAGATCTTTATGAATCAAACAGAAATCTCAACATTTATGCAAATGATATATCCTGATTTGCATAATTTGTGCATGCAATTTTTATTTAAACTTAGAATAAACACATCTTACTTGTAGATTTTTGTTAAATTTTATGATTGTTGAAGTCTAAATAAGTCCTAAATCATTTTGGTATGAGATTCAGTGTGGGAAAAACTGCATGAAATATACCACTGGGGCTGCTTGATGCCTTTTGACATATTTCAAGGTCACATAGTTTAAAACATTTTTAGAAGTCACTAGGTACAAAAAAAATGATATAAAATGACAGAACATCGTAAAATATCATAGGAAGCCGCTATTAAAATGGCAAGATGAGCAAGAAATGCGAGAAGCAACCTGACTAGCTGGTACATAGACCGGCCAGCCAGGCTTGAATTATCGGGTTGATGAATCGGCCATTTGTCTTTTTCAACCGTTTGACCCTGGGCCGATAGATTAGCCCAGCCATCCCAAGAGGGTTAAAATTAATTGCCTATGCTTATGCTGAAATAAAATTGTATAATTTGTTATATTTGTTTAAGGCTCATTAAATTTTTTAAAAAAATGTATGTCTTAAAATCATTTTCAGATAGCCCAGAATGTTTGGGAAAGAAAAACAAGGTTAGATATGGCTGTTCACCACCTGGACAACAAGATTTGTGATCTAGAAATAAACATCAAAGGTCAAACTCAGCTTAGCTTTGACAATGAGCTAGAAAAACAGGATCTGGAGAGTCTGAAGGCATTCGTTAGTAAAATTGTTAATTGTATTTGACAATGTTTAAACTTGTGTTTAACTATTTAGAATAATACATGTGGGACTGTGTTAAAGCCCCATGAAGGAAATATTGGAACCATATATGTTTAGGCTTGAAATGAAAAGACAGGACAAAGAAACCGATTCTTTAAAATCTTGTTTAAACAAAAACAAGGGTCAAACCGAACTCATCCGTACGTACCATCCTCGGTATGTGATCGCCCCCCAAAAAAATATTCTTAAAGATTAGTCATATACTTCTTGCTGACCCCGACACAAACAGGCTGTTCTTGTCCCCTTCACTTAATGTCTTCAGGTGGGATAAAAATCTTGTTCACGGTCCTCTTCAAGCCAACCCATCTCATGTTGGGATCAAACCATGTTCAAGAAGCTGTTGTAGGACTTGTCCTTATGTACTGGAAGCTAAACACATTGGCCTCCCTAGGGGGCCTTTTACTATCATAGAGGGCATCACATGTATTAGTCACAATCTGATTATTTGCTGAAGATGCCGCTCCTGTTATATAGTGGAGATGGGAAGAAGGCTATCTGACAGGTTCGGTGAGCATCTTTGTGATATTGAACAAAACAAACCATCCCTTGTCTCAAACCCATTTCAACAGAGGTGTTCATAAGGACACATCAGATGTATCCATCTCGTCACTGATTTCTTGCAATAATGCACCAATGAGAGTGAATAGTGAAAATCAATTAATTCAAATTTTCAGCACCATATCACCATTTGGAATCAATAAAATGCCTTCTTACTGGTGGTCCATCCATTTCAATTCTCATTTTTTCTTGTTTAAAATCATAAAGTTTACATTAAAAATACTTAAATTCTTTTACCTCCTGTAATCTCTAACAAAATTTCCATCTCTAACAAAGAGTGCCTCCTTCTAGGCTTCCAATATTGATATCATCTAATACATCCTTTTTAAAAAAAAAAAAAAATTCTTCGTTGTTTCTTGTTTTGCATTGTCCACTGAAGAAGGCAATTAGCCGAAATGTTCACTTCCCTTCAGTTCAAGGCTAAACATATATTGTTCCGATATTTCCTTTAACTATTTACAGTGGTTTTTGATTAGGGCTGGTGTTGTGAGAAGCAGTTAATGTTTGCTCTTTGTAAAAGGGTCTGTTTTATTTTTTGTGTGGCTAAAACTGTACAATGTTAAAATTTAGGGTATTATAAATAAATGGACAATGTGAAAAAATATTTTTAACTAAATAGATGGTCAGTTTGTAATAATCTTTTTGGTTAAAACAGTCCAATGTTAAAATTAAGGTATAATTTATTGCATAATAAATAAAGTGCCAGTGTTAAATAATGTTATGAAATTAAATATATGAATTCCTTCCCTTGGCTGTATATTGGATTTTTAATTTAAATTTGTTGTGCACCATCTTATCCATGGCATTGACACCACATGATGCCACAGATTGTGTGTTACCACATGATGCCACAGATTGTGTGTTGCACACCACACTTCATGAAAACAGATAGGTTTTTTTTTGGAAAAAACTGCCGGCTAATCAAACTAGAACTCATCAAGCCATATAAATAAATTATAATATAAAAAAAATAGTTGAGTTTCATGCAGCTGAAGTTCTTATCTATTATTTTCATTGATGGATCCTTTAAGCTCAAACTTATTAACAATAAATGTAATCTGAATATGTAATGTTTAAATGTGTAAAATCCATCATCGTTCTTTTTTTTTGAGATATTAGTATAAATGGCAAAATTTGAAAAAATGTGCATTTCGTTGAATGTGAAGACCTAACTTTCTGTAAGAAAATAAATCATTCATTAACTTAAGCCATGTTGACTTAAATGATAATTTTGTCAACTTTCAGAGGTTGTTAGTTGAGAAGGAGACAGAGAGGGAAGAGATCTACAAGACAAAGGCCATGGAAGTAATTGTCCTTCTGTTCTTATTTACTTAAAACTATTTAAATACTTTATTTTCTAATATCATTATTAAATGTTTCTTTGCTTTAGTATTAGACTAATTATGAATTATCCCTCGGGAAGACTACAATACTTTTATTTTTTACAAATTTTCCCAATCACCGAACAAAGAGGGTGGTCTTGTAAGGGCAGTATTTTTTTGGTCAAATTTCTTATGCTGTTATGGCTTATGTTTGATGCGAATTCTTTATGTTTTAAAGGACGGCTAAGTCATCACAAACTCAAGCTAACCATTATAAGTAATATATGCTAAATCATAAGCATTAATTTCTGGGTGTTATCTTAGAGATTATTTTACGTATAGAAATCTCAATTTTTGTTTTGATGGATGCAGGCTGTTAACTTCTTTTCTTTTGCGGCTCTTTGATAAACATGACAGCAGAAACTAGTGCAGTCGGCTTATAGATTGTGGCTTTTAAAAACATTTATAATATAATCATGTAGGTTAGCTGTTGCTCTGAAAATTGATGGATAAACTTGAACTTATGCTGATATAATAATATAGTTATGTATGTAATATATGTTTGATATATAATATAGTTCATAGACTAAGAACAAAGTAAGATATGTTTTTTTTTCCATTGCATATTGATGTAAAAGTAATCTGCCTTAAAGTTTAAATGATCTGCCACATATTTTCTCTTCTGCTTATCCAGAAGTTCCTGTCACTGTGTGTCCACCACAACCTGGATGCTGGAGATTCTGCCTGACCACATGCCTCTGACTGGCACGGCCAAACACAAGTCCATTTATTCCATTAAACTTTGAACAGAGTAAAAATGAGGAATGTTAAAAATAATGAAAGTCTGTCAAGAGGCCTACAATGTTAGATCTAAAACTAAGTCCTGATATTTTTCCCCATACTTTAGACAAATGTGACAGAATTTTTCAGGCCAAATTATGCCTGACGCCATCAAATCCAGAGTACAGAATTTTGCAATTCTGCATTGCCTCATGCTTCTTTAAAAATGTTATTCATTTAGAATTTATTTCCAATAAGTATCATTTTCGTTCCCCTGTCATTACTCATTTATTTTTAAGTCGTAGAGCAGAAGGTGACCCCATCGTAGTTTGACCATTATATATGACCCAGATTCTTACTGCTGTGTCCACCTCCAATTTGGCCATACATTCCAGAAAGGTTTTTATCTGTTTAAAGTTAAAGTTTTGTCAGCCTTGTCCTACCACTGATAACCACAGGTCACTGGCACAGACTGTCGCATGCACTAATTTATCATAATCACCCTCAATTATCTGCTCTTCCATATTGCCCCATCTACACTTCGTCTATAGAATGCTGACATAACTCTATTTTTTTTTCCAGACCGACATGTAAATAGAATATTTCACATTCAATCGCCTCTGTCATATCCTTGGATTTTCCTCATATTTCATATATTTAGCTCTGCAATCTACTCACACTGTTTAAGACTTATACATATCTTTTACACTGAAATGTTGTTTTTTTACTGAAGTACATTGTAAAAGGCTAGAAGATGAAAATATAATCCTCATAATACATTAAAATTAAATGGCACTGATGTGATTATCTTCACGTCATTATTTGTAATTGTTGAACAGTGAATGCTTGAATATTCATTTCATGCAAATTAGCTTTTTATTGAAAGTTTATCACACAGAACTGTTTGATGGGTTGTTGCACCCTCTTTTTTTTTGTTTTTAAGTTTTGTATTTTTGGCATATGATAATTATCAAATGATTTTTAAAGAAATAAAAAAAAAAAACATATTTATTAAAACATATTTATTAAAATATTTAAATATGTTGGTTTTAAATTTTATTTAAAAAAAAATTAATTTCTTCCTTTGAAGGAAAAGAGCAGACAATCAGTATCAGCATACATCTTTCTGAAATTGTTTTTTTTTTCTTTTTTTTTTTAAAATAAATAATTCTTTCAGAGTCATACTAATGACCACAGAATTATTATTATATTTTAAAAAAATACATAGGAGAAAAATGTAACCTTTTAGCAAACAAACAGATTTTAATAGGAAAAAAATATGACCTTTTAACAAAAAAATATTTCTTCCTTTGAAGGAAAAGAGCAGACAATCAGTATCAGCATACATCTTTCTGAAATTGTTTTTTTTTTCTTTTTTTTTTTAAAATAAATAATTCTTTCAGAGTCATACTAATGACCACAGAATGATTATTATATTTTAAAAAAATACATAGGAGAAAAATGTGACCTTTTAGCAAACAAACAGATTTTAATAGGAGAAAAATATGACCTTTTAGCAAACAAACAGATTTTAAATTCATGATTTATTTGGTTAACTCAAACATTAACACATATTTTTTGTTTCTAAGTGTTTATACATTGGTATGTATATATATTTGTAAAATATCACAGTCATTAAATTGGAAGTGCAGTAAAATAAACACAATTTTATTGATCTAAAAAAAAAAAAAAAGTTTGTTTCATCTGTATGTGTTAAAACACAATGTTTTACTATGGGTTCATTAAGGTAAGAAAATTATAATTTTAAATTGACAGTTTAAGAAACATCTCTGTCACAATTTGAAGAAAAATATATTCCAAACAGAAAATTGTTAAATTTGATGTTATAATTCTTGACATAAAATTTTTTAATATTAAAATAATGATGGAAAGAAGAAATTTTAAAATAAAATTTGAACTGCATTGGAAAGATATATTTATTTGCAATTTTCCTCATAGATAATTAACAAATCTTCATTTTGTAACAGTTCTATAAAATTCCAAGACCTGACTGGTAAATACTTTTTTTAAAATAATTATTCCGATTTTTGTGTCTTTTGTTATCAACAGAAAAAAAGCAAAAAATTACTCCAGTATCCAAATATAAATGTTTTAAAGAATTCTCATATCTGTTGTTTGAAAAGATTTATTTCATATAAAAAGTTGTTAAAAATTTACCAAGGTCATAAGCCAATACAATGACCTGTAAAAAGTACACAAATAAGAAATTTGTAATAATTATAAATAATTTCACATGTCATTATAAAAATTCCCAGCTGTCCGACTTGTTCATGTTATCCATAAACTTATTGATCTTTTTTTTTTTTTACTGTCCAGTTTATCACGTTACACCTGAAGATGAAAATTGTTTCTTTTAAACAACCTGTAAGGAGTTTTCTCTGCATTTGAAATTATGTCTGCAAGAAATTTCCTTCCACTGGAAAAAGTTTTCACTGTGATAACTTTAAGCCAATTAAGTGTAAAGGGCTATAATTTAAAAGCTTGGCTCCAAGAATTATGACAACTAAAATTTGTATTGAAATAGTTTTCATGAAGCTTTAACTTTGAACCCTGCACTTACTTATTCTGAGGTCTTTGCGGGGACGGATAATTCCAGTCAAAGCTGGTGGCTTTGTAGAGATGAGTCGAGCCGTTGTCTCTTTGGCTGTTGAGTCGTTGTCATATTCATTAGCCGTAAGGATAGGTTTGTTTGTTAAAGAAAAAGAGTAATATTTACAACTCCTGGGACTCTAAAATAAATTATCAAAGATCATCAATTAAAATCAAAAAATTTAAATGACCATAAAACAGTAAACATTTCAAAATGTGCCAACTTAACTGCATTAAAATATCAAGTTAAAAGACTCATTTCTGTAAGTAATGTTTGAAATGGCTAGCTAATGTTCACACATTGATTGTTGTGAATGTTTAATAGAAGGGCATAAAGGATATAGGCCACAATGGGGACTCCCAGTGTGTGGGTTTCTGTGACAATTTCTAACACATGACCCAGCCTGCCGACTCCTGACTCTCCTTCGACACCATTGGCTATAGCGTACAGTTCAAGGGTCAAGGTAGCACTCATGCCTGCTGCCACCTGGGTTGTAGTAAAACAGGTTAATGCCTTGGGTGTGAACACGCAATTGATAAATAACGCCAATGTAAAAATGATCTATTCTATAATAACTTTTCTGTCTGGCTAATGAAGGATAAAATATTAAACCATTTAGAATACAATTTTTAGTTTACATAATTAATAGAAATATAATCTTTTGATGGTAAGAAATGCCCCCTTTAAACATTAGCCCAAAAAATCAACGTTTAAACACAAGATCTGTGCACCGTGCTGCATTGTAGTAGGTAAACGCTAACAGAAATCAATGATGGTTGCCTGTGGACATCTCTCAGGCTATGTACACACAGTGGCGTACCTACACAGTATAATATAAATCAGCATCACCACAATAGTAACAAAATGTTGATGCAATGAAGATAAATAAGAGAGGAGTTATTTTTTTCACAAACGGTTTCACCATTGAACCATTTCCAAATTTCACAACATACAGTTTACATTATTTGTCATTTAAGAAGATTTCTACTTCGATAGATTTAATCCCCCTCCCTAATTTTCATAGATTTAACACCCCCCTCCCTTTACTTTGATAGATTTAACCCCCCCCCCCTCCCCAATTGTATCACTCTGTTGCTATTGATGCATGTGGAATTCTACACCCAAACCAAACCAAATTATTTGTTTTTTTACTTTTTACAAATATCATTGTTTTCAACCTGATTCCAACCTCTGGTCTTTCTTTTTAATGGTCAGCTGCATCCACTACAATGGTAATAAGTTAAATTGTCAGTTAATTTCTAATCCCTACAAAGAAAGTCAAGAGCAACTCACTGGTCCAGGTTTGAATATAACTCTTAACCCAGTGGCAGGGGGAGGAGGTATGACCTTGAACCTGCAGGCGTCAACACCAGTATTTTTCAAATACACATTGTAAGCATAAGTGCATCCCTCTTTCAGCACACCGAAATCAACACCCTCGGGGTAACAAATCAAGCCCCTCATATCCGACAGGAGTTTTTGGCCCTTGGGCGTGGCCCCGACAGTCAGCGAGGTTTTCACTTGACGACGCACAGGGTCTTCAATTTCTTTGAACTAGAGCACAGTCAGACAGAAGTATAATTTTGTTTAATTTTCACAGCAAAATCTATCTATCTACTTATATATATATAAATATGAAGTTGTCATTTTGCAAACAATTAACAGTAAGGTGAATGTTGGGAAGGAGATCAGATAAGTCCATCCAAATCTTAAAGATAAATCTGTTGTTGATGATTTGAGGTGATCCGATTGTGGTGATGCAAATCAATAATAATAAAAAAAATTGTCACAGTGATTGTATTTAAGGACAGTCAGAGTCAGAGGCGTAGCTAGAGTGTTTGGCGCCCGGGAGACAAGATTCATTTTAAAGAGCCTCCCTTTCTTTTTTCAACTCTCAAACCCATTATATTCATTAATAAAATAATATCAAAGTGCATTTTGGCGCCCACAACTAGTCTGGTGCCTAAAGACATCTCCCCCCCCCCCCTGGCCCACCCTAAGCTACGCCTCTGGTTGTAGTGCACCAAGGACCCGATCTCAACTTTACAGTACCCATAAATAAAGAAGAATGTTTGGATATTCAATTAATAAAAATATTTATGAAATTCAGAACCTCTTTTGTGAGGTACATAACTCAACAAACACATTAAAAACTGAAATCTGATTCCATCAAAGTCATATGTCACTCCATCAAAGTCATATGTCACTCCATCAAAGTCACATGTCACTCCATCAAAGCCATATGACACTCAATCAATGTCTTTCCATCAAAGTCATATGTGACTCCATCAAAGTCATAGGTCAGTCCATCAAAGTCATAGGTCAGTCCATCAAAGTCATAGGTCACTCCATACCCTCAAGTTAGGCTGAGCCCCTTGTCGTCCTCCTTTGATTGATACAGGAATCGGGACATGCTCAGATCTCACTTGGCCAATGACGTTGGTTGTAAGAGGATTGGCATGAACAAGCTGGCTGATCACCGAAACTGCTGAGTCACACAGAGACAAGTCATTAAGCATTATTCATGTTACTTAGGGTGACACAACCTGACAAAAATTTAAAAAGCTTTAAACTAAGTAAAAAATAAAAATTAGATTAAAATGCACATAAAAACAAACCCCACAATAATTATTTACATCAAACTTTTAGTTTCACTCAATGCTTGTACCAAAGTAAAAGTGTCATTTTTCATACAATTTTTAACAAATCAAAAGAAATAAAATGTTCTTTTATTTCGCATACTGGAATATGAGATTTTAGTACTAAGCGTAATGGCTTTTAGATGTATACTTGTACTCAAACGAATAACTTGAACTTTATATTTTTTACTGAACATGTTGGCAAAGAGATATGAAATATGTAAGTTTTAAAAAAGTAATTAGGTCAAAGAACTTAATACAAAAATTATTCAACAGAATCAAACTTCTGACACAATCAGAACTGAACACACCAAACTTGAACCCTACTGACGACCAAACTGAACCCAAACTTAAACGTCTCTGAGTACTAACCAGCTTTAACAAACCTATTGCAAACTTATTAGAAGTGACAAATTTTTTTTTAACGAATGTAGCACTTATGCCAGATATGCTTATACTTATATTTTGATTAAAACTAGAAAAAAATTTGTAAAATCATTTTTTTGTAAACCAAAAGGATCTTTTATTTTATCATCCCTTAACCACTTCAACCCGCCGACGCACTTTTGGGCATAGGCTTGATTTGAATCCAGTCGCCACAAATTAAACAACAACACTATGTAGCCGACTCTTTTCATCCAGTGCCAGCAACTTGTATCATTTAAAAATAACCAAAATTAAATAGGCCTATTTGTTTATCAATCAAAATTATTGTTTTCAGTTGCCAACACCTAGATGATGATGATGTGGTATATGCGTGGGTGGAGAGGGGGGCATCACACCTAAGTAGTATGATGATTCTACAAGATACACAACAAACCCAGAGGCGCCGCCGGAACAGATCAAAATGTGAAGAAATATGATAGTAAGTGCCCGCTGCCTTTATTGTTTTAACAGGTGCCCTTATTATAAAAATCCAAAATTAAACCAGATTTCTAAAACAAATAACCGGTTCGCAGCACACAAAAAAATGGCATCACATCCCCAGCTGTTACCGAACCAAACTCAAGTTGTTACCAAACTGAACAGAACCAGAACTTAAGCTGTTACTGATCCAAGCACCTGAACTTAAACTGTTACCAAACCGCGAAACTGAATTTGAGATGTTAACTAAACGAAAGCTGAACTTCTGTTAGAGCTTTCGATTCCCATCTCTACTTCAAAGCACACAACTTATTTCCATGTAGCTGTTTATACTACATTTTTTAACAGTGGTATGTTCCGTTCTTGCTGTTAGAAATAATTGTTTTTATCTCAATAATTTCATTTCATACTGATGGGCTAGCAGCCACCAGCTCTTAATAAAGGATAATTATTGTCTGGAAATGCAAACCATTCACTCAAATAGTAATTCTCAATTTATAAACATCAGATGATAAATTGCTGAGAGAAAGAATAAAAAAAGGATAGACCATTTTGGAAATATGGTGAATGATTTTAAGATTAACTGTTTTTTTTTAAAAATTAAAGTTATGCTACAACATGTTTTAAAAAGGGTTTTCATAATATTTAGAAGGATATTTGATTAGAAATATGTTCATTATGTCTATTGCTTGAGATACCATGTAATCCTAAAAAATCTGCACTAAATTAAATATAAATAATTAAAAAGAGTTTAAAAATGATTTCATAAATGTAAGGTTATAGGATATCTAGTGAATTTGGTAAAAACCAATAACTTATTTATTAATAATTTTTTGTTATTGAAGTATTTTTTTCCTATTTTGTAGCCTCATAAATGGACAGATTTTAATGAACAGCAAGAGTTAACATTTAAAATGAAATTGTTCAATATTTTCTATTTTTGCTGTGGGCTTGTTAAAAGCTGAAATAGGGCATTTTGAGTAAAACCTGGACACAGTAAGGGCCCAGTGACTCTCATAAGTTTGTGAACCTCTGGTTTAACTGATTCTCACAATTTCACTATTCATGAAGTATTATGTCAGAAAATATTTTGTTTAAAGACAGATTAAGAGGGTCATGAAGGTAAGGTATTTGTAGAGATGCAAATAAGCCACACAAAATTCAGGTTATATACACACATACATTCCCAATAGATATAGTGAGAGATAAGATCTACATATTTTCTCTTAATTTCAATATGAGTTCGGATAAGGTCTTGAACAGTTTGCAAAAGGGCCTCATGTAACTAATAAATGGCATTAGTTTATGGTTTTATTTAAAAGTGAAAAGTGAATTGTTTGTTGTGAAGTTGATTTTTAAAATCGTACACTAACTGTATGTATCATTAGTCAATTAAAAGTCTGGATATTTGGTATCTTATAGTAAAGTGACAATTTTTTTTTTACTAACTGCTAACATTAAATGTAGAAATCATAATATTATTAAAATTAATCATTTACATTAACAAATAGCCATTTGGTAAAATATGCAAGCCATCACAAACAATGACAATGGCAAAAAAAAAATCAAATGCAACAAAAATCAACTCAGTAACATAATGTATCAGCACTGCAAACTATAGCATGGTTATTTATAGTTATAGCTTCAGTCAGCTGATACAGAACACTAATCTACCATCTTCCATGGGGTCCTCCTGGATAGGTGAGGGAACTCCCTTTACAATAGTGGGCACCTTTCTCATTTTGGTGTGTGGTTTAAGTAATTTTTTTACACCTAGTTTACCTGTAGATTCAGTATTCAATTAACTGGGATTCATACTTTCTACAATAAATATTCTGAAAGATTAAAGGCCGGTCGTATTATTTTACAAATTCCTTGGGTATATAAACTAATTCGATCTGAGCTCTTAAAAACTGATAATTTATTTATTAGATTTCTTGATGATTAAAGGCCCTTTGCCCCATGGATGATAATGTTCAAAAAAGATAAAATAAAGTATATAAGATGGTGCTAAAATATGTACTACGTATTAACTGCCACAAAGTATACTTTACAAATTCCCTGCAATATTGATTCGGATTTTAAATTTAAAACTCTGGCCACCCAAAACTGAAACAGCCAATTCTCTGAATCACCTGATTTGTCTTTCTGATCACTGCCTGCTTGGGCTGGTGTTGGGTTTTCGGGTCTCACCGGGGAAGGGCTTCCCTGGCCTGTAGCGTGGGCGGGCGTCGGGTTATGGGGACGCAGACCATCAGAGGGAGTTATTGCGATAACTTCACTTGTGTCGCCTTTTATCCAGCATAGACAAATAGACAAAGACATGCATAGCACTGAGAGTCTCTTTAAAAAAAAAACCTTAAAAAATATTAAGAGAAAAGAAAAGCTGACACTGGAAAATTATCATTTTCAAAAAAATAAAATTGATATGTTTACAAATTGTTACTCGCTTTTTACTTTTAGAATTTCATACAAAATTTCACTCATCAGTCTGCTGAAGAATATTTCATTACATCCAGGTATGAGATAAGTATTTCAATGATTGGGCAGGTATTAAATGCTTTAGCCAAGTACTGCAAGAATTTAGAGAGGCACAAGCCAGGCATTGCATGCATTACACAGGCAGAGTAGGAATTAGTCAATTATTGGATAAATTAGCAGGTACTAGAAGCATTAGACAGGAACAGTAGGAATTAGTCCAATATTGGAACCATTAGACAGGTATTGGAACCATTTGACAGGCATTGGAAGCATTAGGTATTAGAAGCATTAGACAGGACTAATAGGAATTAGTCAAATATTGGAACCATTAGACAGGTATTGCAAGCATTAGGCGTAAGAAGCATTAGATAGGCCTTGCATTCATTGTACAGGTATAGTAGGAATTAGCCAAATATTGGAAGAATTAGCCACACGTTGCAAGAATTTTCTAGCCATTGGAAGCATTCGTTTATGGCTGCTCCCTCTATTCAGGTTAAAATCCTGTCCATTTGTATGAAAAATATGGGGAGGGCTGCGTTCAGGTCGAAGCAGTAAGAAATATACACATTTGTATGTCCAGGACACGGACACATTTGTATGTCCAGGACACAGTCCCATTGTATGACCAGGGCACAGAGACACATTTGTATGTCCAGGGCACAGAGACACATTGTATTACCAGGGCACAGAGACAGATTTGCATGTCCAGGGCACAGACACATTTGTATGTCCAGGGCACAGAGACACATTGTATGACCAGGCCACAGAGACACATTTGTATAACCAGGGCACAGAGACACATTTGTATGTCCAGGGCACAGAGACTAGAATAAACTAGAAGGACCATAAAATTGAGCAAAATGAAATTACCTGCCGATGACATAGGTGTATCCCTGGCTGTCTTTTGGTTGTTGGTCGTGTGTGTTGCTGAAGAAGGATGGTCACTTTGCTGTGCTGTGGAGATAACATGGATGAACAAACAAAAAATAAAGGAACTTGTTGAATGGTTTTTTTTCTAAAAGGCTACAGGGTGGGACTGAAAAATCAAACAATTTAATAATCATTAATATAGGCATGGAGAGAATGTGATTAAGCTTGAGCCTTCCATTAAATAAGTTTAGAATTCATCTTAATTGTGTCGCAGGACACAGAAGATGAGACCATTCAAGATAAGCTTCTAGCAGCTGTCTCCAAACTTGCAAACAAAATATATTATATAGTTATTTTTTGAAGAGAAAATTAAACTGAAAACTTTTTTTTTTTTTTTTTTAAATTCCTTTAATTCCCTCAAATATTTTTTAAAAATTTTCTATTTGAGGGCCCCTGTTATGAGGCTATTAAAAATTTGTAAAATGTTCTGCAAAAAGAAATGGAGACAGGTTCAAACTTGCAAACAAAATATATTATATAGTTATTTTTTGAAGAGAAAATTAAACTGAAAACTTTTTTTTTTTTTTTTAAATTCCTTTAATTCCCTCAAATATTTTTTAAAAATTTTCTATTTGAGGGCCCCTGATATGAGGCTATTAAAAAGTTTGAAAATGTTCTGCAAAAAGAAATGGAGACAGGTGATAGAACTCATTTCCATTGGTAGAGTGAATCTTTCCACAGATTAAATTTCTATTAAAAAAAAACAACTTTATGTTGAAGACTCACACTCGTTGTTGTTTTTAGTGGAGTCAACCTCCGATGAAAAACTCATTTCGCTGTTCCTGTCATTGACAGAGCCCCTCTGAATACGGTCCTCCGTAAGCTGGCGCATCATCTCGTCCACATCGTTGGCCTGTGGAAAGATTGAAATTAATGCCAACAAGACAAGGTCACAACACTATTTAACATTAGGGCACATTTTCTTGAATAAGGGATAAAAAGCTTAACAGAAATAAAAGTACAGTGTGTACACTCGTGTATAAGTTATAAGGTGAGAAGGTTTGGTCTTAAAACTTCATTGCACAATTCAGAATCAACTTATCCACAGCTCAGTGATAGTTTTTTATAGGCTTTTGTATATTGAATGAAGGGCAATGTTGAGTTGCAAGTGGTGCTAGTGTCCTTACCTGTAGTGCTAGTGTCCTTACCTGTAGTGCTAGTGTCCTTACCCGGTAGTGCTAGTGTCCTTAACGGTAGTGCTAGTGTCCTTAACGGTAGTGCTAGTGTCCTTACCCGGTAGTGCTTGTGTCCTTACCAGGTAGTGCTAGTGTCCTTAACGGTAGTGCTAGTGTCCTTAACGGTAGTGCTAGTGTCCTTAACGGTAGTGCTAGTGTCCTTACCCGGTAGTGCTTGTGTCCTTACCAGGTAGTGCTAGTGTCCTTACCCGGTAGTGCTAGTGTCCTTACCCGGTAGTGCTAGTGTCCTTACCCGGTAGTGCTTGTGTCCTTACCAGGTAGTGCTAGTGTCCTTAACGGTAGTGCTAGTGTCCTTAACGGTAGTGCTAGTGTCCTTACCGGTAGTGCTAGTGTCCTTACCCGGTAGTGCTAGTGTCCTTTCCCGGTAGTGCTAGAGTCCTTTCCTTGTAGTACTACTGTCCTTCCCCGGTAGTGCTTCTGTCCTTACCCGGTAGTGCTAGTGTCCTTACCCGGTAATGCTAGTGCCCTTACCCGGCAGTGCTACTGTCCTTACTCGGTAGTGCTACTGTCCTTACCCGGTAGTGCTAGTGTCCTTACCCGGTAGTGCTAGTGTCCTTACCGATAGTGCTAGTGTCCTTACTGGTAGTGCTTGTGTCCTTACCCGGTAGTGCTAGTGTCCTTACCCGGTAGTGCTAGTGTCCTTACCCTGTAGTGCTGGTGTCTTTACCCGGTAGTGCTCGAGTCCTTACCAGTACTGCTATTGTTTTTACCCGGTAGTGCTAGTGTCCTTACCTTGTAGTGCTGGTGTCCTTACCCGGTAGTGCTAGTGTCCTTGCCCAGTAGTGCTAGTCTTCTTACCGGTAGTGCTAGTGTTTCTACCGGTAGTGCTAGTGTCCTTACCCGGTAGTGCTAGTGTCCTTACCAGTAGTTCTAGTGTCCTTACTGGTAGTGCTATAGTGTCCTTACCCAGTAGTGCTAGTGCCCTTACCCGGTAGTGCTAGTGTCCTTACTGGCAGTGTTAGTGTCCTAGCCGGTAGCTTTTTCAGACATGTCATTAATATGTAGTCTGCAGAGTATTGACTTATGGAGATTTAGATACAAGTTTCTGGTGTGATCAGTCAAGCATAAACTAGCCATGGTTTGGTACACAGTCAAACATACACCTGCCATAGGTAGCGATACAGTCAAACATACACCGGCCATAGGTAGTGATACAGTCAAACATACACCGGCCATAGTTAGGTATTCAGTCAAACATACATTGGCCATAGTTAGGTATACAGTCAAACATACATGGGCCTTAGGTAGTGATACAGTCAAACATACACTGGCCATAGTTAGGTATACAGTCAAACATACATCGGCCATAGTTTGGTATAGAGAGCAGCGATTGCTGCCTGTTTAAAAATCTGAAAAAATGTTAAAAAATCACAGAATTTTACTGCCCCAAGTTTAAACTTGACTTATCCATGAGTCATAGCATATTTCCTAACTGTTGGTTAAAAAGCTTCCCTTGACTTATCCAGGAGCCTTAGCATATTTAATAAGTATTGGCAAAAAGAAAAACAACTGCCCCAGACTTATCCATGAGTCACAGCATATGTCACAATTGTTGGTAAAAAAACTGCCCTCAACTTATAGACAAGTATATGCAGTAAGCTAATTATCAGAGAGTAGAAGATTCCTTGATCTGTGTTGACATTCTGTTTACCTGGGTAAGGAGGAAAGCCTTTCCTATCTCACTACGGAAATAAGGTTCAATTTCATGGTTTTTAATCTTCTGCTTGTTTTCTTTCTCCTCTTCCATCTCTCTTCTCTCCTGCTCACAGTCCGCGGAGGTGCGTTTCTGGTGATGGATTGGAGGTGGCGTTGCGGGCTTTGGAGCCACGGCCTGCTCATATATTGACTTGACGTGATCTGAAAGTATAGAATTATTGAATACTGGGGACAAAATTGTGCAACCTGGTACACTAGCAGTAGTTGTAACATGAAGATGGAATGGTCCTCATTAGGTATCACCTGGTACAATGCCAGTAGCTACATGGAGTACACCGGGTAAAATATGTTAAATACAAGTACTCATAAGCAGCAGCCGTGATCATTCTGAGGTATCACATATTACAATAACAGTAGATCTTGTGGGTAATGAACAATATCACTGTTTAAATGGTGAAATTTACACACTCCAGGAAATAATTGCATAACGAACTTCAACAAATTTCATGATTGAAATTGTAGTAATTGTAAAAATAATAAAGGGAGCCTATCTCTGCTTGCTACAACAGAACACATTACTTACCATGTGACTCCAAACAGTTGGTAGCACAACACTGGACATTGCATTGTTGTTGTTGCTATAATCTGAGACCTGTTACTTCTCCTTACCTGGGTCGAATTCTTTGGGTTTATCAGACTCAGCCGCTTCCTTCAACTTCTCAGAATCCACATGCCTCTTGAGTTCTGCCGCTGCCAGCTTTTCCCCCTCATCCCTTGGGTCAGTCACAGCCATCAGGTTGTCTGCCCTCATTCTGGCCACAACAGCTTCAGAATACTTCAGCACACCATTTCTCAGTCTGAAGAGGTCAAGGCAAAAAACTCTGGACATTTCTTAACTTATAATTTTCTTCAAAACTTACTCAAGTACAATAATATATTGTAAAAAGAATATCAACACATAGAAGTCTACTCAAACCTTTTGTTTAGCTAAGTTAATTATAATTTTTTTTTTTTTTGTAAACTTCAAAATGAGTCTAAAGGTGTTCACATTTTTTTGTTGCCACATAAGTATTATCCATCAGACTTCAACAATGTGTTTATTATTTTATTAAATTCAAAGCAATGTAGCACATGCAAAATAACATTAGTATCAGTCAGATACAAGTAGCAAAAAAAAAAAATCTTGTCATGTTTGTCTGTTTGACATTTGTACACATCACAACTAGCTTACAATTCTGTTTATAGCCTAATCCTCAAACTTACATTTAGGTTTACAACAAGGAAAAAAAAAAAAATTATCTTAAGTTTAAGTGCCAATGAAAAGTAATTTGCAATTGGGTTGTTCGTTACTGCTGACAAGAGGTTTCATGTTGAGTTGGACTCTTTGTTACTGCTGATAAAGAGATTCATGTTGAGACACTAGAAATGGATTAAGTTGAGACAACATACTTGTTTCTGAGTTGTTCGGTCATGGGCTTGTACTGCACCAGTTGCCTGAGCTCCAACTTGCTGGGGCATTTGAGTATAGGAATGCGTGGTGGCCCCTTTGTCAGGCCCCCGATGCTGAGTCCCTTTCCAACATTTGTTCCAAATTTGGGGCCTGGCTTTTTATATTCTTTGGGTGGTAGAGCTGTGAGGTCACGACATCTGGAAATAATCTCACACTTTTACATATTTACTTTATTTGTATTTACAGAGAGCTTCTACCGACTAACGAGATTTATGCAACTTGATTAATTAACAACTTAAACAATTTTTTTTTAAAATTGCATTTCAAATAAAAGAGAGATTTATGTAAATAAAACTTTTTAAAAACGTGTAAAAATTAATCTATTGTTTACAGGAAATAGTGGATTGAGGTATGTGGAAGATTGAAATGTAAAGACAGGACAGCAAAAAACTAATGTTTCAGCCAAAAGCCTTTCCTCAGCAGACAGGACAAATGAAGAAACAACAAGAAATAGAAATAGTTAAAAAACTTTTAAGTGTTCAGCATTAATTTATTGCCATGTGTTGAGTTTTCCAAAAACCGAGATTACACGAAGTAAAAGAATTTATGTATTATACTATGACAATAAGATTTTAAGAAATAAAAATTTTTTCCATACACCTTGTTCCACTATTTCCTTTACATAGCTTGAATGCACTCCTTCATTTTATTATCTATTATTTACATAAGTTCATCCCGAAATTTCAACTGTATCCTACTATCGGCAACTACCCTCAAGCTCCCACAAAAAATTTAAAAAAAAAATAAAAAATTGGGGGTTTGAGGGTAGCTGCCTATATAGTAAGATTCAACTGTATCCTACTATGGGCACCTACCCACAACCCCAAAAAATTTAACTACATTAAAAAAAAAACTAAAATAAAATATTGTGCACATCTTTTATAACTTGGTTGTATTTCATTATAAATGAAGTTGGATTCATGTATTATTTTTAATCTGTTTCACGTGTTATTATTAACAATCAATTCAAAATGAGAGATTAGAAAAATCCACTCAAGTATTTTGTATTCATATTTCCAAAGAGGGTGATCAGGTTCAGGAAAAAAACAACAAAAAAGAGTTTTACTAAAAATGTCTACATTTTTTTACCTGATTCCAGAAGGAATGATTGATTCCTGGTCATACTTCTTGAACCATTTCTCAGACAAATCCAAGAGGTAGGGCTTCAGGATGGTGATCCCGACACAGCCAGGATGGTCGGGGATGGTTTCTTTCATGACAGGTGCTGCTGGGTTGTGCTCCGCCATGGCCAAGTATTCGGCGATGTCCTGGTACCTGAGCAGCTCGGTCCCACTGCCATCAGCATGGATAATGAAAAACCTGGGGGCATGCTGATTATAAACTGTGACCTTCTTCTCCTAGGGTTGGGTGTGGAAAAAAAAGTCCACACTAATAAATAAGTGTTGTTTTTTGTGTGTTTTTTTTCCAAACTAGTAGTTAATCTTTTAATTTTGTTTAAAATCCTAAATATTGTAAATACTTGCCCATCAGACTTATCTAAATTGGTAAAATACATTTTTTTTAGATGTTACTTTTTATGTTATTTTGGCTGAATGTTTACCCCATCCCAATGACATTGCTCAACACAACAATTTAAGACACCCTAAAAAAATATCATAACAAATTCGTGACCCCTCCCCCTTCTCCCCTCTCTAGATGATGCGTAATGTCAGATAAGATTACTGCAGCTATCCAGCTGGTCTGGCTGATACACTGAAGGAAATTCCATCCCCAGAATCTATAATTATTTTTACCTTTGGAGCATTCTGCTCACTGTATTCTGATAAGGAGTCCTCACCATGGGCTGGTACGACATTGAAGTCCCCGGTGGATCGTACATGGAATATGTTCCCTTCTGGATCCACCGTCTCCACTATAATATCAGCATTGTGGCGCAGGACATACTGGAGCTCACGATCTTGAAAAACTGGTGTTGAGAAATTGTTGCGGCGTGGGAAATAAACCATTGAGGCATCAACATCCACCTGAAAATTATGAAACATGGGCTCTTAGGTAATTTTGCTTTCAGCTCCTTAACAAATCATCACCCAAACTCGGAGACGTTCAAATAAGGTCACAGTGGTTTATTTAATATTACAACCAGCTACGAATGATGTATTTACATACTTTGGGGGTCTGCAACTTAAACCTAATGACATATATACTTAATACCCGACATATGAAAGTTTGAACAAAATATCAGGTGCTTTATCAATTAGGTCAAAAGGAAACACAAATTTTCCTGTCTTCATTATAGAAAAGTCTTTTCTGTTTTTACAACACATTTAACACATATACATTGTATCTTTAGCATGCATCCCTTATGTACTTCCATTTCATATTTTGGCTAATACTGCAGATGTATATATGGCCTAGATTTAAGACCAAAAAAAACACCAAACCAAACTTGTGTAATATGTAATGGACTCACCTCAATCCTCCCATCCCTTGCATGGTGTAAATGTAATGGACTCACCTCAATCCTGCCATCCCTTGCATGGTGTAAATGTAATGGACACACCTCAATCCTGCCACCCCTTGCATGATGTAATATGTAATGGACTCACCTCAATCCTGCCACCCCTTGCATGATGTAATATGAAATGGACTCAGACTCAATCCTTCCACTATGTGCATGGTGTAATATGTAATGGACTCAGACTCACCTCAATCCTGCAACCCTGTGCATGGTGTAATATGCAATAGACAAGACTCACCCCAATCTTGCTACCCCTTGCATGGTGTAATTCGTAATAGACTCACCTCAATCCTGCCACCCTTTGCATGGTGTAAAATGTAATAGCCATCAGGGAAGACATTGAGACTGGAGCCACTGGCAAACACTGTCAGATTCTCAGAAGTCTCGCAATTAAACTCCACTGTAGCGAACCCCGGGCACTCTACTTTGATGAATTTGTAAGTGGCCAATGCAAGTTCAGCCTTACTTCCATCATCTGCAGCATGCAAACATGAAGGAATGAGCCGATGAGAGGATTTTTGAAAACATTAAAAACACTCTAACATGAAATGAGGACACACACTAAATTACAGGTCCCACAAACACTTAAATGAGAAATGAGGACACACTAAATTACAGGTCCCACAAACACTTAAATGAGAAATGAGGACACACACTAAATTTCAGGTCCCTCAGACACTTAAATGAGAAATGAGGACACACTAAATTACAGGTCCCACAGACACTTAAATGAGAAATGAGGACACACACTAAATTAAAGGTCCCACAAACACTTAAATGAGAAATGAGGACACACTAAATTACAGGTCCCACAGACACTTAAATGAGAAATGAGGACACACTAAATTACAGGTCCCACAGACACTTAAATGAGAAATGAGGACACACTAAATTACAGATCCCACAGACACTTAAATGGGAAATGAGGACACACTAAATTACAGGTCCCACAGACACTTAAATGAGAAATGAGGACACACTAAATTACAGATCCCACAGAAACTTAAATGAGAAATGAGGACACACTAAATTACAGATCCCACAGACACTTAAATGAGAAATGAGGACACACTAAATTAAAGGTCCCACAGACACTTAAATGAGAAATGAGGACACACTAAATTACAGATCCCACAAAAACTTAAATGAGAAATGAGGACACACTAAATTACAGATCCCACAGACACTTAAATGAGAAATGAGGACACACTAAATTACAGGTCCCACAGACACTTAAATGAGAAATGAGGACACACTAAATTACAGGTCCCACAGAAACTTAAATGAGAAATGAGGACACACTAACACTAACTTGTCCTTGTTCATGAACAAGGATTTCCCTTAACAATTATTTTTAAAATTACATATTCATGCATCAAAGAGACTTATCCTAATTCTTATTTAAAAAAAAACAAAAAAAAAACTAGTAGGCTTTTGAAAGTCATTGTTGTTGTCTTTGAATCATGTTCAGGTAAAAGAAATCTCCCCTTACATATAAAGAGTTGAACTTTTCATAAATATTGACTGAAAGCTACTAAATAAACACACTGACTTAAGTAACTGTGGTCTGGCAATGAGCTAGACTGACTGGTATAAAAAAACAAAAGGACCCACCATCTAGAATGATAGGGGTCTCCCTGTAATAAATTGTGATACGAGTGCCGTCAGCATGTTCCACTATGGTCATGCCATCAGGGAAGCTGATTGTCACTACATGGTCATCCCTCGTGGCCATGGTCTGTAGAAAAATATAACATTTTTTTAAAAAATCTTTTTTTTCATCTAACCTTCTTTACAAAACGCAATAAATATACTAACCTTTCACAGAGAGGCATTATATTAAACTTATTTCATAAATGTTAAGACAACGAATTGCGTCAATAAACATGATTTAAAAAAAAAATTAAATGGGAAGCAGTGTACTCAAAAACTTTCCTTAATTACAATTTTGCTGAGCAACCAGTTTTGAACAAATTTCAAATAGCAGAGGTCTGATCCTTGAAGGATTTGGTGTCTATTAAATAATAATTTTGCCAAACAATAGTTGTTTTTTTTTCTTCAGTAAATACAGCATGGTGAAACAAGAACAGTTTTAAAAAACTACTTGGGTCCACTTGGATTTTTAAACAATAAACAAAATTTCTTGGAACACTGATGCCACGCCAATGATACCGGTACAGCTATATTTCATTGAAAAGTGGAAATAACCTGTTGAGTGTCCGGGTCGGAGACCAAGGATATCGGAACGTGCGGGAGCTCTTTAGAGCCTAGGCTCTTGGAGACCTGCATCCGTTCTCCGTTGGGGTAGGTGATGACCCAGTAGGGCAGGCTCTGATGAACGTTCACTTCTGACTCAGAGGCTTCCTCCATCTTAAATTCTTTTAGAGTGCTCTTACCTGTAGGAGCGACTCGTCAAAGTGATTATTCAAACAAGGCAGCTGTTCCCATGGGGGTTTATTAATTACATTAAATTGTGCTTTCAGTCTATAGCCAACTATTAAAAAAAACATGCTACTGAATGATATAATTAACTAGATTAAAATAAAGTTTTTTGTTTTTTTGGCATAGCAGTAGCTGGTTTGATGTTGTCAATGTAGATTTTTAAAATTTTGATTTGTTTATTTTTTTTCGGGGAGGGGGGCAGCAAGGTAGTGTTACTTTTGCAGATTTTCCCATTTTTTAAATGGTAAAATACCAAGCTTTGCCTACTTCTGAAGCAATAGTAAAATTATGATAAATTATTTATACAGAGCTGGACAGCATGTTTGTTTAGTTGTTAAATGATTTACAAGGAGTTGTAAAGATTTGTATATTTACTTTTCCTAAGTGTGGCCTCAAGATTGGAAGATTCCATAGACGGAGGTCTGGTAAAATCTGTTCCCCATTCCCCTCTAAACACACTGACTGTTCCATCAGCACTAAGGACCTGAAATGTTAAAGACATGACCAGCAAAGTTAGAAGAACCCAATGAAGTCATGTGTTGGTAGACTCAAACCCATCTCCACAAGTAATGTAACAGAGGTCATGAAACCACCTTCACAAGTCAAGTAACAGAGGTGATGAAACCACCTTCACAAGTCATGTCACAGAGATGATGAAACCACCTTCACAAGTCATGTCACAGAGATGATGAAACCACCTTCACAAGTCATGTCACAGAGATGATGAAACCACCTTCACAAGTCATGTCACGGAGATGATGAAACCACCTTCACAAGTCATGTCACAGAGATGATGAAACCACCTTCACAAGTCATGTCACAGAGATGATGAAACCACCTTCACAAGTCATGTCAGACCCAGCTGGAGTGACCCACCCATTAAAAATGTACAATTGACATATTCAACTGGATGAAAGCAACTTCACAAGTCATGTCAGACCCACCTGGAGTGACCCACCCATTAAAAATGTACAATGGACATATTCAACTGGATGAAAGCAACTTCACAAGTCATGTCAGACCCACCTGGATTGACCCACCCATTAAAAATGTACAATTGACATATTCAACTGGATGAAAGCAACTTCACAAGTCATGTCAGACCAACCTGGAGTGACCCACCCATTAAAAATGTACAATTGACATATTCAACTGGATGAAAGCAACTTCACAAGTCATGTCAGACCCACCTGGAGTGACCCACCCATTAAAAATGTACAATTGACATATTCAACTGGATGAAAGCAACTTCACATGTCATGTCAGACCCACCTGGAGTGACCCACCCATTAAAAATGTACAATTGACATATTCAACTGGATGAAAGCAACTTCACAAGTCATGTCAGACCCACCTGGAGTGACCCACCCATTAAAAATGTACAATTGACATATTCAACTGGATGAAAGCAACTTCACATGTCATGTCAGACCCACCTGGAGTGACCCACCCATTAAAAATGTACAATTGACATATTCAACTGGATGAAAGCAACTTCACAAGTCATGTCAGACCCACCTGGAGTGACCCACCCATTAAAAGTGTACAATTGACATATTCAACTGGATGATAGCAACTTCACATGTTTTACAAAAAAACTTTAAAAAAATATTTGAAAATACACTAAAGTGAGAACCTCTACAGAGCCGTCAGCCATGTTCTTTATGACATCACCATTGTGGGTGAGGCAGCGTGAAACTTCCGTGGACATGATTTTGTGTCGATGTGCCTCGCACGGCTGCACCCCGTTCGTCTTGAAAGGGTAGCTCTGTCTGACCACCAGCTGGTAAACGTCCGGTTCCGGTGGCACCACACCTGATGACGTTGAAATAACGTACTCATAATTTCCCCTCCTACTCATCGGTCCCTTTCCCATCTATCTTCAAGTGCATCAAGTTATTTTACCAGAGCAGTTTGTGAATAAACCAATTTTTTTTAATGGCAATAACCGAGATCTCAGCTGTGTGATAAACCTGACACAAGCTGTGGCATAAACATACACAGGCTACTGAGTGCACTTTAAGAGGACACCATTTTTAGACCAGGTCAAAGTACATCACTATTTATTTGTTCTCTATTACCCGGACAGAAAAAAAAAGCTACATAAGAAAATTGCAAACCATAAAATAAAAAAAGCTAGAGAGCATGTTTTCATCATTAAATGACTGAAGATGAAGATATTAATTCCACAACTAAAAGTTAAAAAAAAATTTCAGACAAACTTTAAAAAAAAAACTGTGGAGTGGCAATTTGAAGGATGTTCCCCACACCGATTACACAACAGAGTGAAATCAAATCAAAGATGAAAACATACCAACTGAACTTTGTAAGAAATATGAAACATGAAGCCCATCAGGACAGGTGATGTAAATTTCTTGAAATTCTTGTTTTAACTGGGGCGGCTCCTCCTCTTTCTTGGGCTCTTCAAGAACCGTGTCTTCAGACTACAATAAAACAAAGGAATGATAAAGGGGGAGGCTACTCTATCAAGTTTGGCACACAAAAAAAAAAGGAAGTAAAGAAAAGCAGAGTAGGACAAAACCTGAACGAAGACAAAACAAAATAAAGATCGTGACTGCAAAACAAAAAAAATAGCCTTCTTCATCTTACAGAAAGCAGTAAAAATAAAAATTGCGAACTGGTACCCGTTTCCTCTTGGACTTCACACAGCTACGAAAGTCTTAAGTTTATTTTAAGTTTCAATATTCCTTCTCTGAACAAAAAAAACCCCAACTAACCAATGAAAACCTTAACTAAGTTAAATAATAACCACAACAAATTTGGTTGGCAGGGATTATTATATCGGGGGGGGGGGGGGGGGGGGGTGTTGGTTGGACACAGCTTGTAAAGATGAATGTCCATCAAGTAAAGCACTATACATTATCAAGCTGAAAAATAAAGACAGAACTAAACAATGAACGTCTGCTAGAAGCAACGTTCCAAACATTTAAAATGCTCCAAGTGTGAGAAATGACAGAAATCTATTTCTGTAGCAATGTATGTTACAGGCTGGAGAAAAAAAAATTATGACAAAAAAAAAGAAGGTCTTTAGAGCAGCGGTTCTCAAACTGTGGGTCGCGACCCATTACACAGGGGTCGCCCAAGACCATAGGAAAACACATATTTATGAAGTAGCTATGAAAATAATTTTATTGTTGGGGGTCAACACAACATGAGTAACTGTATAAAGTGTTCTGCATTAGGAAGGTTGAGAACCACTGCTTTAGAGAGAAAAAAAACCAAAAACTTCTTGAAACTTACCAAAACTTTGTCAGAGTCAGCTTTCTCAAATTTTTTTGAATTTCTGCTTCTCTGACCAGATGGGCTGGGTATTGGGTTGGGGCCTGAATCTCTAACAGATGGCGGATGAGGAAGGCTTGGCGGGGGCTCAAAAAGTTTTACTAGAAAGTTAATTAAATTTTTTTTAAAATTATATATAGGGAGTCAAGCATGGGCGCCCGCGGGTAGGGGCAAGGTGGGGCACTTGCCCCCCCCCCCCTGGATTGATTGGATAAAAAATTTTTTAGCCAAAAATAGACAAAAAATGTATTAAAGTAAAGAGAAAATAAAGAGAAAGTAGCTAAGCTGATGTCCGGTCCGTTCGTTCACCATACAAAAACGCTACAGTAAATTAAAACTATATTAAAACATTACTAAAAAAATTTTGCCCCCCCCCCCCAGAAAGTTAATCGATTTTTTTTGCCCCACCCCCCTAGAAAGTTTTCTGCGGGCGCCCATGGAGACAAGTAAACATTAATGCAGTAGTGGCAAGAAGAGAGAAGTGACCAGAGTTAACATATTTATCTCCATGTGTTTAAAATTTTTATTGAAATTAAAATCTGTATTTTATTTGAATATGCTGAAAATGAATCTACGCAATGTAATGAAAACATGCTTCCATTTGTTGGGATAAATAAAATGAGTCTTTTCTTATTTAATTGCTTAGATGCTCAATGGCATGTATACAACAGATGCGTCTGAGCTGGGTTAAAATATTTCTTTGGTATTTAAAAAATCATAGGTCCGTCAGACAATTAATTTGACCTAAAGCTAACCGGAACAGCTGGAGTTATACAAGATTTAAACTGTAGAGTTGTACATAATTTATTTATAGTGTTTAAAAATACTTACAAACTGATTTTAATAATAACCTAGTCCCCCCCCAGATTCCCCATTGCTTGTAATAGTAACCTACTCAGCTCACCATCAGATTCCCCATTGCTTGTAATAGCAACCTACAGTCAGCTCACTATCAGATTCCCCATTGCTTGTAATAGCAACCTACAGTCAGCTCACCATCAGATTCCCCATTGCTTGTAATAGTAACCCACAGTCAGCTCACCATCAGATTCCCCATTGCTTGTAATAGTAACCCACAGTCAGCTCACCATCAGATTCCCCATTGCTTGTAATAGTAACCCACAGTCAGCTCACCATCAGATTCCCCATTGCTTGTAATAGTAACCCACAGTCAGCTCACCATCAGATTCCCCATTGCTTGTAATAGTAACCCACAGTCAGCTCACCATCAGATTCCCCATTGCTTGTAATAGTAACCCACAGTCAGCTCACCATCAGATTCCCCATTGCTTGTAATAGTAACCCACAGTCAGCTCACCATCAGATTCCCCATTGCTTGTAATAGTAACCCACAGTCAGCTCACCATCAGATTCCCCATTGCTTGTAATAGTAACCTACAGTCAGCTCACCATCAGATTCCCCATTGCTTGTAATAGTAACCTACAGTCAGCTCACCATCAGATTCCCCATTGCTTGTAATAGTAACCTACAGTCAGCTCACCATCAGATTCCCCATTGCTTGTAATAATAATCTAAAGTCAACTCACTGCCAGATTCCCCATTTGATCCAAACTGACTGAAAGCCAGATTCATGCCGTCAGACAACAAGCAAGTGATGGAGCCAAACTTGCTCACCGGGCTTCTCTTCGCCTTGATCTCACTCCGTCCGGGTCGGAGTTCTGACTTGGCCTCGTGGGCACGCTCACCTGGCTTGAATTCTGCTACAGAAGCTTAGAAAAATAAAATCGCATTGATGAGTCAAGGACGCTGTGAACATGAACATCTGTATTATATAGAGCTATGACATGAACATCTGTATTATGTAGAACTATAACATGAACATCTGTATTATATAGAGCTATGACATGAACATCTGTATTATGTAGAACTATGACATGAACATCTGTATTATGTAGAGCTATGACATGAACATCTGTATTATGTAGAGCTATGACATGAACATCTGTATTATGTAGAACTATGACATGAACATCTGTATTATATAGAACTATGACATGAACATCTGTATTATGTAGATCTATTAACATCTGTATTATGTAGAACTATTAACATCTGTATTATGTAGAATGGTGATGTGTCTAAGTCGCATCATTTAACTTTGTTATTAGAATTAAAGAGAAAAATGTACGAAATTAACTTTGAAGCCCCAACTCCACACCCCCAAACCAAAGCCATACCCCAACCCCACCCCACACACCAAACCCTACCACCCACCCCAACCCCACACCCGAACCCCACAGCCCAAACTCACACACCATACCCCAACCCCACCCACCAACCCCACACCCGAACCCCAAACACCACACCCCAACCCCACACCCCAATCGCAACACCACATCCCAACCCCACCTCCGAACCCCCCACCCCAACCCCACACGCATGCATCAAAAGTCCATGTCCGAAGGACGTTCGGGGTCAATTGATTGAAATTTGTGTGAGTGTTTGAAATTGAGAGGGTATATATACTGTGACGTATAGAGAGATCATAAGAGAGTGATTAGAGCAGGGGTCGGGAACCTTTTTGTCTCAGAGAGCCATGGACACCACATATTTTGAAAAGTAATTCTGTGAGAGCCAAACATTATGTTTAAAACTAAAAATTCAAGAAAATGTGTGCATTTTGTGTAATTTCAACACTAAAAATGCATTAATTATGTCTCTGAATTCTTTTTAATAACATTGGTATGCTGTTGCTAATCAATGAGTATTTCTTACCATTAATGCGACTTTTTTTAAAATAATCGAACATTTGTCTGCAAGCCAGATGCAGTCATCAACAGAGCCACATCTGGCTCGCGAGCTTTAGGTTCCCGACCCCTGGAAAAGAGATGAGTCGAGAGCTTGGGATTAATGCACCTTGTAGTGTATTTGAATAGAGAGAAAGTCCTTTTAAGTAGGAATTCATCCGCAGAGGAAGCTATCATTATTCATGTATCGTCAAGCCTGCTCTACTACTGCAAACTGATGTACAAGTGTAAAAAAACTCTACAAGCTTGTTCATTAACTTGGCGTTGGAGTTTCACTGGATATCCGCCAACCCAAGCACGATATGCCACTATCACTCAAACACTTCAGTAAAAAACCAGACATTCAACAGCTTGACATGCTGTCGGTGGCAAACAGCAACAGACAATGCTACTTAATAAAGGTGTTCAATGTGACGATAAGAGAGCAGCCCTTATATTCCCCTCTGTGCCGACCCGCTACCAACCTGGCTCAACCGTTTCGACCAGGGTCCCTTCATCCGATGCCGAATTTTCTGCCTCGAGATCTGGATTGAGCTTTACTCCAGGAACCTCCCCTTCCGGTGGCTCAGGTGCCTCCTCTGGTTTTTGTTCGGTCTTTTGAGGACCATCTGGGTTTTCTATGGGGTTCAGTAAGTGGACAGCGAACACGTGGCCATCTTTCAAGACCACAGACCTTACGGAAGTTGTTCCTGGAAATGCAATGTATGAGTTTATATGACAGAATGACAGAGTTTACTTTAAAAATGTACTGCAGGGCCTGCATCCCAGATACAATAAGTACAAATATATCCTCTTTAAAAAAATTCTACGAGCAAGTAAACATACTACCACACTTAATTAATTGAATTTAAAAAATATCTATTTCATTGAACTTTGTTACTTTAAAAATAAAAGATTTTGGGACAGTTGTGACTTTAGCATGCCGTTAATTAGCAATTACCATTGACGAATTCTGTTCTCTCCGTCTTAATCTGGCCCCCATCAGAGGGGAAAAGAGTGGTTGTGATACCAGCAACATGGATCAGCTGATTTCCTGTGTTGTAACCATAGAACTGGATGGATACAAAAAATAGACATAGTTATTTTTATAATCTGGTTATCATTTGACAGTAATGCAAACTGACTTCAGAGTTCTTTGGTTGCACCTTGCTTTCTCATTACATTTACAGGGGATAAAAGCATCTGAAATAATATTTACTAGTGTGGAATTTAAATGCTAGGAAAGAAGTCGTTGCTGTTGCAGAATTTCTTTGAAACTAATTATATACCAATATATGGTTACAACTTAAAATAATTTACAAAATAAAACATTATTTAAAAATTTGAATTTGAATTGCAAGATTTGATCCGTAGAGGTCACTCAAGATTCAGTGAAAGTCACCAGTGGCCTACTAATCAAGTAGGGTTGTTTTGTCCCCTGGAGTGAGTAGCCATGAAAATTCCAAGTCCATCGGACAAAGGGGACAGGTCTAAATTGAGTGACCAGATTTGACCCAAGCTGAATTACAGTGTGTAATGCACTTGATTAAAATGCAAATTATTTTCTTAGAAGAGCAAAGGTTAGCATATATATAAAGCAAAAATTAAAAAATTACGGTCGAAACAAAAAGTTGAAACCTACTGGCCAGAACTTGTCTTCTGCCTGAAAAACTTCAGTTTGAACGTTGGGCACTGAAACACTTGATTCTTGTTCTGCTATTAATTTGGTCTGGCTGGACCTCAGACTGGCTCTGGAACTTCTCTCAGCTTTGTTTTTTTCCTCTTTTACTTCCACGGGTGGCTGCTAACAATGAGATATGTACACAAATCGACGAACAATGAGAGAAGTTAAACAAAAATAATTGTAAACATGAAAAAAAAAAAAAAAAAAAAAAAATTGGAACTTCTCTCAGCTTTTTTTTTTTCCTCTTTTCCTTCCACGGGTGGCTGCTAACAATGAGATATGTACACAAATCGACGAACAATGAGAGAAGTTAAACAAAAATAATTGTAAACATGAAAAAAAAAAAAAAAAAAAGGAAAGTTGAAGAGTTCTTAAATTTATTTCATTTTTACTTTCAAGTAAAGGTGATTTGTTTTTAAACGATTATTGAATTTACTATCGTAGAATTAAAATTCAGAGTATAGTCATGTCATTGTACTGTACATAGGAATTATAAAGCAGATTCGTAGATAAATAGTGTTTTTTTAAATATTCAGTAGCCTTTGACAAAAAATAAGTTATTTGAATTCTAAAATATTTTATATAATTATTTTTCCCCCCCCCCACTTTTTCTTAATTTTATAGTGCTTTTTGTTTCACTCTAAAATGAGAAATGTTTATAAAAAAAAATTAAAAATTCGGAATTTAACTAAGAAACTAATTTTTATACGTGGCTTTAACATTACTTGATATAATAAATTTTTTTGAATTAAGTAGTTAAAATTTCATGAAATTATATGGATTTATTTATCAAACAACACGACCATAAGAACAAGTAATCAGGGTTTTACTTTTTAAGTTGCCTGATTGAGAGAATGTGTAAACATGATTATATTTGTATAATGGTGTCCCAATGATTCACTCAAGTCCTATTCACCTTAATTTTAGATTTGGCCGCTGTAGCGGACTTGGCTCTCTTTGCCTCTTTGGCCTTCTCTTCCTCAGCGGCCAGCCTCTCCTTCTCGGCAAGCTGAGCTTTGAGGGATCCCTCACGAATGTAGGGGTTCGTAGCGCTGGCAACTCTTTCACTGGACGGAGACTTGCCAGGGGATCGACTCCTTGAAGCTGACCAAAAAAAAAAAATTTCAAATTCATTCAAATTTACTTTGTTGGGACCTGGCACAACTGTGAAACAGACATCCCTGTAAAAGTCTGCACCACAAACGAACATATATAAATAGCATAATAATTCCATAATTAAGGTATCTAATTAATCTCAAAAGATTTTAAAAAATTTAATTTAGCTTAGAAAGGAGATGGTAAATGAGGGTCATGTTTAGATATAGGGATAATTATCCAGGCCAACTGAGAGATCTTTGTCTCTAAGGCCTGGGAGATCTTTGTCTCAAAGCCTGGGAGATTTTTGTGACCCAGATACATGGCAGTGTGACACAGATACATGGTAGTGTGTGTGATTATACGATTTGCATGTAAGACATTTTGAGATCCACTGATGCGTAACATTTTCTTCTTGCAGACCTGATCTCTGTGGAGATTTGACTCTTTTGGCCTTCTCAGCCTTCTCTGCTTCCCTGGCCTTCTCTGCCTCCTCTTTGTGAATAGCACTGACCTCTTTGGACAAGAGTTTGGCTTGATACTCTGCATTTTTTTCTTTCAGCCAATCGGTGATGGTGTCTGCAGTGTACTCCAGATAATTTCTAAACAAACAGATTGATAGAATTAGCAACTTTTATTTTAAAATAGTGCAAAAAGAGCGCCTGCCTTAATATTTCAATGTGATGCAATTCTTTACTTTTTAAACTGATCATAGTCTTTTTATGGGTCTTTTTATGGGTCTTTTTATGGGTCTTTTTTTGAGGTCTTATTTTGCTTTTTTTTTTATTCGAGTTTCACAATTTTGAAAAATATTTGCCCAGACTTCTTCCATGTATAGTGAAATTACAGAATGTGAAAGGAGATGGAATAATTATGGCTTTTTTTTTTTTCTGAATTGGTTTCATTGGTGGATTTAGTGAGTTGAACACATGATGGCGCGATGTGAGCATTTAGATGATCAATATGAAGTTGATTTATTTATGCATCTGCACAGTTTATGTAAGCTGCCTTTTGATGAACAGTGCAGCTAAACCAATCTGTGCATGTGCACCCATGCACAATGCACATTTTAGATTAAAACATAACGGAACACTCTATATCACATGTGTCAAACTCAAGGCTCGCTGGCAATATCCGGCCTTCCATACAATTATATCAGGCCCGCGAGGTCTTCACCGGCGTACAAATATATCCATGTCAACGCTATGGTGTTTCCCAATGCACACTTTGCTGAAAAATTTAGCTTACTTCGCGCTGAGTTCGCACGGCCCTTTAGTGACTTTGAAGCACAGGAAAGTAATTTCGAGCTGTTTCGTAAACCATTTGTCATAGGCGTGGAAACTGCACCTGTAAATTTTCAGATGGAGCTAATAGAGTTGCAGTGTAATGGGACACTAAAGGCAAAGTACGACACTGTGGGGCCTGCACAGTTCACTCGTTTCATTCCTGAAGAAATGTCCCAGCTTCGTCTGCATGCGGCTCAAACCTTGAGTATGCTGGGTAGCACATATATGTGTGAGCAGCTGTTTTCTGTGATGAAGATTAATAAAACATCACTTACAGTCCATCATGAGAATCTCAATGACACAGAACGTTACTCCCAACATAAACAAGCTTACTTGTTTTTGTAGCCAAGAAAATGTGCCAAACATCCAGCTCTGACAAATTGGCATTAAAACGAAAATGAGTATGCCAGTGATTTTTAATTATTAAAACTTTTTCCTGTTTTCATTTAATTTGTATACATTTTTTTTTAAAAAGATTATTTTCCTTTTATTGAATGTTTATCCTGTTCGGCCCGCAACCTTACATGTGATTTGAATTTTGGTCCGCCAAGCGATTTGAGTTTGACACCTCTGCTCTGTATGTTGTAACAGAACACACTGTGTGTTGAGGCAGAATAACGAAAGAACAAACAAGAACACATTTTAATGTAGATCATTATTACAATGTTCAGCTATTATTTCTTAGGTTCAGTCAGGATCTGATCTATTTATAGAAGCCCCAAGAAATTTAAATTTCATAAACTGAACACATATTTCAAAGACTAGTAACAACTTTCATGAACTGAACTGTTCTCATATTGCATGAACTGTGTTGAAATTTCATGAGCCGTGCTTCTTATTTCATGAACGGTCCACATATTTCATAAAATGTCACATATTTCATAAAAGTCCCATATTTTATGCACTGCTCATATTTCATGAACTGTCCACATAATGATATATTGTACGTGCTAGAGAGGCAGACCTGAAGCCCATGTCAGAGTGCAGCTCCTTGTGCCAGTCCATGTGGTTCTGAAACTCCCGACTGTGAGGATTGTGTAGCACCAGCATCAGGCTGTTGTCCCTCTTGTGGTGGTAGACATCTTTGACGGGGAGGTAGTACGAGGCTTCATATAGAACCTGCCGTGGGGGAGATGCTAACCCATTTAAGTGGTAAAGTGAAAGTTTATTAACACAATTGTATCCCCCCTAGAGCATACACAGCTTAAATAACAATCAAAATATAAAGATATGGACTACTATTTATCGCCCGGTCATCTTATGGTAAAATAGGTTCAATGAAGATTATCTTCATTCATCCATGACATTTTGATTCCTTCAATGATATTTTCATGTGTTTTCCAAAACACTACATTGATTCCATCACCATATATATATATATATATATATATATATATATTATATATATATATTTTACAGAAAATCTGTCTAGACTTGTTACAAACCAAATGGTGACACAACACATTGTATTTCTTACATGAGTATAGTTTACAGTCATGACACAGCAGAGACATCTCATGCCAGTATGTATAATAATATCAAGACATGTCATGAGAGTTGATGCGAAAGTCATTTATTTGGATCTGGACATTCCCCGAACAATTAAAAAAAGAATCTACTCTCAACATCACCAAAGGACAACTCCTTTGAAAATGTTTTGAAATGATGGCAACCAATCGCCCTACTGACCTGCTGTAACACCTCAGGTTTGAAATGCTCAGCAAAGCACCATTGGTCCAGATTCCTCTGCTGAATGTCAATCATTTTGACCAGGCTCTCTTCAAAAGTCTTCCCAAGTCGGTCTGTTGAGTCTAAGAAATCTGCTTCTGATTCCTCCCCATCTAAGGGCACATCAAAGTGTACTGTGGACAGAGAAATAATTTCCATTGTAACTACTAATATACTTCTTTTATTTTATGTTAAACAGAATTGAAAATGACAAATAATAGCCAAAAACAAATAGTAGTCTAGTCTATGACAAACAGAAGTCTATGAAAAAAACAGTTGCCTGTGACAAAAGGTAATTAGTAAAACAAAGAGTATTCTATGAACAAATAGTAGTCTATGAAAAACAGTAGTCTATGAAAAACAGTAGTCTATGAAAAACAGTAGTCTATGAAAAGCAGTAGTTTATAAAAAATAGTAGTCTATGACAAAGAGTAGCTTGTAAAAAATAGTAGTCAGTGAACAAACAGTAGTCAGTGAACAAATAGTAGTCAATGAAAAAACTGTAGTCTATGACAAACAGTAGTCTATGGCAATCAGTAGTCTTTCACAAACAGTATTTTATAACAAATTGTAGCCTGGATCCAAACATGAAAATGAGAATATGGTTGACAGAATAACCTCATTAAAAAAATTATCAGCAACAAAGAATCAAAGATTTCAAGTGTTTCAGCACTAGATCAAATAAGAGGAGAGCTTTGATCTGGTCTATCCTATTAGCAGAACACTTGATATTCTTAAGGCATTACCACACATCACTACACATTAAATTCAATAAAACGTTCACAGAATATTTTTAATGCTGTATCTCAAAGTACCAGATCCATTTATTCTTGGCAGAATTTGAACACATGGTGAAGATTTTGTGCAGATATATATTTTGCAATGATCAAATTTAATGTCCAGTCATTTGACAACTTTTCTATTTAATGTTCAGAAAAGAATCTACAAACAGTTTTCTCCTTTTATCATGAAATCCCCCAGATATTACGGAGTAAGCAAAGTCACCTGAGTTACTGCGAGACCTCTTTATGCTTGAGGCAGACATCTGGTGATTGGTCAAGATGCCCTTCTTGCTCTCCTGGCTAGAAATTCTGGTCCTATTTGTGCAGTTGCCTGAAAATGGTGAGCACATTTTAGAATAACTCAAACGCAAGCCTAAAAATACAACCACAATCCCAATCTGCTTGTTTTTAAAAATTATCAATAAGACCATTAAAAAAAATTTTTTTATTGATTTGAGGCACAAGCTAGAGAAAAAATATATTTACAGCTTCATGGGGGGAATTCCACTAACAGGGATACAACGCAAGTCTGTTTCAGCTTCTATAAACTTTATGCCACTTAGTTCAAGCCTCATAACTTAGTTCAAGCCTCAAAACTTAGTTCAATCCTCATAACTTAAATTTGTTACGCCAGACATAAAATTATTAAACAATGCTGGGCATTCGGTAAAATGTATTATTAAAGTGTAGGCCTATTTCTAAGAGGATAAAAGGGCCAGGGGTTGAAAGTGTACATTAAACAATGCTGGGCATTCGGTAAAATGTATTATTAAAGTGTAGGCCTATTTCTAAAGAGGATAAAAGGGCCAGGGGTTGAAAGTGTACATTAAACAATGCTGGGCATTCGGTAAAATGTATTATTAAAGTGTAGGCCTATTTCTAAAGAGGATAAAAGGGCCAGGGGTTGAAAGTGTACATTAAACAATGCTGGGCATTCGGTAAAATGTATTATTAAAGTGTAGGCCTATTTCTAAAGAGAATAAAGGGGGCCAGGGGTTGAAAGTGTACATTTCAAGGATGCTGGTTTACTGCTTTTCTCAAATGTATAATCATTAAAAACATGATTTAGCAGTTTTTAAAGAAAAATTGAATACATTGTATATAAAGGAATAACTTCAACAATCATTCAACAAGTTACATGTGTACAGATTGCAGTAACCAAACATAATTTATTTTACTAAACACGTTAACCAGTGTAAGCTACGTGAAAAATGCAACAAATTTCAAGACAAAAATTAAAGATGAATATGAAAAGCAAAAAAGTCCTTTTGAGGGATCTGCCCTTCTTTTTGTTTATAGTTTTCTTTTTCTATGTGCAGATCAACATTTTCAAACTATGATAATAAATATACAATCCAAATTATATGATTACATCTGTGAGAGTTTTTTTAAAAATGCATATAACATGCATAAAGGGTTTCAGTTCATATGTGTCATTTGATAATAATTAAACAGAACGTGGAAATTTTAACTGGAACAATGTGAACAACTGATTGAACAAATTACCACTGCCAAGATTAACTTTCATCTCCAGAATTACATTTGACACTGAAATGCATAACCACATGGAGTAAAAGAAATTTTATAAAAATATCAGCAAAATATTTAGATTATTTCATAGTGCAAGCCATTAACTGACCTAGTTTATTTTTTTTATCAGAATATAATCACATCATGTACACAACTTTAAAAGTATTTAATACATTCATTGAAACTGATACATTTTATTAAAAATTTAAAAAGCAATCAAAATACATTTTTTTCAAAAATTGGTTAAAGGTAGAATTTAAAGATCTCAACATATTTTTTTTTTAAAAATTGGTGACAGTCAGAATTTGAAATAAAAATTAAAAACAACAACAGATCCTAGCTCACCCCGACCAGTTCCACCAAATGGTGAAAAAAATTTAGAACTTCCAACACTGTTACGTCGTCTCTCAAGCCCTCGGCTAGAGATAGACTCTGCTTTGACTGCTAATGACAAGGAAAAACTTTCTGTTAACCTACCAATGATCATCTAATAAGTTGGTCAGGTAAATTAAACACAATTTAGTCTATGACACTTTCTTTTTTTACTTCTGCATTGTACTTCCAATACTTTTTTTTAAAAAAAATAACATTTTTGTGACTCTTACAAAACACTGAACAATCAACAGAGACATTCAAATTTGGCAGATGTCATCATTGTTACTGACTTCAATTAATTACCAATAAACAATGGTGCTGGGTGCCATCCATGGCTTGACATGTAGATAATTTTTTTTTTTATTTATTTTTTTTTTTTTTATACAGCTGTTTTTTTTAATTTAAAAAATGTATGTCTTTCCTAATATTGTTATGTGCAGTGCAGTGAGCCCAACCCTAGGCAGGGGTACCGTGCCATATAAGACCACTCTAATGATAATAATGAAATCAAATTTTTTTAAGAGTTTTTTCTAGTTTTCCCTCTCAAAAACCATGAAGCAGAGAGGAAACACAAATAACTAAATAAAAAAAACAAAAAAACTGTTGATTATTTTACTCCAGTGAAAATGACCAAGGGCACAGCCCTCTTCCCACCTCTTCAAACACTAAGAGGGCATACAGAGATTTTTAGAATAACCATTGCTGAAACACATCCTAAGAATATTAAATCAACAGTATTCATCTGGTCAAATTATAGAGCAGTTTTTTGTTGGTTTTTTTGGTGCTCCAGGGTTATTATTTTGTATCCAAGAGTGCCAGAGCAACATTATGTTGTTTTTAAAAAGTTAAACTTAGCTGAAAAATAAGCACATGAAAAAGGTCTGATTTATGGTCGAAACATTTTTATTTTAAATAATAGCTTTCATCTTAGCTAAGGCTTGATAATAACAAGAGGTTTGAAATAGTTTACTGCTGAGATACTGCTTTAAAAAAAAACTACAACAATAGAGTAACAAGGAATCCTAAGAAGTACATGATTGAAGGTTCCTGGTTGGATTTCCACATTTTTTATTTGTTGCTTTTTTTTTCCATTATTAAGGTGGAACCAGACATAGCCAAATATGTGTCAGCAAGACAGATGGAAGATGGTTTTGCACTACATTAAAAGTGTAAATTGAATTATTGTTGTCAACAAAATTTAAATTAGTGTGTAAGTTTTTTTAATGAAAAAATAATTTTATCTCTTTGTCTCTTCCATACAAAAGACAATAAATCAGTCCAAATGTACGCCATGCATATCTTTCAAAACACATTTCATTTAAACTCATAAGATATTTTAATCAAAAATTGCTATAAGAAGTTACTTTTCCTTTTTTTATTATTAGAAATGCAGGTGTTACATGGAACAGTATGGTAATCAACAAATACATATATTTGTATTTACACTAATGTGTTAGTCTTTTTCTCACCCCTTCATTTCTTACCTTCTACATCTGTAATGGCCACTTTGTTCTCAGTCTCGTGGGAGCTTTGCATGCTGACCATGACTGGGACCATGACCTTGAAAAATGGATATGGATCATCCCAGGGAATCGGTGTGTGGGGAAGACCCTCTTTTTCCTTTTCCAGCATGAATCCATTTTGATCTGTGGTCGCTAGGTCCATACCCTCAAACACAAACTGTTTAAAGGCTCTATCAATTTCTGGATACATTTTTAAAAAAAATATCAATAAGGAAATATATCAAGAAGAGAAAAACACAAGTCCTGTTTTCAACCCCTTTTTAATATTAAAATATATTAAAACTTAAAGTCTTTAATATAAACTAACTGGCACATCAAGCGACTGACTATAAGCTTAGTGTGTTTACTGTAAGTTCTGTCCATAAATAGGATGATTACCAGACTTGGTCAAGCCGTCGCTTGCACAATAGTGGATAAGCTCCTGCAATTTCACAGCTCTTTCATTCATGTCTGTCCCACTCAGTGGCTTGTGCTTGTACAAATGAGCAAAGGGAAGGAACTGCAGCATCACTTTTTCTACAGCTGAGGAATGAAAATTAAATTTTTAGATTTTTTTTTCGTTATTTTATAATTCTATAAAGCTCTGGCTTTATTCCCTTTTAAAATATGAATTCATCCAGTTCTATTCCACTTTATATTATAGGTAAAACACAACTTCTTATCCCAACATTAATTTTTTGGTGTTTTTTTCCCCCCAATAGCCTAACTTAAGTGTGGCAATGTGCCCCTATATAAGAGAATCCACTCTCATAGTCATAGTGTGACTGCTATGGGTAACCCCAAGCACGTACACATCCATGGTCATTTAACGTAACACTCAGCCATGTACTGGCCTTAAATTTTATGTAGGTTATTTACACGCGGGAATAACCATCCCTGCTCCGGGGTTGACCCATGGTCAGCTCGGACGCGGGTTCCCTGTGACTGTGTGTGTGTGTGGAGGTGGCGAACTGGGACTTGAGGTGTGTACATTTTTGAGATTGTGGTGTGGAACGGATGCGTCGGGTCGGCGGCAGGTGTGAGAGATTTTCCTGTCGGCTCTGTCAACGGATTGTAGCTTACATTAAAAAAGCTATAGTTCTCAGACCTGATTGTTTTATTGTGATTTTATTCAAACTGTAAGCTACGTCACCACTCGGCTACATAAGTAAATAGAGTAACAATCTGAAATAGGATGATGTAAACTCACAGTTTCTTGACACAAAAAATTAGAATCCATTAATTACCAAGAATTTAGTTCTTAGATAAAAGACAATATGTAACTGATGAATCATTTACAACAGGGTAGATAACATAATTTGTCTCTAGGATTATTCTAAACTATGCCTAAAGCAAATAAATTATTTATCTTAACATGCTAAGTGGGAATAATGAAATAAGAAGAGTATCGCTGCTTCACCTGCTGGATCAAACTCATAGTATGGCTTGAGATGATTGGTTCTGATGCAGATGTCATCGTGGATGTTGACCAGCAATGGTGGCGCTGGCAGATCTGCTGGGTGTTGGGGTAGATCCAGTACCTCAGACAATTCCTGGGGGAGTAAGCAGAAATGCAATTGTTGAGTAGTTATTATCAAGACTAAAAATTGTAAAATTTTATTTTTTTTTACAATAAAATCTTACAGGAAAAGGAAGTGAAATAATAATACCGGTAACAATTTATAAATCTGTTGTTTACATTCTCAGTTATGAAAACTAAGTGTAAATGAATAAAATGAATTAGTTGGTAGACTTCAAAACCTTGATTTTTTATTGACACAAGATTTTACTGAATCGCAAATTAGTGCGTTTTTACCAAAATAATTAATGACAAATCTCAAAGGCACATTAGTCAATGTCAGGAATACGTGAAGGAAATAATGGAAATTTATAAGTAAATTGTCCACCAATACCTACAAACTTTTTCATCAGACGGTGATTACCTTGTGTTCTTGCTCCGACAAGCCAAGTTTAGCAGCGACATCCGTTAGGTAAGATGCCAGGCTTGAGTTGATTCCATCTGCTCTAACCGGTGGTGGGCGTTCACTTGGGGGTACTTTCCCTTCTTCAGTTGCCACAATCTAGGAACACAAGGCATTATGTTCTCAAGATATTTAATTTTCTGTTATAAAAGCTGAAATAAAATACTAAATTTTAAAAAACCAAGTAGTTTATGTACATATCTTGACCATTTGTTAACCAAAGAGATTACAGAAGCATTAGTTTGACTTGAATGAAATCATCACTGGGTGCAGACAACAAAACCACAAAACTCCAAAGATTAAGGGCCTTGCATTCGTGTGTGATTGGGAATAAGTAAATATGCATTTTAAAATTCCAATTTTACAGATATGCTACTGTTTGATTTTTTTTTTTAGAAGCATATTTCAATTTGAAGTAAATGTTTAACATTTTTTAAAAAAAAACCCAGAGATGATGACTTGAATACTTTCAGAGGGCAATTCTTTGAAACAATCCCATGTTGACTAAGCCATCTTGCTACTTTCAGGCCCAAAATAAAGTAATTTCCCCTTGTGCAGCATAATAATAAACGATGAATGAACAGCTTTTTAGAAGTTTAGAGTTTATTAAGTTGAAAAATGTTCACATAAAGAATCTGGCCCTATTTACCAGACATCAGGGACAAAAAATTATACCATTTTTATAGGAGTAGGATAGAATTTGAATCTGCTCTATAGCTTTTCAAGGGTTTTTGTAATCCTCATAGCAAAGACTATTATCCTTCGTACAAATTCAAAAGGCCTTGTGTGAACTAAGGCAGCGTTCCCCAAACGGTGGTCCGTGGACCGGCAACCGCCCGCAAGCCTTACGTTACCGGTCCAGAGAGCATGAATATTGATGTTTAAATAGAAAGAAAATGTAATTAATAAATCTGGCACAGGTCCTTGGTGCAGTTTCGAAACTTGTCCACCGGTCCGTGAAACTTAAAAGTTTGGGAAACGCTGAACTAAGGGATGGCTTGTTGCAGCCAGACTGGGGTATTTTTTAGAGCTGGGGTTAAAGTCCAAATAAGATTTAACAACTTTGTTGTCATTTAGGGCACAATCCAAAGACCTCATACCACTTGGATACATTGCTAGGGCCACAGCTGATAATATCAAATGTCTCTTTCAGTTGAGTGACTAATAAAATTGTTCTCTATCAGGTATGTTTTGGATAATAATATTTATGTTTTGAAATAGGACCTGACAGTGGTAGTTACTACACACCTGTTCCAACATGCAGTGCATGATGAGTGACACACTAACACTCTCATGAGGCACACTGCTCATCAGGTCATTGTAGAACCTCATGTCCACTTGTTTGTCTCTAGACTTGTGGGTCTTTGTGGAACTTGTACGATGTTCTTGGTCCTCAATGCCTGGTGTATGTCCAGTATGTCCAGTATCTTTATGAGAAGTCTCTGTGTAGATACATAAATATAACTGTTAAAGAGAGTTGTATGCGGAGTCTTAAAATAAAAGCATAATTTAGCTTTTAAAGAGATAATTTGTATGCCAAGTCTCTGTGTGATTACATCTATATGAATAAGAGTCAAGTCTCTCTATCAATACATACATATAAAAATAAAAGATATTTGCATGCCACGTCTCTGTGTAAAATAAATAAATAAAAATGAGAGTTCTTGTCAAGTCTCTGTGTAAAATAAATGAATATAAATGAGAATTCTTCCCAAGTCTATGTGTAAATACACATATATAACTATTAATAAATAAATGTATGTGCCAAGTATCTGTATGATTACATCTATGTAAATGAAAGTTGTATGCCAAGTCTCTCTGTCAATATAAAAATATAAATGTTTCAATACATCAAATATTGGCAGGGAAAAAAATTAAGCTGAATGATTCTGATTTTAAAATTCTCCATTACCAACATGCTCTCCCAAGAGTGGGACGTTGATGAGTTTCAAGTTCTCCTTGAAGGTGCCGAACAGTCTCTTGGCATCTAAGAGGTCATAGAGCATGACAGCTATGTCTTCAAACAAGGCAGTGCTGTACTGGACCTGTTTTGATAAACCAGGTGATATGATTTACTTCAGTGTTTTATACGTTCTGATAAATGTATGGCTTACTTCAGTGTTTGATACATTCTGATAAATGTATGAGTTACTTCAGTGTTTTATATGTTTTGATAAATGTATAACTTACTCCAGTGTTTTATACATTCTGATAGATGTATGACTTACTCCAGTGTTTCATATGTTGTAATAAATGTATGACTTACTCCAGTGTTTCATATGTTGTAATAAATGTATGATTTGCTCCAGTGTTTCATAGGTTCTGCTAAATGTATGAGTTACTTCAGTGTTTTATATGTTTTGATAAATGTATAACTTACTCCAGTGTTTTATACATTCTGATAGATGTATGACTTACTCCAGTGTTTCATATGTTGTAATAAATGTATGACTTGCTCCAGTGTTTCATAGGTTCTGCTAAATGTATGACTTACTTCAGTTTTTTATATGTTCTGATAAATGTATGGCTTACTCCAGTGTTTCATACATTCTGATAGATGTATGACTTACTCCAGTGTTTTATACATTCAGATAGATGTATGACTTACTCCAGGGTTTTATACATTCTGATAGATGTATAACTACTCCAGTGTTTTATACGTTCTGATAGATGTATGACTTACTCCAGTGTTTTATACGTTCTGATAAATGACCTGACTATGACTTCATTCTAAGAAATCTAAGGTTTACCCTGAAGAGAAATTGTTTTTTTAAAAAGAATTCGATTTCGATAGTTCATATAATTTGCACCTAATCACATTTTTTTTTTGCCTCTGAATTGATCTGTTTTAAACAGATGAAATGTTAGTGCCATGCACCGACCTTCTGTTCAGCATCATTGGCATCAGTAGGCACAGTGAGAGACTTGACCTCATAGTCTAGCAGGGCCATGTCATACAGGCGTGAAGTACTCGGCATGCCTTGTAATATTGGCTGTAAACCTTTCCAGAATTCATCCAGTTCCTTCTTCACATCTTCTGACTGGGAGATGGGTTCCTTGATGGGAACCTCAGTTCCTGGTGGTTCATAAACAAACAAACAGTGAAGGTAAGCTGCTGTAGAAATACTTCAACCAACAAGAATTTTTTTTTTCAAATGTCATATTTTTAACATTATTTGTAGGAGCATACTTGAGAACAGTGAATCGCATCATTATAGAGCTACGCATTAAAAAAAATTTATATGTGAGTTTGTGTGATGCAAAATTGTTTTTCCATTTTATTTGGAGAAAAAACAACATCAATAAGAAAATGTCTACAAATGTTTTAGCTCACCTCCTAATTTGTTTTCTCCATCTTGTGTTGATACGCCAATGACACATGTGATGTAGACACCAAGCTCTTCCAAGGCTGGCAGGAGATAGGGGTCATGAAACCCAGAAAGAAGGTAGTAATGGCTTGCCCCGTCATCTGGCTCATCATCTGATATGAATGGCAGGAGGGGGATAGCGGGTGTTCATTGATAAAAGTGGCAGGAGGGTGTGTTCATTGATAAAAGTGACAGGAAGGATTCAAACAACGATTATTGATTTGAAAAATTTCAATATAGTTGTTCATGAAGAGAAAAGTTTAAAATTTAAAAAAAAAAAAAAAATATGCTGCTCAATCTTAAACAAGTTGTTTCTGATTTAGAGTAAGTCACAGAATCAGGGCATATTAGTTACAACCGTGCTGAATTAAAAAAAAAAGCAACTTGAACTTTGAACCCACCTATGCACTTGTTGTTATCGTCCTCCTCTCCACGTTTTCTCAGCTTGCTGTTCTCCTTAGCGACAACTGGCTCGGGTGTTTTTTTTCCTCTCTTTGGAGACTTTGCTGACTCCGCTCTTTTCTTTTTGTCAGATGATATCTGGGTGGCAAGAAAATAAGACAAGAAAAGCTAGTCTTAGTTTTATATGTCCCCATGTGACTAATTCTTAAAATGTCACGTGTGTACACAAAACTGATTTATTTGCATATGCTGTGTGCTTTTAACTATTTTCTTTAATTAATATACACCAATGACAGAAATAATTATTTTCATCATTTTCTGAATCAAGAGCGTTTGCATGAACTGGTGAGAAACAGACAATTATGAAAAGTTAATAATGCAGAGTTGAGCCTAGGGGTCAGCACTCACATGTCAGGCGCCTTTAAGGAAAATGATTTTTGCCCCATCCCCAACCCCCCCTACCTCTCAAGTTACTCTGAAAACCTATGTTAACCTAGTCCATCATGTTGGATCACACCTGGCAACTTCATTCAACACGCTGTATTAGGAACACTGAGTATCACAAAGCTTACCAAACAATGCACATTCTAGTGTATAACACAAATAAAAAATGTGTATGGCAGGGATAAAGGAAGGTGTATAACACAGAGAGAAAAAGGAATATGTTTATGATAGAGAAAGGATCATGTGTATGAGCGAAAGGAACTTGTAAAGGACGAGAGAAAGGAACATGTGTAGTCATGAAGACCTAGCAAAAAATATTAAATTGAGAATTACAGAACATTTGAAGGTCTAAAGGTTCAAAACATTTTTTTATGATGCCATAGTGGTGCCTTGGCTGCTAGGCCTGGTGCTAATCTGACACAACTGTTTGTGGTGGGCCTGGTGCCAATCTGGGACAACTGTTTGTGGTGGGCCTGGTGCTAATCTGGCACAACTGTTTGTGGTGGGCCTGGTGCCAAACTGGGACAACTGTTTGTGGTGGGCCTGGTGCTAATCTGGCACAACTGTTTGTGGTGGGCCTGGTGCCAATCTGGGACAACTGTTTGTGGTGGGCCTGGTGCCAATCTGGCACAACTGTTTGTGGTGGGCCTGGTGCCAATCTGGGACAACTGTTTGTGGTGGGCCTGGTGCCAATCTGGGACAACTGTTTGTGGTGGGCCTGGTGCCAAACTGGGACAACTGTTTGTGGTGGGCCTGGTGCCAATCTGGCACAACTGTTTGTGGTGGGCCTGGTGCCAATCTGGCACAACTGTTTGTGGTGGGCCTGGTGCCAAAATGGTACAACTGCTTGTGGTGGGCATGGTGCCAATCTGGCACAACTGTTTGTGGTGGGCCTGGTGCCAAACTGGGACAACTGTTTGTGGTGGGCCTGGTGCCAATCTGGCACAACTGTTTGTGGTGGGCCTGGTGCCAAACTGGGACAACTGTTTGTGGTGGGCCTGGTGCCAAACTGGGACAACTGTTTGTGGTGGGCCTGGTGCCAATCTGGGACAACTGTTTGTGGTGGGCCTGGTGCCAAACTGGGACAACTGTTTGTGGTGGGCCTGGTGCCAATCTGGCACAACTGTTTGTGGTGGGCCTGGCCCAGCCTCAAATGTTGAACTTAACTAATTTATTCATATCATACTTTATTTTGAGCCCATAAATGTTAAACATTTTTATTTTTACTCATGAGAAGTATTGAATTTTAAAAAAAATGAATTGTTAAGTGCCAAGAAATTTATGTTAAAAATAAGATACACATGTAAGGAATCTGCTATTTTATATACATTTTAAAAATAGATGTGAATAGTCTAAAATAAACAAATATTAGGCTGAAACTATAAAAAAAAAAGGTCAGGGGAAAATGATGAATATAATATTTAGATTTTTAAAAAAATGAATTCCATGACATTAAGAAACAAAAATAATATATAAAGAGGTAAAAATAAACAAATAATGTTGACTTCTAAAACCCTTTACCATATCAAGTCTGACATATATCAAATGGGAATTTTAAGCATGACTTAGGCCAGGCATGGTTTAGTTTTAATGGAGTTTGATGTATATAATGTCATTTTAGGGATACATATAGTGATGGGATAGTTTTCATGGTGCAGAATGGAGATTTAAAAAAATCTTGGGTTAAGCTAAAGAATGGGATAGTTTTAAAGCATAAGGAAGAGGGTTAGTATCCAAGACATATATCCTGGTATGACCATTGGAAGAAGGTTAGTAGATAAGACATATCTTGGAACCAGAATGCCTATTGGAAGAAGGTTAGCAGATAAGATATATATCCTGAAACCAGAATGCCTATTGCTATAAAATTTCAAAGAGTTTATAAATTTTTAAAAATGAAAGAAAAGCATCAGCATTAAAAGAAATATGTTTCATGTCAGTAAAAAAAGTACAAAGAAAATGTTGAGCCGTTTCAAGCCAATGGATCAAATAAGTCAAATGGATAATTATTAACTTTGTATCAAGCTATATTATCTGAGTTAGCTAAATATTGCTCAAAGGACTAAAGAAAATTTTAGTCAATATAAACATTTGTTTTACTAGTATACTTCAATGTATTTTACTTTTTTTTTTTTTTTTTTTTAACTGGTGACATGTTGTAGTGGGTCAATATTTTTTAATTAATGCTTTTACTAAAAACTAATTGTTAAATTTTTGTTCTTTTTTAATTTTTTTTTTTTTTTTTTTTTTTTTTTTTAACTGGTGACATGTTGTAGTGGGTCAATATCTATTAATTAATGCTCTTACTAAAAACTAATTGTTAAAGTTTTGTTCCTTCAAATTATAATAGCTGATTATTTTTAATGACTTAAATTTTGTTTAAAAATGTCATTTCAACATTATAATGATGCAATGGTAAGAGAAATTGGATAAGCTAACATTAATAGTGCAATGAAATTGTATGATGTTTGAAATAAAATAAAAGCAATAAGTTACTTCTAAAGATATTTTGTGATGGAAATAAGTCCTTATCTTACCTTTGTCTTCTTTGCCTTTAGAATTTAATTACAAGCACATGAAGATACTTCATTAAAAATGTTTAGAGTAATTATCAGAGCTCCCCTCAAAGGGTTGTAAAATTATTATTTCAACAGGACTGGCGGGCTTATATGATGATCATTTTCTATTATTTTTCCTCTACATTCTAATAAAAATGTACAGTTTGAAACCTACCGTACAAATCATTTGTTGATGCAATGAAATTTATGTTTTCATCAATTTTAATCAATAAGTATCACCTTAGAAATGCGTGTAATCAAATATTTTTCTAGTGCTTATACTCGTAATAAAATATTGTTTTTTGATGGTATTTTTTAAAAACAGAATCTTTTCTAAAAATGAAAGAATTTGAATTGATTTCCAAATAAATCTTTAAATTCAATAAAATGGTGTTTTAACCATTTTCAATATCAAATGAATCAAATTTATTGTAAAGAAATTAATCAAGAAATTTTAATTAGTAAAATAAACCAAACAGGTGGGAATTTTTTTAAAATCAGGGGTCTTAAACTCAAATTATTGCATGGCTCAGATGATAACAATTAAATGGCCCAAATTAAATTTGTTATTTTAACCACTATCAAATATTACATTATGTAAAACGAATTACTTTGAGGCAACAAGAGAAAGCTTGAACAGCTGCATGTAGTGACAGAGAGTTTTTGGGACCTATGTTTTTAATTAAGACTTAAATCTGTAATCTTTTCTTTAAAACAAAATTATCACATTTAAACTACTCACCTCTGTGTGCTGCATTAGTATTGAATTACTAAATGACTTGGGCATAAAATATTTGGGTGAAATTAAGTGTAATTTTGACTAATCTTTCCCACACAATTTTTTTCTTAATCTTACTATTAATGTGAATTGATGATATTTTCAGGGCAAAGTTTTGTAATTTCAATGTCAATCTAAAAAAAAAACAATAATAATTTATATATATTATATTAGGGGTCATTAGATTTATATATCTGACATCAATTTTATAAAATGTCCATACTTTGGGTCACATTTAGTATATTAATGTGAATTGATGATATTTTCAGGGCAAAGTTTTGTAATTTCAATGTCAATCTAAAAAAAAAAACAATAATAATTTATATATATTATATTAGGGGTCATTAGATTTATATATCTGACATCAATTTTATAAAATGTCCATACTTTGGGTCACATTTAGTAAAATACCAAAACATTGTCAACAAAAGAATAAAAAAGAATGAACAAAGTTAATATAAAATAAGTTTGAGATGAGACACCTGATGACTAATCTGCTAACTGCAGAAATGTCAATGAGGAACTTTTCAAAAATTAAATTTGTCATGAAAAGATCAGGTGATCTATGTTGAAAGTCATCACAGTGTAAAAATCATTCATTTAGTTTATATCACAATTAGCTTTATGTTAATCTCAGCATTAGATTCAGAAAACTCTTCCTGTTGTATTTGACTTATACAATGTTATCAAACCATTGCTTACTGATAAATTTATTTTTAAATATTAATAATAAAATTCAGTCTAACCTTTGCATCTGCATCTTTGTGCTTCTTATCAGCTTCTTTCATAGCCAGTAGTTTATTTTTGATTAGCTTGGCCAGTAGCTTTGTAGGGATACCCTCATTATCATCTAAATACTGTTTGGCACTATCAAATAATTCATTACTCACAAGAGCATCTTTTGGTTTTTTTAGAGCTTTAGAGTTACCAAAGTCCTTCAACTGAAACGAAATAATTTTAATAAAAAAACATGTAATCTATTTTGAATTTGCTATTACACCAAAATAAAAATAAATGTAATATGTGAACAGAAAATTCAATGCAGATTATAAATAATGCTTCAATTATTTACTCGGCGATTGCAAATACTACAGTCAGGTTTAATTAACGTTGCAAAGATATAGCCTAGAGAATCAAAGGATAATAAATTACTTGAGTTTTTAACTAGTTCCTATTTCTTTTTGTACTTTCATTTGTCCTGTCTGCTGAAGAGGGCTCTTAGGGGTCGTTCGCAAATTACCTCACACTCAGAGGGGAGGTGGGGGCGAGAATTTGTGACAGGGGGGAGGAGGGTTCTGAAAAAGGTCATTTTTGGTGAGACGTAATTTGAGAACGACCCTTTAGCCGAAATTTCCTTATCTCTTATTTTGTATTTTGATTCAGGCTTCCACATACATTGTTCTACTAGTTCCTAGAGAATCAACACACACCTCATTAAAGAGTTGCTCCTTGGTGACCACAGAGAAAAGTCTTCGAAGCCCTGTTTGAGTGATAATATTCAGTGCTTCAATGTGCTTGAAATCATCAGGCTGTCGGCCCACAATCAAGGCCAAACACGGATTCCAACTTTCCTGTACAACAAAGTAATAAACATATTCACAAAATATTACTGTATATCAAATTTAATTATAATGTTCAATGTACAAAAGGTCCAATTTGCTGTTATATTATATGTCAGTTATTTAAATGAGAAAGCAACTAAATGTTGTGTTAACAGTAAGTCTTACTTGATGGTTGACATGATAAGCAATTATTATCAAGTTACAGCAATATTTTTAGTTTAGTTCAGGGGTTCTCACACTTTTTAAACAGACATTATTGGGGCCAGATCAGTGTCTCTCAGACACTGTTGAGGGCCGGACAATAGTTAGAAATAATATGAACGAATTCTATGCACACAGCACATATTTCAGTTTTAGTATATAAAAAAAAACAAGATGAAAAAAGATAACCAACATAAAATTAATAGTATTTTTAAGGAAATTATGGCTATTCCGGACCGGATAACATCACAGCAGAGATCATGAGAGCAAATGTAGATACAATAGTCAACAATGGTGCACACTCTGTCTGAAAAGATATGGGAAGAAGAGAGAGTTCCAAAAAATTGGAAAGAAGGATACCTCATCAAGATACCAAAGAAAGGGGATCTCAGCAATTGTGCAAATTACATAGGAATCGCACAGCTGTCTGTACCAGGAAAGGTCTTTAACAGAATTATTTTGAATATAATGAAAGACCAGGTCGACATGCAGCTACGAGATAAACAGGCTGGCTTCCGCCGAAACAGATCAAACAGATCAAATTGCAACATTAAAAAACATTGTAGAACGACCATCGATTGGAACTCCCCCCATACATAAATTTCATAGACTATGAAAAGGCCTTTAATGTCGTAGACCGAAAAACCTTGTGGAAACTCATTCTGCACTATGGAGTACCAGGAAAACTTATCAGGATCATTCAGAGCTCCTATGAAGAAATGGCATGCAGGGCGGTTCATGAACATAGACTCACATATGACATTAAAGTGGAAATTGGAGTTAGACAAGGATGTCTCTTGTCTACCTTCCCATTCATACTTGCCATTGACTGGATAATGAAAAAATCCAAAGACAAAAAGAGGAACGGGATTCCGTAGACAAGCTGAAAACAAATGAATGACCTCGACTTTGCAGATGACATTGATCTTCTGTCCCACAACCAGCAATAAATCCAGGAAAAGACGTACCCACCATTTCAGCACAGCTCGGACTCAATATAAATAAAAGCAAGACAAAGATCATGAAGGTAAACTCAGCCATCCAAGGGCATATCTCTCTTGCAGGAGAGACACTAGAGTCCAAGGAGCTGAAGCTGCAAATCAAAGTCAGAATCTTTAACACAAATGTCAAAACAGTCTACTATATAGAGCAGAAACTTGGAAAAAAACAGCGAGCATTACGCAGGAACTACATACCTTTATAAACACATGCCTCAGAAAGATACTGAACATCAAATGGCCAAATACTATAACCAACAAAGATCTTCTGGAAAGGACTTACCAGGTGCCCATTGATGAAGACATCATAAAGAAAAGATGGAGGTGGCTAGGGCACACTCTCCAAAAACCCCCACATAGCATTACCAGACAATCCCTAACATAGAATCCACAGGGAAAAAGAAAGAGAGGAAGGCCAAAGAATACAATGAGACGTGAGGTAGAAACAGACACGCAAAGTGTAGGGGATACACCTGGAAGCAACTGGAAAGGAAAGTGCAGGACCATAATAAATGGAACATTCTTGTGGACGGCCTATGCCGCAGAAGGGTAAAAAGGCATAAGAAGAAGAAGGAAAGATGGCTAATGAGATAGTCAAAGTTATGTTCCACCTTTGTTGCTGCTAGCCAGGTACCCTTATGAATGACTTTGAATAATGACCCTTGGCTGGCTACATTAATGACCTCTGGCAAACCGGATCTGGTCTGCAGGTCGTAGTTTAAGATCCCCTAGTCTAGTTGAACCATTTAGATTAAAATTAAAGAGTCAGGGAAGTCATAGAAATTAGTTTGTGGTTAGAAAGAAATGCTAATACTTGGAATTGTTCTTTTGAGAATACTTGCGAAACTTTATAAAATGCAGTGGAATTATTTTGGATTATTTTGCTTATGATTGTAACTCTTCGTTTAAAACCCTTGTGAAATTTAATTATTGTAAAATCTTGTGGTGACATTATTTAAAAAATATAGTTTTTTATTGTCAAAGGTAATGGGATATTTTTTACTTTTACATTTCATAATTATCATTTGTGATCAATTATGTGTGATGGCTTTGTCTAATTTATTTTTTTCTTTGATGATTTGTGATGATAAATGTGTAGGGTAGTGGGTAATAAAATTGTTGTCACAATAGTGTGACACTATATTTATGGTTGGCCCCTGGCCCTAGCTCTAAAAGTAAGTATGTGCAATATAATTAGATACTTTTCTGCGCATCATACTGCCCAGGTAAAAAAATCACTAATTTTCTTGAGACTAGCATTTTGCATATAGATTTTTGCTGAGTTATGTTAATTGTCTGTTTTGGCATAACATATTTTAACTAGATGAATAGATGGAATTCCTCATCAGTGACGTAGGAAGGATTCCACTCTCAATATGCTTATAATCTTATATAAATTACATCACAAGTACTGAAGTACCTGACATATTAAATAAATTGGTTATTGAGATATTAATGAACAACATTGTAAAAATAATTAAAATTTAAAAAAAAAATATTTTACTATATTTGTCTATTTATTAGTATTTAACTCTTTTGCTGGGGAATTTTCTTAATTTAAAAAAATGTACATTTTTTTCAAAGAGCAAAAAGGAGTGAGAGGCTGGGTTTATTAAAAAGTATATAAAATATTTTAAAAGTATTTATAACAACAGCACTAAAGAGGCTCAAGAAAATATGGCTAGACAAAAATATAGCCCCCAGCACTAAAATCAGGCTGATGCACTCATTAGTCCCCTCCATTTTCTTGTATGCATGCTGTAACGGACAATGTTTCCACATGAAAACAGAGAGGTAGCATGAGTGAACAGTGAATGGTGTTGACCATGTTTTGTCCATGAGGACAATGAATTGTATTTTGAGATGCAAATGTGAACTCCACGTTTTTGGAGAGTAAAATTATGTTTTTGTCAGAGCGGTTGTTTTGCACGCTTTGCTGGTAATAAAGTATGAGTTGACTGAGATAAGGAGAGCTGAGCGCAAGGAGAGTCAGAGTTAGTCGGAGTTGAGTTAGAGTTGAGATGTAGTACAGTTGAGCTGAGTTGTAGCAGTGTGAGGACGTGTCTTTCTGAGTGATGGAATATTATATAGATATATGAAATGATTACATTCATGCAGGATTATTATTAATATTATCTGTGTAAACTGTGATTTAATAAAGTACTGTCAGTTTAACCAGGATTCAGTATTCTTATTTGCGTGCCTAGATAATACGAGGAAGAACGATGAAGTCTTAGCCGGCATTCTGAATTACTAACTTAAAACACGTAACCATGCTACTGACATAACCCACAGCCTAAGAAATAAGTTACAATGATAATGATGTCAGAGCACGTGTGTGTTACACATGCGAGCCCTGGACATTAATGGCAGAACTTGAAAGGAAAATAAAGGCGATGGAGATGAGATGTTTCAGAAGCATTCTTGCCATCTGCTATAGGGACCATGCCTCCAATGATCAAGTGAAAGAAAGGATTCGTCCGGCAGTTGGGCAGTACGATGACCTCCTGGTGACTGTAAAAAAAGTGTCAACTACAATGGTATTGCCATGTGACAAGGAAACAAGGGCTTGCCAAAGAAATCATGCAGGGCACAACAAGAGGAGGGAGAAGTAGAGGAAGAAAAAGATGGGGAGATAACATCAAAGAGTGGACGGGACTAAAACTAGGCGATGCTGCGCATAGTGCAGAAGACAGAGATGAATGGAGGAGGATAGTTCACGTGTCATCTGTGGCGCCCCAGCGGTCCGAGGACTAAGGGACACGATGATGATTTAAAATATTATTTTTTTGTTTATAAGGCTAAATTTGGTATCAAATGAAAGTCAGTTGAATGTACTATGTGTTTTAAACTTATTTCTTCAATTAAACTAAAATAAGTAACAGAAAAGTAACTTTTTTTCCCCCAAGCCCTTTCATCTTCTTCACTGCTAAAACTCAAATCCTCTAAAACTACTACTATCAGAATCATGCAATGGATCTAAATCTATACCAACTTCAATATCAATAGAAATAGTATAAAACATTTCCAAGGATTTCTGAGCCGTTAATCGTCTAGGAAACTCACTCACCCACTAGTGCCTAGGGTAGCCATAGCAACAGTATTGTAAGAAGAAAAAAAACAAAGAATATTAAAAAAAATAATGATTCAAATGACAACAAATAAACCTGGGTTTTGCTAATTAACAATGAAGTACCTCTCTTCTAATTAAAAGTCTAAATAAAAAATAGTGGATGAACCTATTGTGCTACAGGCTACAGTGAAAGAGTTAAGTAACAGTATAGTCATAGTCTTACCATAGAATTACATTTAATAACATTTATATTAAAAAAATAAACTAAGTCATATGTGTAGTGTAGCCTAAGCTTAAAACTTAAGGCCTAGGCATTGCAATAGGCCTAGGCATTGCGATAGGCCTAAGCCTAAGTGAACTAAGTCTTAAGCCTAACTAAGAATAAGAATAAGATAATAATAAAATGAATCAGAGTCAGAGAAGTTAAAATTAAAAGAAGATAAATGCACCAAATATTCATTTAAATACCTCTTCAAATGAAAGAGAAGACCAGTTATTATCTTTCTGAGTGTTAGAACTAACTGCTTTTATGTCTCCACTTTTAGTTTTCTTTCCGGGTTTAGCCATTTATGTTAGATGCTGCAGACGTCTCACTTTCTGAATTCAAAAGTTTATCACATTTACTATGTACGCCATCTTGTTGTAACTGTTGCCATGTCACCGCGCATGTCTTAAGTCTATTTCCTACAATAACAACAAACATGGCTGCCCTCGTTGCCCGTGTTTTCAAGGGAAAAGCATTTCAAACAGTTTTAAGGCGTAATTTCTTAATTATTTTAAGAAATTTATCTTCCTCTCAGCTTTATGTAGAAAATTTTGGTGATCCTTCGCTAACACTGAAGAAGAAAATGTACGAATTACCTTCATCTCTTGGTCCGAAAGAAGTCATTGTGCAAATGATAATGGCACCAATAAATCCTTCCGATGTAAATATGATGGAGGGCACTTACTTTGTTCAGCCCCCACTTCCAGCCGTAATGGGGAATGAGGGAGTTGGCAAAGTTGCTAAAGTAGGAGATGAAGTTAGAGGTCTTAATGTTGGAGACATAATTATTCCTTCTGACACAGCATGGGGCACTTGGCAAACTTTCAAAATAACTTCAGAGGAGGATGTGATAAAATTACCAGCAGATATTTCACTGTTATCGGCAGCTACGATATCGGTAAATCCCTGTACAGCTTATCGTATGTTGAAAGACTATGTGGATCTGAAGCCAGGAGATGTTATTTTGCAAAATGGTGCCAACAGTGGTGTTGGGGTGAGTGTGATACAACTTGCCAGAGAATGGAATATAAGAACTATAAACATTGTTAGAGACAGGCCAGATTTTGAAAAGCTTAAACTTAAACATTCATTAACAAAACTTGGTGCTGATATTGTTGTTACTGAAGAATTTGTTCGCACACCTCAAATGAAAGATCTGCTCAAGACTTATACGAGCAAACCAAAGTTGGCATTCAACTGTGTAGGAGGCCAGTCAGCAACTGAACTGATACGTCATTTGGGTCAAAGGGGGGTAATGGTCACATATGGCGGTATGTCAAAGCGTCCAGTAATGGCTCCTACAGGGGCTCTTATTTTCAAAGAAGTTGTTTTATGTGGATACTGGAACACAAGCTGGAACAGGCGTCATAAAAATGATATTAACCGACTAACAATGCTATCTGATCTCTGCAATCTTATAAAAAGCTCAAAATTTGAACCACCACCTTGTGAATTTTACTCACTTGATGATTACAAAAGTGCCATTGAAAAGGCTACAGAAGGCTTCAAGGGTGGAAAAGTTGTATTCAAAATGGAATAAAATCATAGGTGATATTAATGTAATTTTGATAATTTGTGTTAGGCATAGGACATAAGGTTATTTATTCTCATTTATGTGTCATCATTTTCTAAGTAATTATTAATATTTTATTTATATGTAATTCTTTAACAAGAAGAAAATATGAGAGACTGTCTTCTTACTTTATCAGCCAACCATTAAAATTTCTAAAAATATATTTTATAGTTTTTGGGTTTTTTGCGTGTAATTTATTCTTTCGTGTAGTTGAAAAATAATCTTCCGCCATAAACAATAATAACACATTTTACTTGATATTTTCTAATCATTTTGATTAAAATTGCGTTTTGATGAAAAGATGTGTAATTAATTTTAGGGCCCTACTGAAACCATTTGTCCCTGTCCAAATGTCCCCATACACGGAGGCAATGATACATAAACATAAGCCATGAAATATGGGATGATATTGGTTCTAACACTAATGTAATTCTTATCCAGATTCACTACATCTTAAACCACAAACTGTTGTCGGCCGATATTCTCTTCCCATACTGTCGGCCGATAAAAAATTGCGTTGAAAAAACAAGTTCCAGTCCAATATTTTACGCTAAATAAAACTACTTCCTTTTATTCATAAATAAACTTTTTTTTGCTCATCTGTGTCCTTTTTTTTAAATTTTAGAGTTATTTTTACAACGATTTTTATCAATCAAATTTGTGTAAGTAGATTTTTGCAAAATGGATGAAGCTATAGCTGGACCATCTGGCTTACAAAGTAAATCAGTTAGGAATCTTTTTGATCACTTTTTAGTTAATGGCTTAAGTGATTCGGAAGATGATTTTCCAATCACACACGAAGACAATGATAATTCCGATTATATTTCTAGAGGTTCAGAAAGCAAAAGTTCGGACTCTGGCGATTTAGACCTAGGCCTAGAACGAGTAGGCGTTGCCCCAACAATAGGACTCGTTCAAAACTATGTTGCAGATGACTGTGCACCAACAAAAAATAATTGGATGTTGTTCTATATATGTTTTCTTATATGTCATTTTATGGATTAAATATTTATATTGCAGCTTTCTAATTTTATCTGTTTCTTGCTATTTAGTAATGTTTATGTCATGCTTTGTTACTGGAAGTAATTATAGGTGTCAGAAGAATTTTAAAAAAATAAATCTATCAAATAAAACATATAAAAATAATACATTTTCTGAAAGATAAATAAAAATGCAATCATAGTATATAAACATTATAAATATGCCTTTAAAAATTGTAGTTTGAGGTACTGGATACCGGGTACTGGAAAAGAAAATTTTTCCTGATTTTCTTTATTCTTGGCCACTCCAAGGTCAAGGTCACAGAGTATAAATATCATTGAAAAATAGTCAATATGACTCCCCACTCAGTCTAATTTCAATAAATATATACTTTATGGGGTCTGGTCAAGCGATAGTTTTTGCATGTGAAAAAATCACATTTTTCAAACGCACCCAAAAAGCTCTAAATTGCCTGCACAGTACAGAATAATTAATACAATGGACAGTTTGTGGGTTAAGAAGATGCAATTAAACTAAGAAGTGAAAAAGTAGACATAAAATATTGCAGTGGGTGAGTGGCTACTATGATGGATCATCACACAATGGTTTTCTGTTCCTAGAACTAGAAAAAGAAGGGAAAAATGTAACTCAGTACTTTATGCAAGCATCCTTGGGTAAGTGTCCCTAAATAAAAGAATAAATCCAGTGATATTGATATATATTTTTCATTACATATACAATAATGTTAAAATTTGTATTTGCTATCACTTTTTTTTCTGACAAAAAAAACTGTGTGTGGAAGTTTGCTAACACTACTAACAGAATGTGCTAGTGAATTTCAAACTTAATACTGACCAGTGTTTGGCCTATAACAAAATTTGCTCTACAAGGCCAATTAAGGAGGTTTTTGAGTGACTTGGTCCAAAATTAAGCCTTGTTAACCTACAAAAGGAACTTGACTTTGTATCTATCTTTGGGGACTATCAATCACAAATATTCTTGAATAAGACCTGAAAGAGTCATAAATATTTTACTGAGGTAATAATCTCGAGAGATATTTATTGTTTTTTTTTTAAAGAAAATATGTTTTAAAATGTATTTCATTGTATGCAGTATAGACAATTATTTTTCTGATACTCTTGACTTGATTAGCTGATATTTTTCAGGATGCTTAAAGTGACCATTCAAACTGTTTTTACCAGTTTTGGTTTTTAGACATTTTTTCTGGTTAATCATGATTTGTAACCCATAGTCTATAGTGCTGAACAAAATAATTTTTATTTTTTTTTCTTTAACCAAAGAGCATGTACATCTAGGCATAAATAAATAAATGAAGTAAAAAAAAACATATATAATTCATCCAAATTAGAATAATTTTAAAAAAAACAAAGGAATTCTGCCTGACTTTTTTTTTTTTTTTTAAACTGAAGAATTCTAAGTGCAACTAACCAGAAATATGTGTCTAGTTTTGAGCTATCATGGCGCCAAATTGATTTTAAATGACCTGTTTTTAAATTTGAAATTTAAAAAATGTCCTTGTTTTAAGTTTATAAAAAAAAAAAGTTGTCATATTTAAGAGTTTGGAATAAGTGATTGCTTCTAATGTTACATGATGTTTGTCAGGTGGAATGAAAGAAATTTTACTCACATTTGACAAGGCAATCCTTCTGATTTGTTTAAAATTGTTGTTCCTGATCTGTTTTTTTTTAGCCCAATAAATAAATATATCACATGGAAATATAATTTGTTAGTTGAATTTTTAGCTTTATTATTAAACAAAATTCAGTGTGCAGAAGCTTTTTAACTGACAGTTAATGCTATGGATTTGTAATGATTTTGTTTTTGTTTAAAATGTAACTTTATAAGAGTTTTAACATTATTATTATTATTTATTACTATTAGTGAATTTAGAGGATTATCTTGCCCATAAATTTGAGATTTCTTTTGTCAGTGGTTTGATATGGTATTTTTATTAAAACAAGTGGTTTAATTTAAAGTAGGAAATTTCATAGCTTTAAGTGGGGTTCCAATCATGAAAAAGTTTCATTCAGCGCTCTGTACTATTCAGACTGAAGTCCTGTCTCAAATATCAAACAACTTTTTAATTTATTTACATGATTTCTGCTTTTCATTGAGATGGAGTTTACTCTTCGAGAATTTCGTTAGCTCCCGTATTTTGTGTCACAAAACACAAGAAAAATAGTTTGGTGATGAATAGAACAGCCTGATTGAGGGACATGGGCCTAAACAAGATTACTCAATGTAACACAGTTTTCTCAGGACAACCTTGTCTCAAAATGAAATCAAACTTAATTTTAAAAAAAAAATAAACAGCTGAAAAATATTTTTACAACAGCGGTAAATGTTTTGACAATAATAATTTTATTTTTTTATCACAAGGTGGTAGCGATGACAAGCACAATAGCTTAAATTTTTTTTTTTGAGGAACATTAACACAAACAATGCCATAAAGAACCAAGCTGTGCCCCTTGGCTTGTATGCACATATGATATATTTATATATATAGAGAGAGATCTAATCTATCACGGAATTCATCAACAACGTCTTACGCTCAACAGACTCAAATAATAACCACATTGATTGGAATGCATTACTCTGTCAACTCAAAATAGAATCTTTAATTTTTACATAATCATAACGTGAAATGAATTTACATGATATGAATTGAAATTAACTCATCAATCCTTTTTTTTTTTTTAAAGCTCAAAATTGTCGATCATTTTAGAGATTTATATAATGGTTACTATAACGCAAATCATAATAAAATCAAATTTTTACTAACAAATTAATTTTGTCAAGATGATGATATACAAAAAAAAAAAATTAAACATAACAATGCAGAATAGAATTTGTTATTTTAAAAATTAAGATAGATGATCAATTTAATTTAGACTGTTTTTAAATAAATGAAACTTTCATAATGAGCATTATGTTTCTGAAGTCTTATAAGACAGGAAGCTCAGGTCTAAACTGACTGCAGCTGTTGTCTTATCTTTTTATTATATGTCAAAAATAAAGGAATGGCGTCTGTTAAGAAATTTTTTTTTTTAGACAGCCCAAAGGGTGGGATAGACAACAAATGCCTAGTACTTGAAACAGTGAAAGAAAGACAATACAAATTGCACTTCCACAAAAATTACTTCTGTTGCAACAGCCAGCCCCAGTCACTTATTTCAATTAAAACCCTGCTGGTTG